TATACACATACTAGCTCACAAGATTCATCAAACAATGGGTGGCACAATGGGAGCCACTTCAGCAAGAAGGTCCTGGTTTCGAACCCGGTCGGAAAAGGGCCTTTCTGAGTGGAATTTACATGTTCTCCCCGTGTCTGCATAGGTTTCTTCCAGGTTCTCTGGTTTCCCCTACCACTGAAAACATGTACAATAGTTCAGGGTGAATGAGTATGTGTTTGTGAGTGTGATTGTGGGACGGATTGAAATTTGCCCATGGCTAAACAACCCGGAGTGATGTGTTCATTAACATATAGTACTGTCCAAACCAAATAAACAATGAATAAATAAATTAAAGAAAACAACCAACTCAATTTCATTTATTTTGGTAAAACCCTCAAACCACAACATGTCGTCTTGAAGGACTTAATAAAGTTGATGATTCGCCAATAACAGATAAGAGAATCAAACTGTAAACCAATATTGTTATACCTCTCTATGAAGACCAGCATCTATAGTTAATATTCTTTTCATTTTTCACACAAAGGTCCAGGACAATTGTATTTAATTTTTAGAATATATTTCTGACCCAGAGACACAATTATGTTTATGAGTGCAATTATGTACAGTAAGTACTTTTCTTTCTGGGTTAACGGTCGTGTTTCACTGTAAGAAGGTCCTGGGTTCTAATCCTCCTCTAGACAGGGCCATTCTGTTGGAGTTTGCATGTTCTCTCCGTGTCTCCTCCGGTTGCTTCTACCACCTGCTGACATCAGTGTCACATCACAAGTTACAGAACAGTAGGAATGAGGAGCACACAACACAAGATAAGATAAGTCAATATTAAGTTTAGCACAACGATACTTGAAAAATGAAATATAATAATTATCTTTAGCTTAATAATGAAATATGCTACAGTATATTTACTCACTCACATGGGTTCCAACAGCCCTGTCTAACAACCAGTACTCTGGGCATCACTGCACTATTCCACAGTCTAAAATGCAACAGCTATCATCAGTTATGTCAATGTAAAGTTCATGGAGCGGAGGCTGTTGACACACCTCCCACTGAAGCGGGAAGCAGAGCATAGTTCTGGAAGACGAGCTCCAAATGTTCCCAGTGTTTATGTCATCTCTGCCACACTGCAACTCTGAGTAATTTATTACTCATGTTACAGACCTATTTTTCTGATTTTAGCCATTTGGGTAAAAACTAATCTTCCAATGGAACTTGTTTAATCCTTTAATATACACTCCTTGGAGAAAGCATCGTAATGCATTGATAGATACTTTATTGATCCCAAAAATTCAGGTGTCCAGTGCAGCAGAAATACATCCATCCATACAAACAAAACAAATAACTAGATTATTCTAAAAGTAGCTAACAGTAGTAGAAGTAGTATTAATAGTACATTTAATTGACAAATCTATTCAGATGTTGCTGTGCGTTTTTCTATTTTTTGGAATCTACGGCTTCTCAAAATACATAATTGTGTGGACCATTCAATTTATTTTTTATCCAGGTGATAAAAGTTAGAAAATCTGCTCTTGCCCCATCTCGTAATCTTATATCATGAAAAATAAGGAAATCTATTTTATTCCATCCATCCATCCATCCATCCATCCATTTTCTTCCGCTTTATCCGTTGCCGGGTCGCGGGGGCAGCAGTCTAAGCAGAGACGCCCAGACTTCCCTATCCACACACACTTCCTCCAGCTCGTCCGGGGGGACCCCAAGGCGTTCCCAGGCCAGCTGAGAGACATAGTCTCTCCAGCGTGTCCTAGGCCTTCCCCGGGGCCTCCTCCCGGTGGGACGTGCCCGGAACACCTCCCCAGGAAGGCGTCCAGGAGGCATCCTGAACAGATGCCCGAGCCACCTCAACTGGTTCCTCTCGACGTGGAGAAGCAGCGGCTCTACTCCGAGCTCCTCCCGTGTGACCGAGCTCCTCACCCTATCTCTAAGGGAGCGCCCAGCCACTCTGCGGAGGAAGCTCATTTCGACCGCTTGTATCCGCGATCTCGTTCTTTCGGTCATTACCCACAGCTCATGACCATAGGTGAGGGAGGGAACGAAGATTGACCGGTAAATCGAGAGCTGAGCCGAAAGGCGAAGCTCCCTCTTCACCACAACGGTCCGATACAGCGACCGCATCACTGCGCACGCTGCACCGATCCGCCTGTCAATCTCACGCTCCATCCTCCCCTCACTCGTGAACAAGACCCCGAGATACTTGAACTCCTCCACTTGAGGAAGGACCTCTCCACCCACCTGAAGAGGGCAAGGCACCTTTTTCCGGTCGAGCACCATGGCCTCGGATTTGGAGGTGCTGATTCTCATCCCAGCCGCTTCGCACTCGGCTGCAAACCGTCCCAGTGTATGTTGCAGGTCCTGGTTCGTTGGAGCCAGCAGGACGACATCATCCGCAAAAAGTAGAGATGAAATCCTGTGGTTCCCGAACCGGACCCCCTCCAGCCCCTGGCTGCGCCTAGAAATTCTGTCCATAAATACAGTGAACAGAACCGGTGACAAAGGGCAGCCTTGGCGGAGGCCAACATGCACCGGGAACAGGTCTGACTTACTGCCGGCAATGCGAACACAGCTCTGACTCCGGTCATACAGGGACCGGACGGCCCTCAGCAGAGGACCCCGGACCCCGTACTCCCGGAGGACCCCCCAAAGGACACCCCGGGGAACACGGTCGAACGCCTTCTCCAAATCCACAAAGCACATGTGGACAGGTTGGGCGAACTCCCATGAACCCTCGAGTATCCGATGGAGAGTATAGAGCTGGTCCAGTGTTCCGCGACCGGGACGAAAACCACACTGCTCCTCCTGAATCCGAGATTCGACCATCGGACGTAGCCTCCTCTCCAGTACCTTGGAGTAGACCTTACCGGGGAGGCTGAGGAGTGTGATCCCACGATAATTGGAACACACCCTCCGGTCCCCCTTCTTGTAGAGAGGGACCACCACCCCGGTCTGCCACTCCATTGGCACCGCCCCCGATCGCCACGCGATGCTGCAGAGACGTGTCAGCCAAGACAGTCCTACAACATCCAGAGACTTTAGATAGTCAGGACGGATCTCATCCACTCCCGGCGCCTTGCCACCATGGAGGCTGCCAACCACCTTGGTGACCTCGGCCAGGGAGATGGAAGTATCCGCCCCAACATCCTCAGCCTCTGCCTCCTGGACGGAGGACGTGACGGGGGGATTGAGGAGAACCTCGAAGTATTCCTTCCACCGCCCGACAATATCCCCAGTCGAGGTCAGCAGCCCTCCACCCGCACCATACACGGTGTTGGCAAAGAACTGCTTCCCCCTCTTGAGGCGCCGGACGGTTTGCCAGAACCTCTTCGAGGCCGACCGATAGTCATGCTCCATGGACTCTCCGAACTCCTCCCAGTCCCGGGTTTTTGCCTCTGCAACAGCCCGGGCCGCGGCACGTTTGGCCTGCTGGTACTGGACAGCTGCCTCAGGAGTCCCACGAACCATCATTGCTCGATAGGACTCCTTCTTCAGCCTGACGGCATCCCTTACTGCCGGTGTCCACCACCGGGTTCGGGGATTGCCGCCGGGACCAGCACCAGAGACCTTGCGACCACAGCTACGAGCCGCCGCATTGGCGATAGAGGAAGAGAACATGGTCCACTCGGACTCGATGTCCCCCTCCTCTGCCGGGACCTGGGAGAAGCTCTCCCGGAGGTGTGAGTTGAAAGTCCGTCTGACAGGGGGCTCAGCAAGACGTTCCCAGCAAACCCTCACTACACGCTTGGGCCTGCCAGGTCTGACCGGCCTCCTGCCCTGCCAGCGGATCCAACTCACGACCAGGTGATGATCGGTTGACAGCTCCGCCCCTCTCTTCACCCGAGTGTCCGAGACACGCGGTCGAAGGTCAGATGATACGACAACAAAGTCGATCATCGACCTCCGGCCTAGGGTGTCCTGGTGCCACGTGCACTGATGGACACCCTTGTGCTCGAACATGGTGTTCGTGATGGACAGGCCGTGACTGGCACAGAAGTCCAACAACTGAACACCGCTCGGGTTCAGATCAGGGGGGCCGTTCTTCCCGATCACCCCTCTCCAAGTGTCACTGGCATTTCCCACATGGGCGTTGAAGTCCCCCAGGAGAATAACGGAGTCCCCGGGCGGTGCACTGTCCAGTACCCCTCCCAAGGACTCCAAGAAGGCCGGGTACTCTGCACTGCTGTTAGGCCCGTAGGCCGTCACAACAGTGAGAGACTTGTCCCCCACCCGGAGGCGGAGGGACGCGACCCTCTCATTCACCGGGGAGAACTCTAACACATGGCGGCTGAGATGGGGGGCAATGAGTATGGCCACCCCAGCTCGCCGCCTCTCCCCGCGGGAAACACCAGAAAAGTGGAGCGTCCAACCCCTCTCAAGGAGTTGGGTTCCAGAGCCCAAGCTGTGTGTGGAGGTGAGGCCGACTATCTCTAGTCGGTATCGCTCAACCTCCCCCACAAGCTCGGGCTCCTTCCCCCCCAGTGAGGTGACGTTCCACGTCCCAAGAGCCAGATGTTGGGTGTGTGGACTGGGTCGTCGAGGTCTCTGCCTTCGACTGCTGCCCAGTCCTCTCTGCACCTCGCCACCACGGACCCCTCTGCAGGTGGTGGGCCCACAGGAGGGACTGCCCACGTCATCCCTTCGGGCTGAGCCCGGCCGGGCCCCGTGGGCTAAGGCCCGGCCACCAGGCGCTCGCTTGCGAGCCCCGACCCCAGGCCTGGCTCCAGGGTGGGGCCCCGGCTGCGCCATGCCGGGCGACGTCACGGTTCTCATTGTCGTGCTGTCCATATTTTATTCCAATGGCACAAAATTCAAATTCAAGTCAAATCAACCAAGATCTCTTTTTTCTGTACAACTGTCTAGTGCCGTTTGGAGCTCCCAGTCTGACCCACATATGGGGCTGGAAGCGCCTGGAGCAGCAGCTGAGCACATGCTGTATTCTGGCTCTTACTTCATCACCGTATCACACTGACACAAGCCTTTGCTGTTTACAGGAAGAAATCGTGCCGAACCATCACCTACGACGAGTTCAAGGCGGCGCTGGGGGAACTGGCCAGGAAGAAGTACAAGGACAAGAGCGGCGAGGAGGCGGAGGCTGAGGTCTTCAAACTCATCGAGGGGAAGGGCCCCATCATCGCAGGAGTTACAGTAAGAACAGTCCTTTCACCTGAACTGGGTTGATGATAACAGTTTATGATAACGGTGGCACAAATGTCAAAATATATTCATATATTCAAAACGGAAAAGGGCCACACCCAGCTTCCTCCCCACCTCAATCCACCTTCCAAACAGCTGATTGGGAGATGGCCTGTTTTGGCTGAAGCAGATTAGGATCTGTTTTATGTATTTATACTGCATTTCTGAACATGTATTGTATTTCTCTTATCTTATATTTTGGTGTTTTTACGCATCCCCACTGGTGCTCTGTCTGCAAAGAAGTTCCTCACAGAAGTTATTTGAATTGACTTGAATATAGGATGGTTCAGGGAAAGGGTCTGACACCTATGTCCTGCTGGATGACAAATGGTTGCAGTGAATCTCAAACTGTGGCACATGTCCATGCTTTGGTCATTTTAGTAAGTAATGTTTGTTCTTCTCTGGTTAAATCATCCTTTGAAAGTACCACGAGTCATCTAGTATTGTTGTTGACGTAATCTAATTTGTAAAAGATTTGTATATGTGAATTAGGGGGTAACAAAACAACAAAAAATATTCCATAGTACCTTTTGGTTATGTACCAGCTTTACCAATACCGGTGCATCCCTACTTGTGGCCTTACTTGCATGCGAAAGATCCTGTCAGAACTCTTAAAATGAGCTGTGCAGGGCTTGGTTAGTACTGTGATGGGAGACCTGGGGCGGCTGCGGCTGTAAAGTGTCCAACTGTTGTTGTGTCCTTAGGCAAGACACTTCACCCATATTGCCTAGATTGAATCTGGTGTGTGTGTGAATGGTTGGTGGTGGTTGGAGGGGCCGATGGCTACAGCAGTTGTTTATCACCACTGTGTATGGAGTGAAAGATTAATAAAATGTGAAGTGTCTAGAAAAGCGCTAAATATAAAACCAATGCATTGTTATTATCTTCTGCTTGGATATTTAAGTGAATTGTGATAGTTTGACAATCATTGGTCCAGATGACATGACGCTGAATGAAAAGATGTTTTTACATTGAAACATTCCAATCACTTTGTTTGCCTTTCTAACTGTGTCTTGTCTTTGAACCTGCAGCGAGCCGTCGCCTCTCCCACCGTGAGCCGCCTGACCGACCCCACCAAATTCACCGGGTCGCACAAGGAGCGATTCGACAACTCAGGCCGTGGGAAGGGCAAGGCCGGGCGGGTCGACATCGTGGACACATCTGGCTACGTCTCCGGATACAAACATAAAGGATCCTATGAGAAGAAAGTGACCCACCCACCGAAATAACATGGGAGCCCCAGACGAAGGAAAAAGAACATTTGACCAACTAGAATAATTTTGCTATTCTATAAAAATCAAGCACAAAAACAGTAGGTAAATCAATCTACAAGTATTATTTTGATTTTTTGAGTTTTGTGAAAGAACTGGAAAACTGTTTACATCCATTTTTGCAGTCATCACCAGCTGGTACATTCCTATCTAATAATGAGTTAATGCCAAAACACTGAAAAATGCTATGCTTTATAAACTGTACTGGTAAAACAAAAACAAAAAGTAATATATTAATCATTCAGCCAAAATACATACAATGAAGAACATGCCAAGAAAAACAAGATATATATATATATATTAGATATTGCACTTTTAATGGAAAACATCAATTACCAGATAGTACATTTTATATATAGATGGAGGTAGGTTAATCGTTGGTGCCAACATTTGATAAACATGTCCGTATTTATTGATTTTCAGACTAATATTTTTCTAGTGGAGGCTATTCAACTTTTTCCCCAAGGCCCAAATTTTTGTACAGCCATGTGTTCTGGGCCGGATCACTAATATGTAAAACACAATATCTTCAGTTACATTGATTATTTTAGGAGAAAATCAATGTCAAATCATTACAAATATTGGACTGGGCTACATCCAACCATGTATAAAGCACCACATAGTCGGACTTAAATCAGAAAAAACGATATACATTTTTTACAGAAAATCTTATTATCGAAGTTAATTGTATCTCGTTTGAAACTGAAAATAAGTTACTTTTTAAATCGGAGCCTCAGGGAATAAGAAGTTTTTGGAGAAAAGCACCAGTTTGACCAGCCCCCACAGCTTCCTGATTGGGTGCAATGAACTCAAATCCTTGATAGACAGCTGAGGCTCCTCCTCCTTGACAAAATCTTGCTGGTGATGATTATTTCAAGGAGTTTATTAATAAAAAAAGACTTAAATAGATAATTTTGCAGGGTCATATGGTAAAAAATATGCATTATTTTCAAAATGAAATACAATTTCAGATATAGACATCACCTTTAAGAATCAAGATTTGACAATGGGACATGCAAGTTCTCACTTGAGAAGAGACATTGTTAACATACTTGAATAAATGTTTTGCTTGTCCCATCGCCAAAATGTACCTGAACCAACACAAGAATTTACTTCCTATTATTCTAAGTTGAATAGGCCTGTTCCATTCCCTTTTCATATATTTTGTAATGTTAAATCCGCTTTACAACTTTTCAAGACTTCATTTTTACACATCATGTACCATCTTTTTGCGTATTAAACATACAGTAAAAGCATTTCAATTCTACTTGGACTTTTCCTATTCTATCCGCTGCCATCTACTGGTTTAAAACCACATGCCCAGCAACTGAATTGGTAAGCATCAGCAAAAAGGGGAAAAGATTGTAATTTATTTCCGTTTCGTATCCCTCTTCCTATAGTGGTTATAATTGTGGTAAGGTTGTGAATTTTTCTAAAAAAGTTGGAGGCTTCAATGGCGTCATTTTGTTTGGTTTGTATTTTATTCTCATGTGTTGCCGTGTTGTGCATGTTCCGTGGATATTGCATTTGATTCAGAAGCATTGAAAATAATGGTCATATCATATCATAACTGCTGTGCCTGTTGTCGTCATTGGACATAGTCAAAATAACCAAAACACAGATCGGTATTGCTTGAAATCAATGTTTTTATCAACATGTACAAAGCTGTAATACATCATTTGTCTTCTTAATACAATGAGGTTACGTCAGGCACAAAGTGAAAAGGGAAAAAGAAATGCTACTTTTGTATATGGTTATTTTTGCAGCCTAAATATGACTACCTGTAGCTGATGAAGAATCGTGCATTGACTGAACAAGCAGCATTTCACCGTCCCGCTACAGTAGTGCTCTCTGTGCTTCATTCCGTGCACCTGATGTGGAGGAAGTGTTGCCTATTTTTTCATATTTGCCTTTAACGTGCTATTATTGCCCCGGTGCATGCAGTGTGTTTTGTTCTTTAGAGTTCTTAATGTATGTTCATGATTTGTAATGCATTTAAAAATAATAAATATGCCCCTATTCTCTGCCACTGTGGGTCTTTAGGGGTCCTTTAGACAAGTTATTTTACATGTGATGTCACCATAGCGATGAGACGGAATGACAATTGTGATAAGAAAGGTTTAAAGCAGAAAAGGTTAAAAGAAAAAGAAAGGGCTGTTTACTTGCAAATGCTTTAATTAATGACTATTTTGATAATTGATTAGTTGAGTTTAGATCCCGAAAGCTTAGTGACAATGGTTTTTTTTCTACATCTGACCAAACCAAAGCTCAAGTGATGCCCTTGGAGAACATCTTAGAGAGGATTTGTTACACATTGCATCGTTTGATTAAAATACATTGTAAAAATATTCTTCTCAGCGTGTTTAAGTATATAAGCTTAAAAAAACAAATAAATTGGAAAACGATAACCAGTTGCGATCAACTTCTTACAGCCCTAGTTTTCAGATATTCAAAACCAAATCCAAGGAAATGGGTAAAGAATTAGATTATCATATTTCACTTCTCGATGGGGGTAGAATTGTCTTTCTAAAATTCTAGTAGTAAATAGTGCTAGTAAATAGATGCCCATGTAAATCTATCAGTAGTACCTGTGGTCCTTTTATACATTGTTCACTTTTTGTCAAGTCTGGTACACTAGGTGAGATTTTGGCTGTGCATCCTTTTATCACACAACTAACGTAAATACGGCAACTCAAGGAATAGCTCTGCCCTCCTGAAAAAAGTTGGAATCACCCGCTGTATACTGAAAACAAGTCCAAAAGACTACAGATCTCCTGTACGAATGAAGTATCACACCACCAATGAGTTATGACGGTATATTATGGAGTTGGCCATATCATATGAAAACTAAAGACTTTTAACAATTAAAAAAGGCTTGTATAGCAGCTACTCGTATATCCAGATTTGAGGATTAGCCACGGTAATTTGGGGCGATTCTACTACACAGACCAATACTAGAAGTATAACTAGTGTCATCTGTGAACTCTGCACAGGCTTCTATTGCGCTTATCGTCCCATGCCCAGACCACAATAAGAATCTCTGCTACGAGCATCTCTGTATCAGCAGCACAGACCGGTGACCTGTAACATTTACATGAAAACAACCACTTTCACGGCGGCAGCAGCAGCAGTCCAGGTTACAACAGAGAGTGCAGTGCTCCAGGCCTGAATCAGAGTCGTGGTGCAGCTGGATCGAGCAGCATCGTGAACAAAGCAGATGGAGCCGGGACTGACCTAAAAACCCACAATCTGCTGCTAATTCAGAAGAAGCACTAATCTATACAGAACAGAAAGACTTTCCTAACATCATACGCACACACCCAAAAATACAGTGGAGTTACAGTTGTGCTCATTCGTCTGTTGAATGTATTACTTTGTGTTACGTGGACATCTTTCACATGTTATGAAAGATAGATTTCCTTTGTCACTTATAGATAGTGGGTGAATCTATCTATTCACAAGGAAGGTTAGTTTTAGAATCCATTCAAAGACAGAAGACATTTTGGACAGAAGAATGAATACATTTCAAAGCAAAGATATGCAACTTCTGAGCACAACTGTATAAAGAGTTAGATAAGTTAAGAATGATAAAATATGCTTGTATAGATATGGGACAAATGTGTGTTGCTTTTTTGTTGTGAAATTTGTCATTGAAGTATTATGTATTTCACCTAACAACTTGGCAACCCTAATGAGAGCTTCATTCTGCTCTACAATTGGATAATCTGCTTGAAAATCAAAAACAATAAGATTGTTGATATCATGCCCATTGTATTCTTTATTATCTCTAGTTTATGTGATTTGTCCATCTTGGCCTTTTACAATTTGATTTAGTTTTAAATGAAAACATGACATACCGTCCCTTTACATAGCTACAACATGTTGGCATGTGGCTTTTTTAAGACATCAAGAGATCTACTCACATGATTGTTCAATAAATTAACAAATATGTACTGAAAGAAGAAATTTGCCAGACACGGCTTCATACATTTAAAAAAAAAAAAACCTAGCCTAAGCATATATCCTTAATCTTGCAGTTAAGGCCGTAATTGCAACATTCTGCACAAACATTGTACATTTACGTTTTACATAAATGTACAATGTAATCTTTTTCTGTTCAATTATCTTAGTGTTGCTCAAAAGCATACAGGAAAAATCCAACTCCTCCCTGAAAAACATTGCAGGTTAACCTCTACTCTGCTGGTTGCCAAAACATAATTTCACTGTATAATAGTACATATATTTATTTAAAGCCAGCATTTTAAGCAAAGCTGTCAAATATTACTGCTATTTTATATGGACTTTCAGAGGGAAAACCTGCAATATAAAAACTGTAGTTAGCTTACATATAGACACCGAGATGATAAAGAGGAGCACAAACAAGACCACCTCACCTGGGACTTACTCATTTCACTATTTCCTTATTTTCCGACCTGTGAACCTTCTCCTTTAGTAGCTCTATTTCTCTCCTCAAATCCTCCACTTCCATCTGCGCTTCTAAAATATAAGGATAATTGAAGAGAAACAATGTTTGAAAGGCAATGACGATGTTTGAATGGATAAAAAATACCTTGAAATTGAGCTCGAGGGGAGCTTCTGATCATAGACTTGAGATACTGTTTTTCCAGTTTGATGAGTTGCCTTTGCAGCGAAACGTTCTCCTCCAGGACCATCCTCAGCTGCTCATTCAGTTTGCCCTGATTCAAGAAAGTGATATTGGGGCTTTATCTGGTGGATTGATATTTGTTTTAAATAAAAAGTATAGTTTTTACAATAATCTTGCAGCAGTTTGTGAAGCAAAGTCAGAAAGGAAGTTAAAAATCACAACTCATCACAAATTGGCACAATTCACAATGTTTAAGATGAATGATTGTTAGCTAAATAAACAACACGCATGTTCTATTTTGAATAGCGAAATAACACATTTTTACCCAGTTTTGTTGTCTCCTGGTGAAGCAGTTCTTTCATTGGAACAAAGGGTTTAGGAGATGACTGTATACACATTCCAGCTCATTTGCTTTGTCTTTATAAAAGTATCAATGCATTCTCTTTACAGAGGTGAAACTAAGAAAATTAGAATATTGTTCAAAAGTTAATTTAACTTTAATTATTAACATGATCACAAATAAACGTTTACTATATCCATCTTTGTGTGTAATGAGTCCATTTTACATACGTTTGAATGTATAATGAATGTACAACAACTACAACAATCTGTCGTTATCTTATGATAAAACAGTGCATATCAGTATGTAGATATACTGACAGCTGATTGACTGATGCTGTGACAGAGGCCAAAAATACATCCCTGTAAAAACTAGTGATTGAACTAAACAGTGTTGAGAGCTTGGCACTATGGTAGCTACATGTGTTTTAATACATAGTTTTACATAATTTTGTGTGGCTTCCAAGTTAGGTACCCCAGCTTTAAGTGCATTTCAGTGATGCATGGTGACTTTAGGCGGACCACAGTGTCGTCCACTCACAACAGTAGCGTGAGCCTCCTCCAGCTGAGACGACAGACTTTGCACTTCTGTCTTGTGCCGTTCTTCCTTCTCCGCAGCTTTGGAGTCGAGTGAATCCATTCGTCCTCTTAAGTTCTTGATCTCTGCTTCCCGACTGGAGATGCTGCTTTCCATCAGAGAGAGGATCTGCACGGCTTGGGCTGGATCAAGACAAAGCGATTTCAGTAAAACGTACAAACAGAAGCCGCATTCCATCATCTGTGCTGGGAGCTCACACAGGAAGTTGTTGTTTTGATGCAGGGATCTCTCTCCCCTCCAGTGTTTATCCACGAGGTTCAGCAGCATCTCAAGTGGCTTCCTGTAACTGCCCTGACAGATTTACAAAGACAACAGCCATACAATAATAAATACTTGAGACATGATTTATTTAAAAAAATAAAAATAAAAAAAGGAGGAGAACAAAGAAGGGGGCTCATATTCCAGCAAGCACATGGATATTGGATTTTATCTAAATAAGAAGCTTTAAGAGATAATGCCAACTGGGAACTGACCCCTAAACTGGAGATCTATGCCAGGGGTGTCAAACTCATTTCGGTCAGGGGCCAAACAAATTCAATAAGACTTTGTTGGGGACTGAAAGAATAGGAGGGATTTAGTTTTCTTATACTTGTTTTATACATTATGATGGTATTTGGACATGACTTTTATGTGAGTTTCACTATTATTTACTTGGTGAATTTTCTGAAAGCAAAATGTGTTTGTTTAGATTTAACCACAACTGGAGCAAATTTAAAGTTCACATTCAGAACCCGCCTTTATTGATCCCAAAAGGTCAACAAAGTTAAACACATTGTTCAATATTTAACTATTTAACTTCTAACGATGTGTTGGGTTAAAATGTTTTAATAAAATAACATGCCCATAACCATCAATATAATTAAGTGAAGAAATGTATGTAGATTTTTATTTATGCATACCTTCTTGTTTTTATTCTGCTTTAACTTGTTTGCACCGAGCGCCAAAGCAGTTTCCGAGTTTGTGACTTCCTGTTACTCACGCAATAAAAAGGATTCGGAGTCAGATTCATTTTAGGGGCCACTAAAAATTGTCTTGTGTGGCCGGATTTGGCCCACGAGCCTGAGTTTGACATACCGGATCTATACCGTCTTAATTTTATTAGAAAACATTTAGTATTTTTGCATACTTAGCATACTTACATAGCCCTGCGAGTCCCAATAATGCTGATATATGTTGTTCCTTCACACACACAGTATACACAGTACTTGCTGGACTATAAGCAGTTTTTTCAAGTTATCTGAACTCTGCGGCCTACAAAGCGATGCGACCAATGTATGTATTTTTATTTTGTTAAGAGTGCCCCCGAGTGCAGGAAGTGATTTGGACACAACATATTGCTTCATCAGCTGTTGGTTAAGTTTTATAACATAATGCAACCCCGCCTGCGAGCTGCCTCAGTCCTGCATCGCATTTGTCCCCGTTCTGCAGCCTGAGTCCTGCACTGTGTGGCTTTGGTCCTCGTTCTACAGCCTGAGTCCTGGGTCTATAGCCCGTCCGTCCGTGGGAGCAGATCTCTCTCTCAATGTGGGCCTCCCCAAGGTTTCTCACTTTTCCTATTGGGTTTAGAGTTTGTCCTTGCCAATGTAGGAGGGCCTGTTAGAGCCATGTGAGGTCTAAATAAAAGGACTCAACATTCACTATTCATGGACATGAATCAACATTTATGGACCAATATCAATGTGTATTCTGTTTTAGTTTCTTGCGTTTGAACCCCTTGTTTTAGCGACTTCAACAGGTTTGTAAAGTCCTCCAAGATAACTACTGTTGTGATTTAGGGCTATCCAAGAATTAATTGCTCTTAATTGAATGGAACAGGAAAACCTGAGGCTTAATTTCAAATGCGGCCTATATACAAGACAAAAATACTTTTCAAATGTAGCTAGTGCGATTTATATACAGGTGCGCTTAATAGTTCAGCAAGTACCGTTTATATATTTTGTACACACACCCACCTTCTTCTTCTTGCCTTCTTGAGGCGAGGTCCCACTCTGGTGACAGCTGGAGTAGGTCAGTCTGGGTGGATGCAGGATTGGGTTCTGTGGGTTTGACACAAAGTCTCCAAGACGACAAGGACTGGGGGGCCGAATGTCAGCCAAGTATGAGCTAAGATGGGCCGCTTGATCTGAAAATATAAATTACACACTTTTTTAAAAATGTATAAGGAGCTATTCTGATAAGCTAATACTAGTACTTAAATATAAAAAAAGTCAAAATTTTTGTACTTTGAAAGCAATATTCAGAAAAATAATGTTGCAATCCTTACAAATTGTACCATAACATGCATCTATAGGTCTCCCATGATTTAAGATTTAAGTTACATTAAAAAATAACTATAAAAGTGTAAATGAAAGATGATAACAGCCCTCTTCGTTACCATATTAAATAATCAGATGCATCATAATGAGCACTCGCCTGGATTAGCAGTGAAATGTCCTTTGGCTTGGCGCCTGGTGTGCTTATAGTCCTTTATTTTTAGTTTCTCAAATAGAGGCTTAGATTTCTCTATGTAAGGGCCGAACGACACCTTGGGTTTCTCTGTTACTTTATGCGCATCTGCGGTTTCTGCATGTTGTTTAGTTTTCTCGTGAGGAATCTCGGATTTCCCTTGATCTGCTAAACAAAAACACAATTTCAAACAATAATAGTGTCATATAGTCAGAAACAAATTATAAACGGAATTATGTCGCCCCCTGCTGTGTTGATATTGTATTACCAGTGCTTTTTTTCCCTTTTGTATTAGATAGACTAATACATTCACTTATTGTCATGTGGTAATAAGGCTTTTAATAACAACCTTTTTGAGTGCCTTAGTCTTTTGATTTTGTTTTGCATATTGGCACTGACCCCTGATTGAAGAACACCTAAAGGACACACCAAAGCAGCGCTCCATAGAGGCAAATATTTGAGCCGTAAAAAGCTCAAACAAAACTTGTCTAAAAAGATTATTATTTGAATATTTGTGTGAAAAAAAGAAAACTGCAAAAATCTCTCAGTACATTTTAAATACAGCAGCAACTCAATATCCATATAAAATGCATCACATACTGGACTTTTAAAATAATTATCACACTGTTCACATTACACTGGGGCATGGCTGATTTAGTGTGAATTTATATTAAATAAATTACAGAAAATTATAAAAAGTATCTGGTTTAATATTTGTTAAAACATATTGGACAAAGTAGTAATCAGCCCAATTGGCTGATTCAAGGAAACTTACCATTAATTGCAGATGGGTGCCTCAAAATGGATTTTGCCGTGTCCTAAGAAAACATACACATTAATTAAGATTAAGATCAATAAAATCTCTAACTCTAGCATCAAAGAACAAGTATAAAATCTCTACATTTGGCATAATAAGAAGACACATGAATATAGGTATATAAGTATTGTGTATTTTAGTGCAAGTAATATATAGTTGTATGTTTACATCTGTACATTAGCAGCAGTAAGTTTACATCTGTACATTAGCAGCAGTATGTTTACATCTGTACATTAGCAGCAGTAAGTTTACATCTGTACATTAGCAGCAGTAAGTTTACATCTGTACATTAGCAGCAGTAAGTTTACATCTGTACATTAGCAGCAGTATGTTTACATCTGTACATTAGCAGCATGAGGCTTTGGGACACAGTGACTCAGTAAAGTGACAGTGACATGTGGTATTGCACTGACGCATGACATGTGAGGTCAGGTTTGCAGTGTTCGTTAGTCCTCATTGTTTGTTGTAAACAAACTAGGGCTGTCAAACTATTACATTTTTGTTGTTGATTAATTGCATAGTAATGGAGAATTAACTCACCATTAATGGCATTTTTAACATTCTATTTCAAATCCACTCCATTTGATGTTAAATGAGATTATCAAAAGTAATGACACATTGATTCACAACCTTTTACTTTTGGGCACAACTAACATAAGCTGTTAATGAAAGGTAAAATTCACGTTCCCCAGCTTTAATTTAGCGAGTTTAGTGGCGTTTCAGGAGGAGACACAGACACTTCTGCGGTGTATTTGCATGCACAGGTCACGCACAGATTATGCAAAGACAAACACACGACATGCAGAGAATAGCTCTGCGCGTGTATGGCCACATTACCGTAGCACCGTTCACCGTGCATTCTGAGTGTTGTTATGGATAACTGGGCGGGTCATTCGAACATGCATTAAAGCATTTTCAAATGTTGAAACTTTACCTGTTTGGGTGTAGAACTTCTTTGCTTTGTGAAATCCATTTTATTTTCTTTATCGTCTGAAAACTTAAAGAGGTAAGTGACATGATATAAAATGCAACTACAAATTCTTTCAATGGTTCCTAGTGTCCCCCTCACCGTCACAACTTTTATTTTGGTTTTCACAATTTGTTCTTTCTGCAAAATTTAACACTATTTCATCCGAGTCTTTGTTGATAGAGAGCCTCCGATAAATGCGGCCGACCAAGGCCAACCTCTGACTGATACTGAAAAGCAAGGAAACACACAACATTCAGTGAGTTCAATTATGTGTGTCTTAAAAGCACAGAGTGAACAGTTCCACCACCTTTTGTCCGAAGATTCTTTCACACAACAGTCCTTCTTTTGAGGGAGATCATCAGAGGGGAATTTCATAATAGCAACTTTACGATCAGTGTCTCTAACTGGACAACCATCTACAAAATATAACAGTTCAACATGGTTAGACACTTGTTTAAAGTTTGAAATAATTATGTTCATACCCAATTTTCGTAGTTTAGGCATCGCATGAACAATATATGGGCGGTAGTGTGGATATGTTGTTGTCAAAGGATTTAATCGGACGTCCAGCTCTCTCAATGCGGGCAAGTCAAAGAGAACAGTTAATTCTTCCAAAGAAGGAATGGCATTATAATACAAAATGAGCCTCTCCAAGGTCTTCAGTTGCTGCACTCCCTAGACATAGGATTTAGAATTATCATTAATGTGTACATTCTATACATAATGGTAAGAATGTATCCTGAATGACCATTTACCTCAATAGACACAAGTGCATTACAGGAGAGATCCAGAGACTTTAGACGTATAAAGCTTTTTAGTCCATATCCCAAGTGTTGTATCTTCTGCTCGTATGTGCCAGGTAAACTCAGAGATCTGACATCGCCTGCAAATTTCAAATACTGGATGAAAATGCATTATTGATACCTAGTTAGCATTGCCTTTACTTTCTTTATTTTGTTATCAAATTAAACAGACATGCGGGATGTTTAATTACAATTCAAGGTTTACATTCCACAATCGTTTAGAATGATTCATTTACACATAGAAGAAGTGGCAACCTTAGTAATTGTTTTTATTTTCCAGTAAAATTCATAATTGCTGTTTTGTGTTATGAGTGTTTTGTTTGTTATACTGTAAGATTTCTGATTAACAAAAGAGATGTCCTTCTGTTTCAATACTGTTGGTACAAAACACATACATCATCTATAACATTAAGTTTGCTATGTAAAACATCAGTATTAGGGTAACTAGCGCTAATTAACGCTGATGTTTGCTAGCTCGTTAGGTTAGCGGCATTATGGCCTAGCGACAAAATTAGTACTAATCCTCACAATCGATGCAGGATTGTATGCGATTCAATATTTCCCGCAGCTTAGTGAAAACTTTACCAAGAGTAGGGTGTTTTAGCTGAAGTTTATCCCTTATCCACTGCTCTGTCAGAGTGATCAACTCCGCCGCCATACTGTTTGAACTGCGGCTCCTGCGCTGCCTTCACGGGCAGTCGGAAAACCCCCAGTTCTAATTTTTTGCTGTGTAAAGCTAAATTATAAGTTATTATTTGGCAGTATTCGATCCATGACAAGTATGAAGACTTTATACATCATATACCTATTAGCTGACTAAAAGTAGATTTTTTTGCTGATTAAAACTACTTTTGGGCTGACTAACAAAATATAATTAAATACATTTATTGAGCCCTGAACCAGACCATAAAGATCAACTTCCCAAAAAAACGATATTTTGATTTGTGATTATATACCATTTTCTAACTATTAAATGTATGGATTTGAAAGCTCAAAAAGGCATCATCTTTTGACGCATGCGTGCTAAAGCCATATCCGTATTCCTCGTCACATGTCATAACAAACTTGGGTTCATACTTTTGTCGCACTTCACGTGTTTCCAAGTCTGCGTCTGTTGTGTTAGTTCTCGTCTATAAAGTTGAGTTAAATCACCTTTACTTTGACCACAACTGTAGAACATTTTAACTAGCACAATGACCTCAGCCTTTATAACTCCGTGTGGCAACATTTGTCTAACTGTAGCTGCATTTCACTCGTCTTACAGGTTGTTCAAGGTAAGAAACACACACAAATAGTCCAGTTATTGGATTTATTTACTTGATTGCACTTAGTTATATGCATGCATGTGGTTAATGTGGTATTGCACTGTCACAAATTATTATTATTATTATTATTATTATTATTATTATGTTATTTCCAGAACCACAGAGCCCCATCTCTTGGCTTCTTCATGCTTGGACTCTCAGCAATAGTGTCCACGTTATCTACCTTCAGTTCCTGCTTCAAATCTCTACCAAAGGAGGATCTGTGCTGGGCGTCTGAAGTCTTGGCTCTAACTTTGCTCTCTTTTGAGTTCCTTTGGCTGAGCGAGGACCACAACACCTCTTATATTCTCCTATGTGGCTCGTGCCTTCTGATTGCACTGAGAGACTGGTTATCAGCTGATGCCTTCTCATTTATGACCCACTGCTTGTGCCTATCTTCGCTGTCTTGTTGTCTCACAGTTTGTCTCTTCACTGGAAATGCTTTCGGAGCTATTGCTGCCTTGGCGTTGACTCTACCTTTGTCTATGGCGACTACATTTGCAGCTGGAGGACTTTTGCATTGGATTTTAAAAGGCGTTTTGTGCCTGGGCTGCTGGGCTTCCATACAAGCGCTTGGAATATTTTTGATTGAAGTGACAGACAAGAGTAATATAAGCATTTAGTTGTTTTCCGCGTTTTGCATTTCATCTTATATTTACAGTCTATGTTCATCTCCTAAGAATTTGAAGGTTCTATCTGCATTCAGAATTCTTCTAAGATATTGAGTCTTCAAGTCCCAAAGAAATGTGTGAATACATTTCTTCATAGAGAGTCTTCTAATTCTAAAGGGATTTCTTTTAGAATTTCCAACACTACACTGCTATTTTTAAGACTAATTTACAAATTAATGACTAATTAAATTAATGTGTTGCTTTTTTGGTTTTGAAGTATACATTATGAGGAAAAATGAGAAGTATATAGCTAATGAAAGAATACAGAAGGTTGTACGTCGAGAAAGTGCCATTTGGCAAGTTAGTTAGTTGGTCGTCTTGTTAATTTTTGGGATGAACTCAGGTTTATATCAGCAGGGATCTTTCAGGAGAACATGTGCCTTTTGTTATTATGCATAATTTATCAGGTATCATACCATTATAGCACTGTAAGAAATATCTTACCTCTATTAATTGTGCTGCTGCACTTACCTCCTGTATCACTGGCAGATGTACACACTGACAACACTGTAATAATGGTCCGCTTATTTAATAAAATCACCAGTTTAACTTAAGGAAAGCTCAAGTTATGTTTTAGTAACTTACAAAAGGGGTCATTTATGCAGCCATTTCTCCTCTTTACAGTCCACTCTAAGGATATGTTAACCTCAATGGACCTTAACTGTTGTAACATGATGAAAGTCTTTTATCTTTTTTATTTATTTATAATTTTTGTACTTCTGAAAAATTAAAGCCTTTACACACACATTCTGATTTTAGCTTACTATTACACCACTATTGGATCCTATTGACACAAAGGTTGCATTCATGATTGGTTGGAGCCAGTTGGTGCCAGTGAAGAATAACAATAGAAATTAATGATTTTAACGACTTCACATTTTAACCAAACAACAGTGAACATCTTTCTGTTGCAACATGTTGTAGTTCACTTTCTATACAGAAACATATTACCATATTTTGACAAATGAATTTTAAAATGAGGATCAAATGTGAAATACCACTAAACCTGTTCTACTGGTAAATTTAGCTTTAATACTATTAAGATTGTGCTTAGTGACTGTAGTGATGTAATGACTAACTTTATGAAATATACATTTCTGAATGATTGTGAATTATCATTTCCAGGATTATTATTTTTGAGATAAATAATAGGGTTTATGATTTAAAGTGCATAGGTTTTTTTGTAGGAATTAATGACACCTGTTTTAGATATAGACACTGTCGTTTTACACTGAACTAATGGAAAGCTAACACAATACTTTGACACTTTACTCCATTCAATCAAAGAATATTCTTTAAATGCTTATTACATTTACAACATGGATATCAAATTGTTAATATAAGTTTAACTTTAACCAGTCATAAGCACTTTAATCTCACAATCTTGACATCTCTTTAGTTTTGTTGATTCAGATCCCATAGCCTCCAGCTCAGCCTCAGGACTTTTCAGATATCTGCAGTGATCTATCGCTTTGGCCCTTTTCCATGTTATACTGGGCCTTGCATACCCTCGCAAGTTCTTAAAATAGCCTTAAAAAGGGAAGGTTTTGCCTCGTGTCTGTCCGCAAAGAAACATCCTTGTATTCTGCTGATTCCTCACAGAACATTGTGGGACACTGCAGAATCTCTCCCAGAGTTCCAGACTTCAGAGACACGTCCTCCTTTCACTGCAGCGATTGGAAAAGCTGCTGTAAGACTTCTCAGATCTCAAGCCAAACTGCAGGACACTTTTATTTATTTATTTATTTATTTATTTATTTGATCGGGACAACACACATTAATGAACAATCATATACAAGTTGTACACAAATTGTAAATGTGCCAGATTGTAGCAAAACTGCTAATTTACATCCGTAGTTCCGACTATTGAACTATTGGAAGTAAATGACAAAAAATTACTTTTTGCCATGTAAATGACACTTTTTCTTTATGATCTATAATTTATTCATAATTTTACTAGCAATTTAAAGGGAGACTTCTTGTTTTGCCAGTATTATTGTAACACTCTCTGCAACAATCTACATGTAAAAACAAAACTGAACACATAAATTATTATATTAACTACCTTTTAACATAACATCTTTTCATAAGACAGGTTTGTCACCAGAAATATAGGTGTGCTGTTTTAAACTGCCTCTTTGAACATATTTTACTCTTATTACCTGCATAAAGTTGAATTTTGTTGTTGTCATTTCAGTTTATCACAGACTTTTGAAATGAATTAAATTGGAAATACAACTTGATAGTTGCTAATTTTAATACAGCTTAAAATGAACAACTATCCATGATCACATACAGCAGTTACAGTATTTCAATCAGACAGAATGCAGACTGAATATAATTATTAAAAAAGGTTAAATCATGCTTGATAATTGAGCTGTGTTTATTTTAACTGTTGTAAAGAAAGATTGGTCTCTGGTTTCAGTCTTGATTCAGTAGAATTGTCTGTTAGTTTGTAATAGGAATTTATTTATTAATACTGTTCTTTGATTATATCCATCCATCCATCCATTTTCTACCCTTTAATCCATATCTGGGTCAGGGGGGTGGCAGTCAGAGATGCCACCCAAGTCTCATAGCACCAGCCCCTCACTGACCCTCTGCAGGTGGTGAGTCCACAGGAGGACGGCTGCTCTCTGAGTGTGAGCATAGCCTTGATCTTTCAGTGGGGGCAATCTTTGATTATATGTAAAATATTAATCAAAGGAAACTGGTCTAATGTGTTTTTGTTATTTTTAGTACACACATATTGTAACACGTGCTAATCTGAACGCAACTACACTGGTTGCCACAAAATAAATCCTGCAGCCTTCCTTCAAACAAGTACTGAGGCGTGTAGCAGAAGTTAATTAGCCTTTGAAACTGCCTGCTACCACTGCAGCAGACAGAAGGACAGGAGAGCTGCTGCACTGGGCATGCTCAGTCCAGACACAGCGGCAAAAGTGGGGAAGAGGAGGAGAAAGGGGAGACAAGGGGAGGAGAGAGGATCCATGCAGAGCTCCATGGGGACGTGACGGACATGACTGCGTGGACAGCAAACACGGGAACGGCAACAACCGGAGTGCGCAAAAGCTGAGAAGAAATTATGACGAAGAGATAAGGTAGAATTTGAAGTCATGGTCATTTGATTGTTCCATCGTTTTCCCCGATCAATTTGAATGAATGAGCTGTTGATATGTTTTGCAGGGGTTTCTGAGGCAGTGCAGAGATGTATGCATTCTACTCGCTCCTGGTCTACATCTTTTACACTGTCTTTAAGAAGGAGGAAGATGAGGAGGCTTTGGAGGGGGCATGTGGGACTGCAAATGTACGTAAACCTCATATTTGTCAACACTTCTCAATCTAGTCCAGTTCATGTGCATTCATATAGAAATAACAGCGGCTTTGCTTTCATCGCACCTGTGAATGCCACTGCACGCTGCTTCGTCTGCTCATTTTAGCATCGTCAGTGTTTGTGTGTGTAATTCTCTGACCCCAAATGTGTTGCCGAGCTCAGGAGGCAGAACACGTTTCCATGGAAACAGGGAGCAAGAGATGTGGCCACACCCCCAAGTTGGGAAAAAAGGCTTTTGCTCGACTTCGGCTTGACTTAAGTGAGTGTTGTGCATTTGTAAGCATCCAAACTGTTAATTATAATAACATATAATTTCTAAAGCTGAGAAAACTAGTTTCTTTAGTTACTTATATTCCATCTTTAGTGCAGCTTTTTCCAAACAGAAAAGTGAAACAGAGAGGACCACCCTCACTCAGCAAGTTTGATACCCCAGTTTCAATCTTTATGTTTAACACCTGATTTAGACTGAGAAGAGTCCTGATCCTGACCCATTTTAAGTTTGGTGATACTTGTAAGGTCAAATATATAGATGCAGTGATATTTAGGAGGCTACATTTATATTTGATGTGAGAAGTTTTTTGCTCCTTGAGCCAATGTAACTCAGTATTATACCTTCTTATAGGCAGCAGCAGTGACAGTGATGAGATGTCTCTAAGTGATGAAGATGCTGCAGGTGGCACAGATCTCCCAACATGCACTCCTTTGGCAGCGTTTTTGTCTTTTAAACAAGAAGCGGAGCAAAAGAGGACCTCACAGCAACAACTGGAGCCATCTGCAAAAGTACGTGTATGTGTGTATATGTGTGTATATGTGAGTGTGTGTGTGTGTGTGTGTGTGTGTGTGTGTTTATACGTGTGAATAAGAGTTTTGTCTGAAAATAGAGTAGTGATATAATTGTATGTGTCTCTTATCGCCTCGAGGTCACAAACTCTTCCCTGGTGGCTGCGATGTCCCACTTACTGACTTTACTTTTAGAATATACTCAAGTCAAGATAGAGATTATTTTAGAATACTTTTTATGTATTGTCATATTTGTGTGCAATGTAGTGCATTCTGTTATGTTGTTTAAATAAACCGCTCATTTGTCTGTCCATTTTCTTCATTTGGGACCAGGCAGCGGTAGAAGCAGAGATGCCCAAACTTATCTCTCCAGCTGGGGAATCCCAATTAGTTCCCAGGCCAGCTGAGAGACATAGTACCTCCATCATATCCTGGTCTTCCCTGGGGTCCCCCTATGGTTGCACATGTCCTTAAAACCCAGGAGACATCAGATCCCATCCCCTCACTCCTCTCCACCTGGAAGAGCAGTGGCTTTACTCTGAGCTCCTTCCGAGCTCAATACGAGTGACGTATTTCTGTCATTCCCATACAGTAGCTCTATTTCTTCACTGATATTTGTATCAATAATTGAAACGTTATGGCCTCATTTATTATTCCAGGTGCTAAACTGTGGGAAATGGCATGTGCGATTTGAACATGTGCATCAGTTTGCTTGTATCTTCTTCATAAACAACTGCCGTAACTTTGTGCGCCTCTGTTCGTTATAGCTGGCGGACTCTCCCCTTGTGGCTGTGATGGCGCACTTATTGACTTTCCTGGAGCAGTATTCGCACTTCCAGCAGCTGCAGCAACAGGCCGATCAGTACAGGGTCCAGCTTAAGAGACACCGCGTCCAGCACCGACGTCAGATGAAGGTCCTGAGAGCGTCCTATCGCCAACGACTCAAAGACAAGAACAGCATCATCACCAGTCTGGAGGAGGCTTTCTCTCAACAGGCCCAGAGCCCCCCCAGCGAAGGTGAGTCTGGGTCTGAGGGGGAGGGAGACTTTTCCAGTTGATTAAATTTGAGGGAGGAGGGGCAAGTGTACAGAGGAGGATGGGTTCGTGTGAAGAATGGTGTGATTTTTATATTCCAGAGGAAGATGCAGGATGTGAGCTGAGAGACTAGATAGATAAAGAACAGGAACAAATAAAACAACTGGGTGTTGTTCCTTGCTGATGCAGGAGGGTCCAAGGCAGGCAAGGCAAACTGGTCCTCAAAGGGCCAGTGTGGCTGCAGGTCTTCATTCCAACCAAGGTGGAGAACACCAGTCTTCACCCATTTCCGAGGTTGGAATGAAATCCTGCAGCCACACTGGCCCATTCTGGAACTAGTTTGAAAGTGATGATTCCCGAAATGTTTGGACATTTATGGACAGTGCTCATCCCACATAGGACCAAAGGTTCCTACGTGTTTGTCATTACTGCTTTTCCTGTGTTTGCACTGTTTGACTCTTTGATCTGTTTTTGAGGAATCAAACAACTTTGTAAAGTCCTCTGAGATAACTGCTTAGAGGCTATTCAAAATAAACTAATTTAATGTAATTATTCTGGACTGCGTAGAGTAAACTTTTTACTTTTCCTGTATTGTTGTCCATTTGAGGCTTAGCCCTATTTGCTCTGTTCATGTTGGGCATTTTTGCCCCAATTTTTTTTTATGAGTTCATAAAAATGCTTATTACTACATACGAGTTGTATTATAATCCATAATTTAATTTAAAACTTGCGCTCATTGATTCAGCTTGTGTATGAATTCAGGCTGTAAAAAGTACTGAGTAGAGACTTGAGCGTGGCGTTCGCTCTCCTCCACTCACAGAACGAGGCTGCGTCCTCTAGCCTCTACAGCGCTGCTAAACACAGTAGCATGATAGCAGGATTGGCTATAACTCCTCTTGCTGTAACTGCAGACACAGTAAACCAGCCCAAACGACACAACAGTGAGGAAGAGAAGAGGGAACTAAAGTGAAAAAAATGATCAAAGAAGAAATTAAGCCCGGGTGAACATAGCTAGCTTACATCGTATCCTCTGGAGAGACTTACAGTCTATGGGAGAGACCTGCAGGACCGCCTCGGACTATCTATGCTCGGACTACATTTGGACGCGAAACTAGCGGTAATCTTTGAGTTATATATTTTTGCGTTGCTTTTGTACCATTTTATCCATGATTGTTGTACAGCTTAAGTTGTGCTCATGCTAATGTTAGAATCAGATCGCAAATAAAACTAGATGGCTCCGTGGGATGAGAGCGTAGGGGAAATGAGAAGCCTCTGAGCGAGTTGAGTGGCGGTGCTAAACATTCAAAGCTTGCAGAAACGTGCAACAAAGGTGTGTGTTGTTCACAGCTTTTCCAATAAGGGGAAATCATCTGTGTTTTAGTGTTAATTGAAATCATACCACTACAGCACAAAACCAAACAAAGATGCCATGTTTTGCTGACCTCATCAATATTCCGTCCACACACGCATTGCACGTTAAAACTGATAGCTACAACATTGTGTGGAAGCGCAGGGCTCCCCGTACGCCACAATGCACCATTAGGTAGAACAAGATCGTTGTAGTGGTGGAGTGATTTCTTTGCTCTAAATAAAATAAGATCAAACGCAATGTGGTTTTCCCGATGAGGCACTTACCAGAACTGGCACATGCTCTGGTCCACGTGCACTGAGCTAAAAATAGCAACAGTTCAATTCCCAGACGTCCAGATGAGACATGATCATGTTTAATATTATCAGCTACTTTCACTGGCGCTTTCATGTCATCGTTCACTTTTATTGTCATTTGTCACACAAAACATAGACGTATGCTGTTGTTCGTGTGATTGGTTCAAACAGTGGCTATAATTATGGTTTGGCTGTTAATTGAAATCACAGATATGTTTTCCCCTTCTAACACAGCTCTGCAAGGTTCATATTTGCAAACATTTTCTAAAGCCTTGACCGTCACGAAATCATCTCTTCCTTTACCTAGTCCTGACCTTAACCTGATTTAGCTTCATCAGCAATCTGAGCTGCCTCCCCTGGGTCTGCTACACAGTTGAAGTGCATCCCAATTTTTTTTTTTTTACTGGAATTTCTTTAAAGCCTATGAAAATTTAGATACCTGTTTGTTAGATTATACAGACCAGTACTTGAAATCATGATTATACATTTTTTATATAAATGAACTGGATGACGATGATCTGCACACTGCAAAAAATGATTAAAATATGAGGTCATATGAGGTCATGAGGTTGCTTGAATCAAGTAGTTTTTATATTGATTAGACATTCTGTAAGATTTGCCAATGGGACAAAGCGATTTACGGTAGTCTTAGAGCTGTTGCTTTATTTTCTCATTCCAAGGGAGATATTTCTTGTATCTTTTAAAACAAGATCATGTTGCTTGCCCCCAAATCTGGTTTTTAAACCTGTCAAAATGTCCTCAAATTAAGATACATTTAGCCAAAGTTGAAAAATGTATAACTTATTTAGTGCAGTTTTTGGCTATTATTTTAATGACTTGCCTTTTTATTGATATTCTATCTATTCTAACTATTATCAATCAAGTAGCATACAAAAATAAATTAAAACTTATGCTGCAAAACTAAGCAGGACGGAGAATGAATTATTTAACAATGTAACTGTGATTAAAATACAATTGCCTTTCATCCAGTGGAGCAGAGGTGCATCATTTAATAAAGTTACAACAGAGCTGTGGTGGAGGCTGCACGTGCTCTGCTTCAGGATCCAGTATGAGGAGCAGAGAGCGTATAAAAAGCCCTTTGGGATCTCAGAGTGGTTAGACGTAACTGAAGCAATGCATGCTTAATGTGTGCGCGTGGGTTAGTGTGTAAAAGAGATGTATAGAGAATTAATATTGCACATGGGAATAATCTGGGTCACTGCAAAAACTGGAGATTTGATTGACCTTTTACAATAGTAGCTTGAATCAAAGTGGCACTAAAACTTTTCTTGCAACAATATGGTATTATCTGGCAATTTGTTTTAAAGAATTTTCCATTGGCTAGTTTCATCTAGTTCTAGCTTTCATCAGTGTGGGGCGACAGTAGCTCAGTTGGTAGAGCATTGGCCTTAAGGCCAGAAGGTCATGGGTTCAATTCCCACCTCTGCACCTTCTCCACCGACTCCCACTGATGACTGCTGTCGTTGTGTCCTTGGGCAAGACACTTAACCCCACTTTGCCCAAAGCCCCCACTGAAAGATCAAGGCTATGCTCACTCTCAGAGAGCAGCTGTCCTCCTGTGGACTCACCACCTGCAGAGGGTCAGTGAGGGGCTGGTGCTATGAGACTTGGGTGGCATCTCTGACTGTCACCCCCCTGACCCAGAAATGGATTAAAGGGTAGAAAATGAATGAATGAATGAATGAATAGTTTCATCTATCTGTCCAGAATATATCCATAAACAGTAGTAGTAATAGTAGAATTGTCTATGTTTATTATTTTCATTTATGCACTTCAAGAAAGAAGTAATATTTGAACTCACCGTCTGATGCATTTGTAATCCTGTAGCCAATTTATTGTGATTGCAGTAAATAATAACTATCTCTGGGCTTGTGGGAATAGCAGTATAAAGCTTTTTAGATTACTTTTGGTCATAATGATTGATCCATCATCCCACAAATAATGTCAATAATCAGGACAGATTTCATATATTTTTGGTGCCTGTTACCTTTTGTTACGCAGCAGATTTGAGAAGCTTAAAAATACCTTTTTTATTTAGAGCAATGTTAAGTATCCAACTCCTCACTCACAATTATTTTATATTCTGGAAATATTCTGTCGTACCCTTCTTGCACTGCCTGGGACATTGCATTGTGTTGCATGTTCTCCCTGCGTTTGTGTAGGGTGCTCTGGTTTCCACTAGAGACGTGATACAAATCTGTTTCAAAAGGTACAATGTTGTTTGTCTTGTCAGGTGAAGGCAGCTCTGGCAGTGGGAACCCGGCCGGAGTCCAGGGCCTGGTGGATTCTCTGTCTGGACTCCAGAGCGAGAAGAGTCGTCTGAGAGGAGAGCTGCGGCTGCTGCACTCACAGCTCGAGCAGAACGACAAAGAGCGATTCTCCCGGATACAGGCTTTCCAGCAACAGGTGAGGAGAATACATCTATGACCGTTTGGTGGCATGTTAAAAGCTGCACTAACTGACTTTGAGAAATTTTCGAATGTGAGCGCTGGGCTTGCTCTTTTTGCTCGCCCTCCCCGCACCTGCGGAGCTTTCGCCCCCCACTACCACCTCCCCCTCAGCCTGTGCTCATGCGTGCTAATTGTATACGGAGCTCACGTCTCACAATATGGATCGCACATTTGAACATGGATGGCGTAACCATAGAATGATTGAACCGGGAAGCGCAGAGGAACGGGACTTTCTTTTGGATAGCTGTTTCGCTGTGTAAGCAGAAACCGGTAACGAAGACACGGGACGTTTCAGGTTAGCCTCCGCCGCTTGTTTACCTCAGCTGTCTGTGCTAACGAGAGACTCGTGGCTTTTCTCAAGAAATTGGGGGCCAGTGGTCCGCTGTGATTGGTCACAATCTGCTCCCGAAACAAATTCTCTTCCTTGTTTTACAAAAACTCAATCTGAAATTAAATGACTCGCCAGCACAAATCTGCACTTTTTCTTCAAAAGGACGTATATCCCAATGCACTGCATGGATATGGATTGCATTTTCGTAATGAATACAAAAATAAAGTCAGGTATTGCAGCTTTAAAGCATGGGGTACATGACTCTCAAACTACACAAAGATAACATGTTTGAGATCAAAATTTTGCTTTTACAAGACTCTTTTCGTTGGTATAAACAACATAATATTTATTGGGGTGGTGGGGGAAGTTAGGTAGCCCAGCTTTAACTTTGGAAAACACAAAAGCTGCATTTAGTTTTTGACAGATTAGCGCCTTTTAACTTTAAATGAAAATCTAACATAGTGCTACTTTAAGTATTTAAAGGAAGTAGTGTGCTGCACATTCACACCAGCAGTACATTCCATTAGTGCTTATCAAGCAAGCTGACTGTGTTTGGCACAAAATCACTTGTGTACACCTTCGTTGCTAAAGGCTTTTTATCTTCCTGGTGGCATTAACTTAAACTCAACGTCTAAATGTAGCTGACTGGTGCATACGCTCCAGGTCATTCTGCTCTTTGCTAGTTATTGCTCTTGTTGCTACATTGTCGACAATTTAAACAAACATGTGAAAAACAAGAACACTCAGATGACAGAGACTTTCTCAATATGTGCACTTTCTGATCCTGTAAAGTCTTGTGATGTTGACTAGTATTCCTATTCTTATTTTTCACACACACAATCTTCTCTTAATGTGAAGTGACAACGACATCTGAAAGTTGAGTAGTCAGTCATAGCTCTGAGTGTTCTGCTGGTTCTGGTGTCTTTTGGATTTTGTAGACAAACGTCTACCTTTTTATATAGCAATGTTTCAGACACTATCATCAAAGAAATCATATGATATCATATGATAACATTTATCATAAAGTTTTGGCCTTAATCTGGAACAGAAATAGTCGTAGAAAATGGTACCCATTCGGAAAAGTTGCACATAAAATATATAAAAATCACATTTTTTATGACTTTTTTTTTTATGTTTGTATGACTATCTCCTGAAAGTGGCACCTTTTGAACATCTTTCGTATATATGGCAAAAAAGTTTCATGTTGTCGATATACAAATTGTATACAGCCTTTGTATATTTTCTAGTTTTACAATATATCTGTATGTCATACATATATGGATAATTTGTATATTTTCTATTTAATCATACCATAAAAGAGTAATAAGTGTCTAAAAGTGTAATAAGGGTGTAATAGTTCTTTCTCTTGTACGATCTTCATAATGATGAGCTATCACGTTACTCTTGTTACTTCTACACGGTCAGAGCTGCACTCAATTTACATACTGTAGCACCAGCCCCTCACTGATCCTCCTGCAGGTGGAGAGTCCACAGAACACAGCATAGCCTTGATCTTTCAGCAGACGGTTGAGTGTCTTGCCCTAGGACACAACAACAGCAGACCTCAGTGGGAGTTGGGAGTCACATACTTTCCGTTGTTATACAGGGTATAAGGCCCCGACTCCACCGGGCGCGTAAAACGGACGACGGATCCGTCCAAACATGTCCGTTTCATCTCCGTCTCCGTTATCTCCATGAGAGTGAATGGAAGTGGCTCCACTGCCTCCGCATGCGTCCGTCCAACGCACGTCGGACCTATTCCGTCAACGGAGGGTGCAAAAGACGTGGACGGACGAAATAGAAACAATCCTATTTGTTCCGTCCGTCGACGCGTGTCGGGTCCGTTTTCCATTGAAAATGCAATGGAATAATATATTTACAACATTGTTAAACATGTATTGATATATGCTGTAGTCCTTGGTTATAAGTATTTGTTAATGACAATGATTATTAACAAACGTGTGTAATGTTTTTCATGTATTAATTTAAATAATTGTTTCCTGATCGTAAATCTACCATTTATTTTTCGCGTAATGTTCATCTTTACATAAACCTCGCTCTTCTGTCCCGTCTACCTCCGAGGCGCTCTCTCCTCACCGCCGCGCGCTCCCAGACAGACAGACAGACAGACACGCACACACACACAGAGCTGCACTTATGAGAGACAGATCTCACAACACTGGATATGTTGGAGTTCTTTTCTCTCTCCCCTTTTTCCAATTGCTTTCAATAAGTTTTGCCTCATCCATCGCGACGTCCTCAATGCTTCAATATGCTGTGCTTTGCACTGATCATAGCCACAGCTCATTCAAATCACACACCGCTTCTTCTATTTAAAACTATAGCTCTGCCTGTTGCCTAAAGCCGCAGAGAGGCGAGTTGGCTCCGATAAAAGTGTATCATGCGCTAAATAAGTAGAAAACAAACGAAGAGGCTGGATCATAATAAACGCTGCAGTCACAGACCCAAACACACATGCACGCACACGCCTCCCACCACACACACACACACACACACACACACGGGCGCTCTCACGCACACGCTCACGCACACATGCACGCCGACAATACATAACTCCTCCATCAGCCAAACATTCATTCATTCACACAATGCCCAAACATGTCTCCTACAAAAATAAAGCAGGCTGATAAACGCACAGCCAGAGTTGCATGCTGCTGCAGCCGGTTTGACCACTGGTCCGTTTTACGGACGGCTGACGGACAGCAGCCAACGCGCGTCAACGGAGACGCGCCCGGTGGAGTCGGGGGGTAAGAAAAAGTGAAAATGTAACTCACTTGTTTTCGCTCAAGTGTTAGTGATAAAATGCCAACAAACCTTTCACAATTCTTCTTTATTTTTTCTACATGCTTTCCCATATACAAATCGACATATTCAATATTACTAAGAACTTTGTGTTGGATTTCAAAGCATCATCTATGTATTCAAACAAATCTTACATTATTTTTATTAAAAATGTAAACATGGTTTTCCATGTATAAATTGGAGTATACAATCTTTCTTTGGAATGTATATGTTTTCATACATTTCCAGTAAGTCCTATAAAACTTTTTTTAAATATGGGTATGGTACTTTTTCTTTCTAAAATCTAAATGCCAATGATGTCTGTTTGTTCAGATTGATGAACTAAAAGGATGCATAGAGGAGCGAGAAGAGGAGCTATCCCGACTGAGAACTGCCTCTGTAAGTGAAGTTTAAACCATTATAACTATGTGCTTTATCTGAGAAATCCCAACTACATCAGAAATGTCACTGCACAGGGGTGACACACATGTGTTGTTGTTGTTTTCCCAGAGCGCCACTGACTCAGAGAAAAGGGTGATGTGTTTAACAGCAGAAAACGAGAGTCTGAAACAGAATCTGAGTGTGACACAGGGGCTCCTGCAGCAGCTGTCCACCATCCCTAACCAGTCCAGCAACATGCTCATCAAGGTAATAATAATAATATTGCATTGGTTTTATATAGAAATCTATATAGAATGTTATATAGAATTATCAATAAACAGCACGCACCAGTAATGCTAATGGACCTGTCACTGCGACAGTCTCTCTCTCATACATAAAGTCATCCACTAGTTTTAGCATAATCATAAATTAATCTAACCCCTCCCCCTCTGGTGTTTGTGTGTGTGCCTGTGTGTGTGTCTCTGTGTGTGTGTGTATTAGGAAAATGAAAACCTGAGGAGCCGAGTGCAGCAGCTGGAGCTGTCTCTCCAGCAGCGTGCAGAACAGTTATCATCCCTGGAGCGTCACAGTGAAACGGCCGAGTGGAGGAGAGGAGAAGAGCTGCGGAAACGAGAAGACAGAGTCCGAGAACTGCAGCTTGACCTGGACCGAGAGAGGACCAAGGACCCGGTGATCAAGGTGCAACTACACAACAATCTGTCTTTAAGCAAATGTGGCAGAACTGGTACCGGTTTTATGATTTGAGAAAACCTTCAGTACCGAAACTAACTCATGACAAACCACTTCAAACCGTTACTAATGAACTTAGAAGCATGGCTAACCACTTCAAACCGATTGTCGATTGTTTTAAATTGTAATGAGATTCAGTAAGAAGTCAATGAAAGCTGTCACAAAAAAATAAAGTAAAGTATTTTATGTAAATAAATACTCAAGGAAAGTCTATTATTCTAATACTAAATACTAAAATAAATACTTGACACCTAGACTGTAAGTAACCGCATTCTTTGTTTGATTTGTTCAGTATGTGACCCAGACGGTTGAGGTGGAGTCACCGGCCACTTTGAAGCACCTGAATAAAGTCAGACAGAAGAATGAATTGCTCTCAGAGAAACTGGGCCATCAGAACGAGCGCTGCAAACAACTGGAAGAACAAATCCGGAAGTCTGACGAATACAGCTGCAACCTGCAGCACAAGGTACGAAGCAAGTTTCTCTCAATAACAGTATAAGCTGCTCAAATCTAATTTTCAGCATGCATTTTCTGTATTGATAGTTGGTCAATTAGGTACCTTAATTTGTTTGTATCAGGTAATAAAATGTACACATAAGGCCTTTAACAATCCAGGTGCTAATCACCTTAGTATGTGAGAAAAGGCCCCGACAAATACTATACAAATCCATGTATTATAGAATTATGATCTATATAGACATACAGACCTAATAACTGGATTGAAGTTGAAAGTTGAATCACTCTATTGAACTCCAGTCTGTGGCTGTGGGTCGGCCTTCTGCTTGTTTCAGTTGTGGCCCTCGTGATAATATTTGATCGCCTTGTGCATCAGTAACAGATCGATGTAATGAGCCATCACGAGGCTATAATTTAGACTGATGCTTGTTCAGAGCTGACAGAGTGAGTAATTGCAGTTCTGATGTCCACAGATCGCAGCCTACGAGAGAGAGATCGGCTCACTGAGGGCAGAACTCCTGAAGGAGATTGGACATTTGGAGCAGAGGAAAGAGGAGGCGGTGAGAGCTGCAGCCAGCTGCTCTGCTGAGAACTTTCAGAATCTCCAGGACCAGTTCTTCTGTGAGTCACATCACATTTCTACATTTAGCAATGGAACTTTAGTTTCATAAATAATACCTTTTTCCAAACAAAAAGTGTAAATGTTGACTCATCTGCATATTTTGCAAACTATTTTAACTATTTTTAAGAGTGGTCCTTTTTCACTTTATTACCTGAAGAAGCTGTTAAAAGATAAAGATGTGAGAGAGAACATAAGTTACATGTATGTGTAAACTTGTCATAGAACCAAACTGTTTTACTACATAAAACTATGACATTTTCTGCCTTTTCTATCTTAAAAATTATATTTTTTGTTCTTTCTTGGCCTTGAAGTGTAATGTTCTTTTGCCTTAAACCATTTATAGCATTTTTTGCTGTTGGTGGTTTGATTATTTCTTACCATATAAAACCTTTTGCTGTTATCACATTTTACTACATACAACTGTCCTCTTACCTGCAGGCTTACAGAAGCGTTTGACGTCTCTACCACCAACATTACGCTCCATGAAGACTGACTATGCCAGCCTGAGGAGCCAAGTCCGAAACTTTTCAGACTTTTATGGATCAGCCATCAACGACGCAAAAAAACAAGTATGAAACTCACCCACTCAAAGAAAACTGATCTTTTACAAATGAATTCAAGCAGCAAGCTTTTCTGCATTTTGTAGATTTCTGCTGCAATCAATGAGATGTCAGAAGCCAATAAAGATCTTTTGGAGAAATACAGAAAAGAAGTCGCTCTGAGGAGAAAGTACCACGAGCAGCTGGTGGAGCTTAAAGGTGACATTTGTTTTTCACAACAACTGTTCCCAATAACGTCTAGTGTTCTATTTCATGTCTGTTTAAGAAACCCAAACTCCTGTTACACCACCATGCTGTAACTGCTTACACACTATATTTTACAAGTAAAGACGCATTGAAATGTCTGCTGGAAGGATTGTTTATTTTTATTGTTATTATTAGTATTTGTTTTATTATTGTTATTAATAATAATTGTATCCATAACAATATGATGTGAGGGGAATAGATTGCTACTCTCAACACCATTACTGGTATCGTTCATGTATCGTCTCAGCAGATATTGAAACCATTGTGTCACGATTGGTATCAGAAATGAGAGATCTGGAATTGTGAATCCAGGTCCTTAAAGGTATTACTTAAAAGTAGCGCAGACCAAAAACTATTGACTTAGAGATGCGGGAAGAAAATTAAATAAATGATAGTAAACATACTGTACAAGTGAAAATTAGAATATCATTCGAAAGTTCATTGATTTCTGTAATTCAACTTAAAATGTGAAACCATAGACTCATTACATTCAAAGTAACATATACCATGCCCCTTTGTTTGTTATAATTATGGCATATTTCGCAAGTAGAAATCTTCTTATCTTATAGTCTACTGCCAATTTTGTTTCGCTATTTTATGAATACAAAGTACAGAAGTAAATGGACTTTTCCACCAGTACATATTCAGCCATGTCTTCATAGAATCTACACTTTCTTTGAACCATTAAAGTGAATGATATATTTAACATTGTCTATACCCTGTCGATGTTGTCCATTTTAGGTAACATCCGTGTACTGTGTCGTGTGAAGCCGGTTCTGAAAGAGGACCAGCACGAGGAGGGCCAGTCTGTGGTAGTGACTCCTGATCCAAACAACGAGTCCTCACTGAGCGTCCTCAACAAAGGGAAAGGACGAATCTTCGAGCTGGACAAAGTGTTCCACCCTCAGGCCACGCAGGAGGAGGTCTTTCAGGAAATAGAACCACTTGTTACCTCATGCATTGACGGATACCACGTCTGCATCTTTGCCTACGGACAAACCGGCTCTGGGAAAACCTACACCATGGAGGTACTTTGCACTGTGATATAAAGAACACATATTAATGCAAAGTTGTCTTTTTCTTCTTTTAAACACGTTAGAACATTAAAAACAGATCTGGAGTTGTTGTACTAATATTTACACTCTTACTCTAAGCCTTAAACATGGTTGGTGGTTTTACATTCCCAAATGAACCCTATATTAAACTGAGTCGGTCCAGTTAAAGTGACCCAGACCAACGAGTATGAATGAGTGAATACTATATTTTGTTCAGCTCGAAAAGGAGTGGGACGAAGTTAGGACTTTTAAACTCCAGTATGAATACGTCTTAAGAGATTATTTCACATTTTAAATCATGAAATGCCATAGTAAATATTCTCATGATCATGTTTAAAGCCCAGAAGGAGCTCAAACCGTTGCATGATATTTGTTCTTTCAGTTTAGTCGGCCGCGTTTGCTGACAACTTTTGTTGTTTCTTCTGCAGGGAAATGCCGAAAACCCGGGCATTAACCAGCGCGCGCTCAAACAGCTCTTCACCGTCATCGAGGACCGCAAAGACATGTGGACGTACTCGGTCTCTGTGAGCTCCGTGGAGATCTACAATGAAGTGCTCAGGTACTGGTCTAGTCTGGTCCCTTTGTTTATCCTTTATCACAGATATCACCTGCACAATACATGGCTGTTTCTATTGTCAGTGTATTCCCTCATTCTTTCAGAGAGATCGTGGGTTGCATTGAGACGCATAGGCTCCTATTTAATTATTTAATCTGAAATAATGTCTGAGAACTGTATTTGTCCTTTTGTTGCAAGCTTACACACCTACCATGAAACATATTTCTGAATGATGTCATAGTTTTATGTCAAGGCTATACTTTTTTCACAGAAATACATTGTACTACATAAAAATACATATAACACGACTTACAGCGTATTCCTCCTCTGATCTTAAGTCGTTAGATACATTTTCCTTCTGCCCTTTGTTTTATCACAAGCCACGGGATCAAAACGCGTCTTCATGAAAACATAACTTGGCCTTTGCTGTTCCTTAGAAGAAAGCCAAATTGTTTCACATTTATTTATAAAGGACTTAAAAGGATCTTCAACTGGCTCTGAACAAAAGATCACAGCTTTGAACGTTTTGCATCTCAAATATGTCATTACTTTAAACAGGCGCCACTTTCACTTTTAATGTTGTTGTCTGTTTGTCTATTATTGTTGATCTTATGTTTGAGGTTTTGAATTTTTGTTTGTGGAACAGGGCGTTTGTCAAAACAAAGAGATTCTTTCACTCTCATTAAACCTCTCCCTGTGCAAACGATAAAAACCTCCCCTTACTGAACCTGTCTCCTTCTCTCTATATGTTGTGTATTCATGCATTCCAAAAGACATTGTAATGATTCAATCTGTTGTTTTGCGTTCCCAGTATATGTTTTACTCCTGTTTGCTTTATAATAGTGATTTTATTGCTCTAAATTATCTTTATTGGAGAACTTTCTACCTAGTATTTGGCTTTTAATACCAGGTAGAAAGAGACAAGTTTTTATTGTGCTGTTTTGTCCTGTCTGTACAGCACTTTGGTAAGCCTAGGCTGTTTTAAGTGTGCTTTACAAATAATCAATCAAATCTTTATTTTTTTTTGCATACACCTTCTAAGGCTGTGATTGTGGTGTCATTCAGAGATCTTCTCAGTAAAGATGGAGAGAAACTGGACATAAAGATCAATCCGGATGGAACAGGGCAGCTGCACGTTCCGGGTCTGAGAGTCATCGACGTGAGGAACTTCCAACACATCAAGAAGGTTTGTGACACATTATAATGGATTATAATACTCTTTTTAATAATTTTTTTCATATTACAACATTGTTAATCAAAACACAGCTGGAGTTTGTCTTCATTCACACTAATATGAGGAACTTCTGGTAAAAGATGAGAAAAGACCGTTTCTATGTAATCAAATTCTCGTTCTAATAAGTAAGAAAGTAATCTTTATTTATGTAGTGCATTTTTACAGACCAAAGTCACCCAATGCGCCATAAGTTTTTCTTCTATCACTAGTTTTCCCTTTCACTTAGTGTTGGCCTCAACTTTTTCAGATAGAAGAGTGAAAAAGAGAGAACCACCCTCACTCAGCTCTCAGCCCAAAGCGTCACATAGAGACTCACAGGGCTAAGCTAAAGAAAACATATTAAAGATTCAGACTATTGTGGTCTGGTTTGTTCTGGCTTTTACTTGCGCAAGACTCTTTCAAACAACATATAATGTAAAAACAAAAGTATTGTCTTCAAGTTATTATTATTATTTTTATTTATTCTCCAGGCAACCAGGGAACACTTTCACATTCATTACTCAACAATTGATCAAAGGCTGAAGTTAGTTTTGGGACTTTCTTAACAACTGCACCCCTTCAATTAGGTTGTGCCATGTTAGATGTTTAACTATGAAACCAATGAGAGTTTGCTCATTGTGCCCATCTTTCATTCCATTAAATGTATCTATTTTATTGAACTAAAACTTGAAATGCTATGATAAATATTCTCATGATCAAGTTAGAGGTCTAAATTTGCACAAATGATGCATAATGGGTGTTGACGATGAGGCATTTGTTCAGATTCTGGGGACTGCGCGGCGGAACAGGATCACTTTTGGAACGCAGATGAACCAGCACAGCTCACGCTCCCATGCTCTGCTCTGTGTCACTGTGGAGGGAATCGACCTCGCAACCGGCTCCAAAACTACCGGTGAGTCTTATGTGCTCCGTTCAGTTTATAGTTTATTATCTTCTGCTGTAATGTGCGCAACGATGACACTGAAATTTCCTCACTGTGGAACCAATAAAGGAATATATTATCTTAGTGCTAATTTCCACCAGTTGTCAATTAACTAATTATAAATGTACAAAATTATGTTTCAAGTATATATTTGTGCATTAATTAAAGCAAAAAAAATAAGAAATAAGGTCTGCTAATGGAATGAGCAGCAAGGATCTTTTTTCAAGCACATTACCATGTTGTTTTTCTCATTCCAAGTGAGAATGTTAGAAACAAGAATTGAATGCAATGTTTTCACCTTCATGTCTCATGCTGCCTCAGACTAGGATCCTTCTCCCACTTGAAACATAAATCAGTATGATTAACCCATGGATAGTCTTATTTTTAAAACACCTTCAATTCTTTCAGGCAAGTTGAATCTGGTGGATCTGGCTGGTTCAGAGCGGGTGTGGAAGTCCGGAGCAGAGGGGGAGAGGCTGAAGGAGGCCCAGAACATCAACCGCTCCCTGCTGGCTCTGGGAGACGTCATCCAGGCACTGAGGGCACGGCAAACCCACATCCCTTTCAGGAACTCCCGCCTCACCTACCTGCTACAGGACTCGCTGGGGAAGGGCAGCAAGACGGTGATGGTTGTTCAGGTAAAGGCTACACCAATTACTGGGAGTTAACACTTTAGAATGAGCTCGACCTGGTTAGAACCAGTGCCAGGCAGATACTAAAAAAAGTACCCGGTACCAGTTAAACAGGGCCAGTGGAAACACTCTCAATCACAAGCCAAGTAGAGTTGGGCCAAGGAGGGCTGGTGGAAACAGGGCATAAGTTGTCTTTGAGCATAAATTGAATGGCCCAATCAAGATTTCAGGTTTACCAATATCATAGATAGAACCAAAAGAACATCCGGTACCTGCGCACCTGTCCAAAACATTTTTTTGAAAGTACCCATATGTGAGCTTGATATGATTAGTGAACATCCCACATGGGCTCATCCTGATGTGTTGTTGACATGGAAACTACAATCGTACATAATGCCCCTTAGATTATGTAGGCTATAGCCCTTACGGGGTTATTTTGTAGTACATTGTTTTCCAAAAATATTGAATTTTGAAATGTAACAACTCTCAGTACATGTTCATTCAACATACCGTTTTTCTGCTCTCTTGAAGGTGTCTGCTCTGGAAAGCAACCTGGGGGAGACTTTATGCTCACTAAAATTTGCCCAGAGAGTGTGCAAGGTGGAACTGGGCCCAGCAGCCAGAAAGATTGAATCTGGTGGACTTTGCGACTGACAGACTACCTAAGGTGCTTCCCCCTTTTAGCCATTACAGCAAGTAACATTTACCAGTCTATATCTGAATAAAACCAACTACTACTGCAACAACGTGAAGCAACAGCAATCTTGCACAAGGGCTCTCTAGTAGCACTTCATGTGGCAGATGCATGTCGACCTCTGATTGCATTTCTGATCCATACCAACCTTGAAGGTGCTTAACTGTTCTACACACAACAGAACAAACCATACTTTGTGCAGTTTGTTTCATGCCGTATCACCCGTAAATAGGTTTTATTAACTTGAATATCATGAGATTTGTAAATGTTGCCATCTTGCTTGAAATGTATGTAACTTGTCTGCTTTTGGTGCACTGTCCCTGTAATCAGGGGCGTAGCCAGACTTTGTTCCAAGAAGGCCTCCTCCCGTCCCCTTCCATCCGTAGGCGTTATGTAATGAAATCTGTACACTTCATGTAGCACTTTACATACAGTAAGTGTCTTGTGTGCTTTGGATAAACTTGTAGCAACTGAGCAAAGAAACTTGCCCTGACAGAAGTTGGTGGCCTTGTGCAATATGAACTGTGAAATATCCGTACTACAGAAGGCCACATGCACTTTATTATGAGGGCCTGTATATCTCGCTTTAGGGACTTCAGTAGATACTAGTGAATGTCAAACCAAAATCTATTTAATACCCTCTGGATAAAGTAGCAAATTACTCTTTCGTTATTTACCACTGTAAGAAAACTCTTTGGTATCTAAATAAAAACATAAACCCTTATATTTTACTGGTGTTCATTGAATTTACACATATTCAAAAAATATATAAAAAATATCATCACACACATTTTCTGTCTTTTTTTACAAAGACATGCAGTAATAATACAACAGTACAACATGAAGGAAGCCGTTTGTCCCTTGTGTTCAGTCTGAGTCCCCCTCGTCTTCTCGTGCTGCTCCTACGACTGCTGCCAGCTCCTCTTCACTGCCTCGCAGACGGTCACCTGTAACGGACCAGCCACAATTAAACCCTCGCCTTGATGATGTCACTAAACATAAGAGTGATTGATCATGCGAGTTATCTTTCTATTGCAACGATTAAAAGGACAATTGTTGAAATCACCAGAGTGTGTATGAAGCACTCACGTATAAGTTCAGCAATTGCTCTCTGCGTCCTCCTCTCCAACTTCTCCAGTTTTTTGGCTACGTCACGCTTGAGATCCCTGCGTGGAACAAAACAGGTCAATAATAAAAATCAGTGCTTCCTAAAGAGGGGTCCAGGGTTTGTAGTTTTCCATCCTAAATTTGATAATGTCTAATTTCAGGAAAAACAATGTCATGGTCATTTTGTCTCACCAGTCTGGTTTTCTTGGGGCGAGGTTGGCCAGATCCTGTCAAACAGAAAGTGTTCAATAACAGCTCAAATGACACAGAAATAGAAAAGTAAAGTGAAGACTTACTACTTCTTCAATAATGGGCTCAGGATTTGCAGCCTCTAATTGATCTTTTACTTTGTCTTCCACTACAAAGATATCATTTGTCATTACTGTATTATTAGCTACAGTAATGCTAGGATGATAGTAAATGGCTCACCGGAGGCAGGTTTGGCTTTTGGAATCTGTCGGTCTTTCAGCTCTTCATCCTCAGGTGTGTAGTTCCTCAGTTTAAGTTCTCTGAACAAACACAAATATAGTATGTGGATCTTCCTCAGTTAGTAACTTTGACTGTGTTAAATGCTCCAGCACCCACACTGGTACTGTATGGATAAGTGAGAAGCTTCGTTCAGGACTCCCTTGAAATAGAGGTTCTTAATTTCAATGGTACTTTCCTGGTTAAATAAAGGATAAATAAATACATGAATAAGAAAGCTAAATGGTGTTTATTTTTTACCATTTTACAGAGTGCAATATTGGTTTTGCTCCAGAAGGTGGCAGTGTATGATAGGGTGTTCTTGTTCCATTTAGCCGGTGGTCAGCACAACTGCTGCATGTAATGTGTGGAGGGGGTCAGGAATAAGGTTGTCTTTATGTCTACAAACAGGTCTGATTAACATGCTCCACCTGCTCCGCCACATGCACCAACAGCTGAGGAATGCTCTGCTCGAGGCCAAATTATGCTCCTTCGGCAGAACAGGGAAATTCTTGGCGACGTTCACTGTCATCTTTGCAAAAAGTGAGAGCGATTGTGCAGAGCGGTATCAGCTGTGATGTGTATGTCATGGGCTTCTGATGAAGAGAGGGTCCACCGCTGATGCATTCATCACACTGCTCCTGCCGCCACACAGACCCAGGCCTTGTATGGCTATGGGCAGGAATTCTAGTCATGTCTTTGGCAGACTCTGTTTTCCCCTGTCCCAAAAGACACTGATCTATCTTTATACACATTAAAATATAGGTTTGTGGTTTTGCATTTCCTGGTTATTTTATTTATAGGTTGTTACATTAAAGCCGCACATTGCCCAATTTGAGCAACCAGCATTAGACAATATAGTGAAAGGGTGAAAGCTTACAAAATACGGTTCTAAATTGAACGCACTAAGAAATTATTACAGATAAACCCTCATCACATAGTCCAATCACCAAAAGCCACTTTTCCAACATAGAATTATTTTAATAATTGTTTCAACTTGTTTTCATCTTTTAAATCTAATCACCTCTTGTCAGACCAGAAAAAACACAGCGGCACTCCCTCCATGTCACAGTCATTAAATATAAACAATGGAAAAAGGGCCTGTAGGACAGGAAAGATGGCTGCTCCTCAAACTGAGCTGAACACGCGTTTGAGCAGTGGTTAGCAGAAGGCAGGGTGTGATTCTATAATCTATTCTACACCATCCTGCCACAGATGGCGTCAGATAAAGGCACATGCACAATCTCAAGTTCCACTTCTAAGTTTTAGTAGTAGTAGTCGTAGCAAATTTAAGTCCCTCACTTGTGCTTATCTTCTGTATTTTCTTCCAACGCTGCCCTTTTGTTTTCAGGCTCGTCGTCGTCTTGCTCCTGTCCCTTTAAAAAAAAAAAAAAAAATCCAAGATCAAGTATGAGCCGTAATTGCTTTTCTTATGAGTTAATGACAGATATAACCTGTTCTCATTAAATGGCACATGTCAACTAGGCCTACTCAACTTACATGTTTTCCTCTTACTGAATATTACGGAGTAGTTACTGTTACTACACTAAAACCAGATAACCCTGTTTTAGAACTCACTGCCAGAAAATGCTACTAGTTTCTATTTTCAGCCCCTAATGTTTGTGCTCTATGGACAAAATACTACTACATCCTTACAAACCGCAAATGCATTGTTTGTGATCCAATTTCAGGCAATAAGTAAGTGAAATATGTGAGTAAATGGTCTTAATCTCCACCCAGGGGATAATTTCCTGATTGAACTTCCTGTCTACCTGCTAGAACAATCCAGTGGGACAAATCCAGTTCCGAGAGCTCTACAAGCGGAAAAGGGTGTCATACTAAGAGAATGCGTCTGATCCATCCTAGTTTTCAGCTGATGTAAATACTGCATAAATAAATCATTTGTTTTTATACAATTATTCCCAACTATAGTTAAAATATGAACGTCTTTGCTCAAAGCAGAATTTGTAGACGCGCCTGTGACTCATGGACGCTTTCTATACACCAATCAGGCTACCAACTAGGGCTGCACCTTCTGAAGCGCAAAATACAAAAAAAACAATTAAGTAATCCACTTTGTAGTTACCAAAGTGAAAAATCCTTCAAACCCGACTCATCACCTTCAAGGCTGCATTTAAACAGCGCCCAATATAAGCTGCTGTTTGTGCAGTGACCCTCCTACTCATCTTTCTTATAATCTATATCATATTTCTGACCGGCAAACCAGAATCAACATTTTATTATTCCAAAATGCAATAAATATTCTTTAGTATCATGATAAATCTGCTGTGTCTAAGTGTCTAATCATGCCACATAGTCATGAAAAAATCTCAATTAGGGCTGCACGATATATCGAAAAAATATCTTTATCGCAATATTGGTGCGTGCGATATCCATATCACAAATAGACAAAACAGACAGACACATCAACATTCAACAAGAACATCAAACAAACAAAAAGTATATTAATATATGCATTTGAATGTCATTAATGTTGTGCTTATTTTGTCATTTGTCTCTTGCGTTTCAATGCAGATTGCAATTTTAGGTGAAAAAAAAAAATATATATATATATATCGTGCAACCCTAATCTCAATCATTCTAATGCATCATTAATCTTGAAGCTTTTCTGATTGAATTTATCTTAACATGACATTCAATAATCTATAGGCCATTTGCAGTTTTAAAACTACATAGAATGCTTGAGCAAAAGCTGCCAATATAGCCCAGAGACAAACATAAAAACACAGTACAAATTTTAAAACACATTAATTATATTTTACTCTCAAAGCAGGTTTGTCTATATATATATATATATATATATATATATATATATATATAAATTAAACATGTATCGTCTCGTCTGACCTACAATATCATATATCCATTTAAAACAGCACACACAAAGCAAACTATTTGTCTCCCAAATTGAAGTGATTTTTAGCTTATTTTCACAACAGAAATAATTGCAGTCTGATTTGCTAATTGCGACTGCTCAAATTGGTATTAATCTTGTAACCATATTTCCCAAGGACACAAAGATTTTTGAAAAAACTCACCTGAAAGGTTATATTCATATTTTATTATTATGAATGCATGTTTGCATTTTTCACTGCCAAGTGCCACCACTCCCAACATAATGAAATGTATAGCCCCCTGTGGACTAGTGTTGAAAACTAGCACATAAGCTATAACTATGAATTTATCATAACATCAACTATAACACTCTGGTTCGTCCAAAGTTATTATGTCAGTATTATTCAATTTTAAAATATAATATAGAAGGACGTTGTTTGTATTCAGTAAAGGGATAAATATGGCAGTGGCATGGACAGCATAGTTGATTTAGGTAAAACAAATAATGCAAATACAATAAATGAATAATAATACTAATACAGGGAGAGGTGGCTTCATGAGAGGCAGTGTATTCACTAAACATGTCCCCTACAAAGTGGGCTAAGTCAGGCTAGGCTAGTTCTTCTAGCTACAGAAACACGAGCCTTTTATAACCACAAGACGAAGAGCACAGAACAGCATAAGACTGGACACACACATAATCTCACACAAAAATCACAAACGCGTTCTTTATGAAGTTTATATTTCACTCAGAAACACACTTTCAGTGAGGCTAGCTGCTATGCTAGCTTTAGTTAGCACAGACAAATACCAACGTTTATATTCGCGCTGCTACTATATGTGCAGTTAGAGTAAATCTAATTTACAATACGTACGTGAAGCTGTTTACTCCGCAGGGCTTTTAGTCTCTCTTTTCTTTTCAGGGCCTGTTCCTGCAGAGAACCCACGCTTTTCTCCATGTTTACCATCTGTACCATAGACGGACCTGTGCCGATCTGTTCTATGGGAAATCTACTGCGAGGCTGATCAAGCGAGTGCCGAGCTGAGAGAGCTGAGAGAGCTGAGACTGAGAGAGCTGAGACTGAGAGAGCTGAGAGAGCTGAGACTGAGACTGAGAGAGCTGAGAGAGCTGAGAAGAGCTGAGACTGAGAGAGCTGAGAGAGCTGAGAGAGCTGAGAAAGCTGAGACTGAGAGAGCTGAGAGAGCTGAGAGAGCTGAGAGAGCTGAGACTGAGAGAGCTGAGACTGAGAGAGCTGAGAGAGCTGAGAGAGCTGAGACTGAGAGAGCTGAGACTGAGAGAGCTGAGAGAGCTGAGACTGAGAGAGCTGAGACTGAGAGAGCTGAGACTGAGAGAGCTGAGAGAGCTGAGACTGAGAGAGCTGAGAGAGCTGAGACTGAGAGAGCTGAGAGAGCTGAGACTGAGAGAGCTGAGACTGAGAGAGCTGAGAGAGCTGAGACTGAGAGAGCTGAGAGAGCTGAGAGAGCTGAGACTGAGAGAGCTGAGACTGAGAGAGCTGAGAGAGCTGAGACTGAGAGAGCTGAGACTGAGAGAGCTGAGAGAGCTGAGAGAGCTGAGACTGAGAGAGCTGAGAGAGCTGAGACTGAGAGAGCTGAGACTGAGAGAGCTGAGAGAGCTGAGACTGAGAGAGCTGAGAGAGCTGAGAGAGCTGAGACTGAGAGAGCTGAGAGAGCTGAGACTGAGAGAGCTGAGAGAGCTGAGACTGAGAGAGCTGAGAGAGCTGAGACTGAGAGAGCTGAGACTGAGAGAGCTGAGAGAGCTGAGACTGAGAGAGCTGAGAGAGCTGAGACTGAGAGAGCTGAGAGAGCTGAGACTGAGAGAGCTGAGAGAGCTGAGACTGAGAGAGCTGAGACTGAGAGAGCTGAGAGAGCTGAGAGAGCTGAGACTGAGAGAGCTGAGAGAGCTGAGACTGAGAGAGCTGAGAGAGCTGGAGAGAGCTGAGAGAGCTGAGACTGAGAAAGCTGAGAGAGCTGAGAAAGCTGAGAGAGCTGAGACTGAGAAAGCTGAGAGAGCTGAGACTGAGAAAGCTGAGAGAGCTGAGAAAGCTGAGAGAGCTGAGAAAGCTGAGAGAGCTGAGACTGAGAGAGCTGAGAGAGCTGAGAGAGCTGAGACTGAGAGAGCTGAGAGAGCTGAGAGAGCTGAGACTGAGAGAGCTGAGAGAGCTGAGAGAGCTGAGACTGAGAGAGCTGAGACTGAGAGAGCTGAGAGAGCTGAGAGAGCTGAGAGAGCTGAGACTGAGAGAGCTGAGACTGAGAGAGCTGAGACTGAGAGAGCTGAGACTGAGAGAGCTGAGACTGAGAGAGCTGAGAGAGCTGAGAGAGCTGAGAGAGCGGGCTTGCCTGTTGCTTATCCGCTGCTGCACAGGGATGTCTGTGGGTAGAAAAGAGGTAATTAATAGTTACCTAATGTAACTTAAGTTCTACGAATAGGTGCGTAGTCCCTTAGGACTTCGCTAGTGGGATATCACTCGTGACCCCCAGGTCACACGCCAGAGAGATCAAAATAATTTGCTCCTATCACCAGCCACCTTCCTCTATAAATTCCCCTGCACAAGGCCGCACCCCCTCTTGAACTCTGCCAAGCCGGGCTGGCCTGATGGGCTCGTAGCTAAGGGACTACGCACCTATTCGTAGATCTTAAGTTACATTAGGTAACTATTAATTCTACGTCATGGTGCTACGTCCCTTAGGACTTCGCTAGTGGGACACAACGCGGAGGCCGTAGGAACATGTACTCCCAGCAGGCCAGCGAAGGGTGATTGGAGCTCCGCCCGAGCAAGACCCTCACACAGTGAGAGGACTCAGGGCAGAAGAAGCAATGCGAGTTACAGGGCCACTCCTACCAAGGATACCCCCACGTAACACAGACCGTGGGTCACCCGTAGTCCCAGGACGCCTCTCTCAAGAGCTCCTGACGTGGACTACCTGACCGACCAAACACACATATAAGTACCGCACCTGTAGGATGCCTCTCCCAAGAGCTCCTGAACCAGGGCGGAAAGTCAACCGAAGGCCCCCTCAGAGGAGGGACCTAACGGTCTAACTCAGTCCGCTGCACTCAGCACGGAATGGGCCACCGACCGGTCCGACACATCCAAAAGATAAGACCGGACGAAAGAGGAGGACGACGCCCAAGAAGCCGCACGGCAGACGTCCTCGACCGACGCCCCCCTGAGAAGGGCCGTAGAGGCCGCCATCCCACGCGTGGAATGCGACCTGAAGCCCACCGGGGGGGCCAGACCCTGCGTCTGATACGCCCGCCGCACAGCCGTGGCGACCCAGTGCGCCAGCCGCTGAGCCGACAGCGGGGCGCCCCTGTTCTTGGGGCCCAGACACACAAACAGCTGACCACCCAACCTGAATGACGACGTCATGGCCAGGTAATGCCTCAGCATTCTGACAGGACACAGAAGGTGCCGCCGCTCCTCCTCGGGGGAGGCATGCGGTGGCGGATAGAAAGCCCTAATCCTGATGACTCTCGACCTAAAGGCCGACATGATGACCTTGGGGAGAAAAGCCGGATTGGGCCACAATTCCACCATGCCGTCGCCCTCTCCAAAGGACAGGCAAGACGCATGGACAGAGAGCGCACACAAGTCGCCCGCCCTCTTAGCAGACGCCAACGCCAACAAGAGGGCCGTCTTAAAAGCGACACACTCGGGACTCGCCTCCGCCGCCGGTTCAAAAGGCGGACCCGACAGCCCCCTAAGGACCACCCTGAGGTCCCAAACCGGGGGCGTTCTCTGGAGCGGGGGCCTCCTCCTGCGCGCCCCCCGCAGAAAACATTTAACCAACGGATGAGAGCGGGCTGTGAATCCCCCGAATCCGTCGTGACCCGAAGTAATGGCTGCCGCGAACACCGCCAAGGTGGCGACAGCCCTCCCCTTGTCAAAGAGCTCCTGTAGGAATCCCAGGACCCCCTCCAGCGGGCAACGCCTGGGATCCCAGGAACGGGAACCGCACCACCAGACGCTGAAGAGCCTCCACCTCGTGGCGTAGGCCCTCACAGTGGACGGCGCCCTCGCCCCCTGAATGGTCTCCACCACCGCAGGGGGAAGACCCAGGTCTACGAGGTTCCGCCTCTCAGCCTCCAAACCCAGAGCCTGCGGCCGATTATCGGGCGTGAAAACAGGGCTCCTCCCCCCTGGACTAGAGCCCCCGGCTCGTCCGGGAGGGCCCAGGGCTCCATCACCGCCATGCCCCTCAGGAAGGGGAACCACCGGGCATGCGGACTGTCCGGAGCCACCAGGATCACCGACCTCCTCTCCTGTTCGATCCTCCGCAGCAGGACCGGCAGGAGACGCACTGGTGGGAAAGCGTACAGCAGGCCCCCTGGCCAGGGGTAATGAGCCAGAGCGTCCACGCCTAAGGGCGGCTCGTCCGCGGCCCTTAAGGCGAACCAGGACGGGCACTGTGCGTTTTCTGCACTGGCGAAAAGGTCGACCACTGGACGGCCGAACCTCCGCCAGATCTCCGCAGCTACCCGTGGGGCCAGGCCCCACTCGTCCTGGAGTGGGTCCCCCCTGGACATCCTGTCGGCCCCCACGTTCCGGACCCCCGGGACGTGGCGCGCCTTGAGAGACAGGAGGTGAAGCGCCGCCCACAGCAGCGTCACCGTCGCCATGCGATGGAGAGCGGGGGACCTGGTGCCCCCCTGCCTGCTCAGATAGGAGACCACTGTGATGTTGTCTGAGCGCACCATCACGTGTCTCCCCTGCAGCTGAGGAGCAAAGTGCAGCAGTACTCTGTGCACTGCCTCCATCTCCAGCAGGTTGATGTGACGGGCTGAGTCCGACCAGCAGCCTCCTACAGAGCTCTGGCCGAGGACCCCGCCCCATCCTTCGAGCGACGCGTCCGTGAACACCTCCACGTGAGACACGGCGCAGGCCAGAGTCACTCCGTCCCGCAATAGACCCGGAGTGAGCCAGAACCTGATGTCCGATGCTGCCACTTGGGGAACCCAGATCAGCCTCCCCCCGTCCCGGGAGGGGTGAAGCCTGAGGCGCGAGAACCACCTCTGAAAATTCCTCATGTGGAGAAGGCCTAGCCGCACCACAGCATGAGCCGCCGCCATCCTTCCCAGCAGGGACCTGAGGCGCCGAGCGGGGACTCTGGGGCCCGCCAGAACCTCCCGGGCCAGACGGGTAATGTTGATCCGTCTGTCCACGGACAATGCAGCACGGAATGTCACCGAGTCTAACTGCAGACCGAGATAAATCATGCTTTGGGCTGGCTGCAGCTTGCTCTCTCCCTGTTCACCACAAAGCCCAGATGCTGTATGTGGGACAGGACCCAGTGCGTGTGGCTCACGGCCACTTCCCTGGATGAGGCCAGAATTAACCAGTCGTCTATGTAGGTTAAAATTCTTACCCCTGCGCGTCTGAGCGGCTCCAGTGCTGCCTCCACGCATTTGGAAAAAGTCCGAGGCGCGAGTGCGTAGCCGAAGGGGAGACGGCAGTACTCGTAATTCCTCTCTCCCACTGCGAAGCGCAGAAACCTCCTGTGTTCCGGCACTATGGGCACGTGGAAGTACGCATCTGTCAGGTCTATGGAGGACATCCAGTCTCCCTGCCTGACACACTCGAGGAGCTGCTTTGTGGACAGCATCCGAAACTGCCGTTTGGAAATGCACTCGTTCAACACGCGCAGATCCAGAATGGGACGCACCCCGCCTGACTTCTTTGGCACTAAGAAGTAAGGGGAGTACAGCCCCCTGGTGGCGTCCTGCGGGTCTACCTCCACTGCCGCGCCTCGACTCAGCAGAGAGGAGACCTCCGCTTGCAGTGCCTCTAATGATCCCCGTACCTGAGAGCGTGCTGCCCGTACGCCTCGGAATGGTGGTGGCTTTCTGGAGAATTGCAGCGGGTAACCTCTGCGCAACGTTTTCTCCAGCCATGGATTCGTCAGCAAACCCTGCTCCCTCCAGATGCTGTAGAAGTCTGTGAGGGGCGGAACGGGAGCTGGAACACGAGACGTCACTGCCCCGCCCTCTCCTGGTGTTCCTAGCAGGGAGGGGGGGTGGACGAAAGGGCCGGGGGGCCCCCTGCGTCACACCGAGAGCGCCGGGGGCGGTCACGTGTCCTGCAGGCCCGACGTCATAAGTACGGGACTGCTCATTCCACGTGACTCGGCTGCTGTGCCCCCCCCTGGCTCTAGCCTCATGGAGGGGGGGCGAGCCCCTGGAGTGGGAGACCCCGTGTTAGCCTTGTAGCTCAGAGATGCTAACACGCGTTCGGCCGAAGCACACACATCACATCACGCCTGGCACATGCGCAGGATCGCCGCTGAGGTGGTCCTCGCCTGTGATAAGGTGTCTCCACTGAGCGCCTGGCCAGAAGAGAGCGACCTATCCAGGGCCCCCGTGATGAAGGCCATGTTGTTCGCCACAGCGACGACCTGTGCCGCATTGGCGTAACATCTGTCCAGCATAGCCAAAGACGTCCTGTCCCGCTCGGAGGGAAGGAGAGGTCTGGTGCCGGGCCACACGGATGCGGAGGGGTGCAGGGCCATGCGGACCGAATCCTCGATGTCCGGGAACCCGCCGTTCCAGGACCAGTCCTGCACGCTGCAGTACATGCCGTAGCCCAAAGCGGGCCTCTTGGCCGCTAGGGGCTTTGGCCACTCACGTGTCGCGTAATGGACGATCGGGTCCATCCGCGGGCACAACGTGGGCTGTATCCGCCTCCTCCCTCGAGTGGTGGCGTAACCAGAGGTGAAGTCCTCCGCCCTCTGGGTCGGCTGCGGTGGCAGGGGGGCATCCATGATGGCCGCCGCGGAGGAGTAGAGCCCAGGCATGTGGTCCAGTGGGAAGCGGCCCGGCTCCGGGTTCGAGACCACCTCGTCCAGGGTGAGGAGGGAGCCGACCTCCGAAACCTCTCCGTCCTCACAGTCACCCCACTCCGCGGGCACGGGTGGAAGGTTGAGTGGGGCCCAGTCAGTCTCAGACTCCTCGTCCTGAGAGGAGTCCGGACGGGGCGCTGCAGCGGCGAGGAACGCACGCCTGCGTTCGCTCTCCTCCCTGGGGAGAGCGAGACACGAGGTGCAGGTGGCGCTCAACGCCGCATGGCCCGGGGTCAGGCACATGAAGCAGCTGGAGTGCTCGTCCGTGCGCTGGAGCCTGACTCGACACGTCAAGCAACGACGACGTCCGACGCCGGATGGCGAAGGGGAACTCGGACGAGCATCAGAAGACATCTTTTTCTCTGGAAGTGAGTACTGTGGTAGATCTCAATCGGCGCCAGAGTGAAAGAGGGGGTGCGGCCTTCTGCAGGGGCCTTTATAGAGGAGGGTGGCTGGTGATTGGAGCAAATTATTTTGATCTCTCTGGCGCGTGACCTGGGGGTCACGAGTGATATCCCACTAGCGAAGTCCTAAGGGACGTAGCACCATGACGTAGAAGTTATATATAAATATAAATACCGTGTAGTTATTATGTATAGGTGTGGAGTTTAGGTTTACAGATCTCAACATACAACAGCCTGCCCTTGCTCCTGCCCCCTTCTCCTTTAAGCTTATGTTGGTAGTTAATATACAATAAATAATCAAATTAATGATTATGTAACACACCCATGCCCCAATCACACCTCATTTGTACCAAAATAAGTATAACTTCTAACATGCATTAAAACGGTTGAAGTGAAACAGGTCAAACTAGGATGGTTTGTTGTAATAGATCCTTGGGTTAACTTTTTTATAATTGTACTTCCTGGTTGTGATTGGTGACATGATTCTAGTAATGTTTCCAGCCTGGGCAGAACTACTCAAATCTAACTGCCTATTTTTATTTTATTTTACCAAGCCTTAGTGAGATATTAAGTAGATTTTCTTCTTCCAGGTGGATCATTAAGACTATAGGGCCTCCTAATTGTCAATCATTCTGGGGATACTTGCTCTTCAAGTAGGACCAGAGAGTTTTGTTCAAAATGTGGAGAGGGCGGTCCTTTCCTAACATTTTGAGGATAATGCCTTAACTCATATCATAGATAGAACCGATTCTGAACACTACATTTTTGTATTGATCGATGCCATTATCAGTGCACCCTCAATGTTGCAAAACACAAGTCACTGGGGAATCCTGCTGTTTATCTTAATATTTATTTTCATGAGACTGGAACTACAAAATGAGAATACCAGAGAGGTTTGCATGACTGAATCTATAGGCCGTGTGGGCCACATGCATAGACGGTACAATAAATATTAGGTCACAATGTCATGTCCTTGTGAGGAATGTAGGCCGTCACCATGGTAACCCAGCTTCCTCTGCCTCATAGTGAGTTAAACTAGTATAATGACCAAAACTTCCCGAGTTCGAGTGTGGTTAAGCATTATATTTTGACAGGTAGATGTCCAACTTTCCTCTGCATTTCTGGGTGGAGTGCTTCTCATGACATGGGACTAAACACTAAAAAACGTTTGCAACTAAACTGTAGACTTTTATCGCATTTACTTCCACCTGTCTTAAGTCCGTTTCGAAATCTTTGGTTAATTTACTGTGGTCCAAAACAAGTGTGTGCTCCCAACTAAACTTAACTCTGTCACTGTAATTTAAGACATTGCACACGTGCCAGTCACAATGCGCTTCTTGTATGTGACCATTGTTCAGAAAAGTTGTGAAAACAGTCTTTCTGAATGATAAAGTAATGTGACAATACTATCCAGATACACCCTTTATACTGGGACGTCTGTCTATGGTAACAACAAAGTAGAGGGAGACTCCTTCTGCGCCTAAGGGGGGGCATTCTCTTACAAACATTGAATACAGACAGAGAAATAACAAGGTCACATAAAAAGATTCATATGAAGATGATGCACAACCCTTATCCCGTCTCAAGAGCTTGTTTCCCCAACATTATAAAAAGGATTTGTTACATTATACACTGACTAATCTGCTTATCTTACCTCATGTATTACAAGACTATTTCTTTTATCCACAGAAATGCCTATTCTTCCTAGGTACGAACATAATGCAAACAATAGATCTATGGGTCCAAACAAAACCACAAAGACAAAAATATAATTGAAATGGACATGCAGGCTTTGTAAATTCGCTGCACACTTTCTTTAAAACTAAAACATTACCAACACTTGTTCAGTCAATACTATTCTGATCCAGGGGAGTGTGTTGCCTAAGGACACAACTGCAGTATCAAATATTCAAACCATCATCTTAGCTCTTGTAATATGACTCCCCTGCCTCCTGCTCCTCCACTAAAGTCCAATTGTCATATTACTTGTGACATTGGTGTCTATTGCCACTATATGCATATGAAATTCTACACTAATTTCACTAACTGACAGCCCAATAATGTCTTAATATGCCTGGTATTATGCGTGCGTATGTCTTTAAGTGTAAAAGACAATCTACCTGCATGCCACTTCATCATTATTTGCCCACGTTTCCCCACTGCTTGTAGGAGAATGTGACACTTGAGTTCAACAGCGCGTATAGGTCCGTGCGTAAAGAGCGTTGTCATTTGGCATGTGTCGCTTCCGTGGGAACTCACTCCAGAAGGAATCATACAGCCACAACCTCGCCTTCGCCACAGACATGGGTGTTCCTCCAGACGCGCAGTCGCATGGCTTCTTGCAGTAATATTTAACGATGTTCGAGCGTGTTTGTGTTTAGCCGTGTTGTAATGTCACTTCACTAACTCGCGCGGAGAGATCAAGGAGCACTTTTACGCGTTTGTGTGCGCCTTGGGGGCAGCGCAGCGATGGTTCAGATGAGCGCCGCGGGTCCTCCTTTCTCCGGGAAACAACTTCACGCGTCTCCAGCACCGAATTGGGTATAGCAAATTGAATATGTTTTAAAGGAAAGAGGCAATTATGAGCAATCACAAGGCGGCAAGCGGCGGCATGGCGATGAAGGAGCGCCTTTACGAGCTGTGGATGTTGTACTACACAAAGGCAAGTACCTGCCACTGACACCTGTTGTTGGAATAGGTCATTTGACACCAGTTTCTCTCGTTTACTACACAATTATCGACAATAACAGCACATCCAGGCTTTAGTATATCGTTTTTACCACGCTTTTGGTTACAATTGAGTCATATGCTGGTAATAGCACTCGGTAATATGAGGAAGTGGAGTGTTTAGTTGTTTTATTTACATAGTGGCCACAGACAAAGTGTGGGCTACATGTGAAGTTTAAATGCTGCACAAGCATATTCATGTGCAGGCTTAAGGCTGTATATTATTCACATTATCTCAGTTTCTTTGTGATTTCAAAGGAGTTTGATTAATGGAAGCAAAATCTACCTGTGGTGCAGGTGTTCTGACGTTAAGCTAGGGCTACTTCCTGTTCCTGTTAGCATGCATTTTCCTTGTAAATGTCTCCTATTTGATGTCTTTTCTTAAACAATTATATGTAATTTGACATTTAATTGCAGTTCCTGTAAGTCTCGTTTACAATCCTTAGTGCATAGTTTTGTAATTAAAGGTTAATTAGCCATTAAGCCAAGAGAGAAAGAAGATACTCATAATGTGCATGTTTTCTTTAAATCCAGTTTCAGTCATTTGGTTTTTGCCTGGAGACAATGGGGTTCTTTTGCATGCATTTTGTTTGTTGATTCACCTTTTTAATTACTTATTCACCGAGTCTCTCCCAGGGACTTCTCAACAATATTTAAGTGGTCATTGAAATTGTTGTCAATGGGCTACTCTCAGACTAGGAAAGTGCCATAATTTGGTTTAGGGCTTTTGACAGTGATACTTACAAACTCTTATTCATGCCACATTTACAAATATAAATAATAAAAGTTAAGAGCTATGTGGATTATTTAGTTCTGCTCATAGTCATATCTGACATGGCCGTATGCAGAATAGCCCCCATGTAAATACTAGTCTTATGTCTTTTAAATGGCACCGCCTGTGTGACTCACAGACACAATAGGTTGCAGACAGGCAGCCGAACCGCTTTGAGAACAATACCCCGCCTCTCCTATAACCTTTCAAACTCCCACTTTAGATGCTGTTTTTGTTGTCCACCTGTTTGTCAAGTCCAGTCTGCCTTTCATATTTATGACATGTTGGATTTTCTCATCTCTTCTCTCCCACAAGGCTTTCAATAGTTCAAATATTCTGAACACACACACATTCAAATCATTAGTGAGGCAACTGCAAAACCTGTCATAGTAGTTACACCCAGTATTTTCTTTAGGGTTGTAATCTTCCATCCAGATTAAACATATAGAACATCCACATGCTCATTCACTCATTAAAATCACAAAGGAAATGTTATAGTATTAAATTTAGTTGTCATCTTACAGCTGTGATTAACAATAAAAGAGGCGCTACTTGCCCAGGCTTGTTTGTTAAAGAATCAGCTTCCTCTGATTGTGCAAGAAATCACATCGTGGCTGCAAAGACTTGTGGATCAGCTGAGCCCCACCAGCTCAGGCCTGTGAATCCTCTGTGGTGATTGTAAATATAGTGCTGTGCTGTCGGGCTGTAATCGACCAAAGAACATCGATAAGGTGGTGTGACAAATGCTCTCAATATTATTACGTATACCAGACCAAAACTGTACACACAAAACATTAATTCAATTAAAATGTTTGTATAGCTCTATCACAACAGCAGTCACCCCAACGACTTACCAAACACAGGAAATAGAATAATAACAAACACATAGGAGCCATTGGTCCATAGGGAGCAGGATGACCAATGTCCATAAATGTTCTGGATCATAAGTATCCTAAGACCCTCCTGCATCGGCAAGGAACAACTCAAAAAATTGGGAAACCTTTGGGAGGCCCACATTGAGAGAGGGATCTGCTTCCACGGACAGACAGGCAATAGATCCAGGACTCAGGCTAAATACATCTTCAGTTCCATAGCTTCTAATTTTTCAGTTTTCATATTGAATAACTAGTTGATCACATTAAGGAACAAACAACTCATTCATTGACTAAACTACTAAAGATGAACTCCCTTCTGTGGTGTTTATGGGACGTCTGTGAGGAGAGCTTTAACATGAACAGTGACTCGATCACATTAGTGGTTGTAGTGTTCTTGTCCCTATTAACTCTAACAGATGTTTTGACTGTGGGTTGAAGTATATGAAGACCCTGACACAATAGTGAGCATAACTCATGTCTTTCATCTGCTGAAGCTCAAACCAGCGTCACTGGCGGTGTTGCAGAGCTCATATCTAATCAGAAAATACTTCTCAGGGCGATGTATAAATGTGAATGCCTAACAGGCACAGAGTGTGATGTAATCTCATGAAGGCTTCTGACGTGTGCGATCCACCTCATGTGCCATTGATCCCCATGATCTCCCCGCGCACACAGCAGACAAACCTGATGTCACGCCTCACTCTAAGGTGTGTTTTATATGCCTGGAGAATTTGTTCCTCCTATTTTCGAAATAATTGTGAATGTGATTTTGGAAAACGCCACAGTTATTAGTAATTATGGTATTATACTTAATAAGAAGGTTTTTATGTTTTTAAACAGGAACCCCATGTTAGTGAATGAATGTGACAGCATACATTATTATTGTTATTATTATTATGAGCTCATAATGGTGGTATATTGAACTTGAAATACTGAGACTAAAGGACTCAAACAATGGGCCTCATTCACCAATATCTTCTTAAGAATCTACTTAAATTTAGTCTCAAGTTGTTCCCTAGTACTGTAGATTTCTAAGAAGACCCTATGTGGGATTCATCAACGCACTCGTAAGCCACTGAATTGTTTGCAGCTGTTCTCTTAGATTGATGAATGCCAACTCCTCGTAAGTAGAGTGCGCGTGCCAGGTGAGTCATTAGCATAGGTACTTAGCACTTAGCATAGGTAACCGCCCATTAGGGCCCTGCAGGGACTGCAGGGCAAAGCAAAGAGTTACGACAGAGCCAAAGAGTTAAAGTCACAAAATATTATGAGAATAAAGTCGAACTAGCAAAATTATGAGTTAAATCTAATAATATTATGAGATGAATTTAAAAATATTATGTATTAATTTCAATTTTAATCTAAAAATGTTAGGAGATTAATCTCAAAATGTTAGGAGATTAATCTCAAAATTTTTGGACCCTCGGAGGAGAAGCAGCGCGGCCCAGCGCTGAGACCAATGCAGACCTGAGGAGGGACCATAGACTGGACAGATCAGCCGTAATAGATCCATGGGATTTGTTCTTACCTCAGAGAAATTCTGGATACAAGAAAAATTCATGAATGCCACAATCTTCGTAAAATCGTCATAAGTAGGATTTACGTACACATTTGTTCCTAAGAACGGTTCGTGAATGAGGCCCAATTTTATTTATTTTGGCTGGTGCTATGTGTACTGCGCAGCCCTGACTGCCACCCCCCGACCCAGAAATGGATTAAGGGAAAGAACATGGATGGACGTATATTAAGTTAATATATATAAGATGAGTTATTAAATATAATTATTGAATTTTTAGTCCTTCTTATACTGTTCATGATCAACATAGTTTCATTTGGATTTGTCAGCAGAATGAAAACCAAAAGTGCTCAGCTGTGTATTATTTCCTATCGTGATTCTCTGGTTTCTGGTTTACAACCAAAGAAGAATGACAGAGCAGAGATGCTGTGCATGATACAATAGTCATTATGTGGAGACACTGTGGGATTAATTAGTGCTTGTATCAATGGCAACAGTCCACAGTAACTACCAAGTGTCACCCATTCACTTTCACACAGCTGTGAAACTCCTCGGTCTTTAATAGTGTCGTCTTGAGGCTTTGGAACCAGCTGAGCCCCTCATCTGGGTTCATTGGATTATGATACATTCTAATGTCATGAAGCAGTCTCACACCAGTCCACTCTGACGGTCTGTGACAGGTCTCTGGAGGGTTAGGAGCATGACTCACACCTCTTCCCCCTTGTGTAGCAGCGGTTGTGTTTACCAACACACGAGCTCCAGGCCTGTGTGCTTTCACTTGTGCAGGGGGCCGAGCTGAATGCAGATCAGAGCTGCACAGCTGCTGGCTTCATTACAAACAACTATTCACTTGTTATTGTATAATTAGCCATTGAAGTATTGTATACCCACCATTTAAATGTGTTTACTGTTTACCTTTTCTTATTTAGAGTATGTTCATGAAATACAGGAACTGCAGGTGGATTAACCAAACTTGTTTGTGGGAAACCTGTTGTGCGCTTTACTTCTCATCATCAAAACTCATTTCCTTTTTGCTGTAACTGAAATTTTGGCTTTTAGACAAAGTTTGGGTGAAGCTAATGGAGCCCATTATTTCCAAACAAAAATATTTCATCATCAAATATGTTAAGCACTTATGCTTTTCACATTTTACATTAGTAATGACTGTCCTGTTTGAGCACTTACATATGTAGGAGTCTGTAAATAAAGCAGTTAATGATTAATTGATTACTAAAATTGTTTACTAATCGATTTATTTAAAAAACTCTCTATATTGGGGTATTGAGACTTTCTCAGAATGTTAACATATGAAATCAGGCTGTACTGGCCTGTATTCATACAGGAGTTAGTTTGAGGCCTTAGAAATAATAGTTTTTGTTCAAAGCCAAATGGAGGAAGCTGTTTGAACTAAAAAGACGAATGCTCAATGTGTCTGTCAATCAAATACATCAGAATTACAATTGCTATATTTGATTTGAACAGATTCACTTTGTATCTAGTAGAAACACAAGATTATGTTCACAAAATGTGTTCTATTTTTTATTATCATAATTGATTATCTTGTAAATATCTAAATCACACACAGTGGTTGATTGAATGCATCTACACTAGGGTTGTCAAAAAATATAAAACCAGATATTATAATAGATGTTGTCCTGTTTATATGATTTTATAAAAATATGTAACATTTCAAGAGCATTTTCTGATCAATTCTATACTATATCAGAATAACTTGTTTACAATTTTGTGGACCCATGAATTATTTAGAGCTTTTATTTTAACATTGACAACACTAATACAATGACATACATGATTCCTGGGAACAACTGCCTTGGCGCTGAGGGCTGAAGACTGCCGGAGTCTGCAGAGGAAGGGCTTCAACATGTTGGGAGGAAATGGGCCCTAGTTAAAGTGAATGTCATTTCCTGGTTCCTCTGAGCGTAGTTTGAGCACAGTGTGTCAAACAATGAGAAGGGAGACACACATGTGCAGCTGATGGCTCAGTGGACAGACCTGGGCCCTGCTCCCTCTTAAACCATGAGAGATGGACTGGCTCATAGACCAATGCCACTGGGTATGTCTCAACATTATTTCAAACAATTATAATACTAACTGGAGCATATAGTTGTTTGTTGTTTTCCTTGTTGGTGTTGTTTATAGGAGACTGAAATTCATTGTAATTCACCAGAAATCCCTATAAATTCAGGGCTACTGTACTATTTTCAAGTTATTGTAACACAAGTTAGAGTCTAAGGTTGTTTACTTGATGGTGTTGTTTGTATATGTGAGTGACTGCAATTATTGAAATTAACCAGAAAGCTGTCCTAATGAATATGGCATTTTTTTTATAGGACTAATATTTCCAACATCCACATCTAGGCTTCTGAATAACACTGCCTAAAACTGAAATTGCGTGTGTGGATGTGAACGTGGATGAATAATATGTTTATTTGTATAGCTCATTTCATACTAATATATGTCCCCCAGTGTGCTTAACCACAGAAATGCATTTAATAGTGCATAACAGTCCATAAAAACATTAAAAGTCAATTAAAATGGCAGCAATCCAATGTCCTTGCAGAGACAATGCAACAAAACACAATTTCAAGTACATTTAAGTAATAGATTTCAAAACAATGCATGAGACAAATTTACCCAACATAAACTATAGGTTGGGGTATGTTGTACTTATTTTGCATTTCATGATGTATTGTTGCTTCCTACTTCTTACCTTTATGTCTTTCTACTGAGTAGGGTGCATCCTTTCGTTAATCTCCATGACGGGTTTTCTTTTCTTGTCATTAAATCTGTTGAATCCTAATGGACAAACAAAAGTGTAAAATATGTGGTTATGAAAGGCCATTTGGTGGAACATTTTGGACATGTGCATAGACTGTAAAAGCTATATTTAGTGCACCTATGTCCGGCTGTGCCATGGGCCTTTGAGTCATATTGTTGTTGAGTTCAGAGGGAAGTTCCTGATACTGTAGTGGTCTCTTTAAAATGCTTATTTTGGAGAAGCTCTGCAACAATCAGCTCCGCCTGATGTTGGGTCAACATTTCACCGAAATATTTCTTTGTGTCCTGTGTCTTCATGGTCATGTCACAACGTCATATGTTGTAAAAGCGGCAGAGTCTTTTCAGAGCCTCTGGTTGGATTGTGCTTCTCAGTCTGATGTAAGATCAGAGACAGGATGTGTTGTGCCGATTTACCCTGCGATAACCACTGTGGTTTATACACAGAATATCAAACGAGTCCCTTATCAAACACTAATTTGTTCTTTATAATTGTTGTTGATTGTGGTGTAATGATGCCAAATTGTTATTTATGTAGAATGCTCATTTACTTTGTAGTTTTTTGTTTTAAAGAAAGGAAATTATTAGCCAATGTGCTGTTCCTTTAGATGCATCTCTGTCAACATCCTGTTTGAAAAACAGGTCAAAAGGTGTAATTAAAAGTAGGCTTCATTTATAGCACTTTATAGAGTACTTTTGCACATGTTTTACAGCAAATGGCAAATAAACTGAATCAGATATTCATATTTTTTCTTCTCATTTCTTCCCTGGAATTGTGTTTTAATTATGTTGATTATGTTATGTTAATTACATGTTTGTGCCTCTCTCATGTGGGCTTGCTGTTCACACCTCAAATATAGTTAAAAAGTTAAAATATTTATTTTCACCAGTTATTTTGTTTTGTTGGGAAAGAAACATGTTACATTTTATTCGCTGATTACCCAGCTCTGGCTTCATTTATTTCAGTTTTCACTTTCCAGCATTCTCTAGTATTCATCATTCTCTTCACATTTGGTGATGGTAAGATAACCAGAGTAGATACACAAACTGATGCTTCATTTGTCTTCCTCCTACTTTCCTGCCTGGATTGTAAGGAAATTGCCTGGATTGCCTCTAGGAAATTATTATCATGCAAGAAAAACTTTATGTTGAAAATAAACATGGAGAAAATCCATAAAGCCATTGGGCTAACACAACTGACACACAGAGGCTGCCTATCTGTGTGTCCAGTGTAATCATGAATGCACCAGATCCACACTAAAGTTCACCCAAGTGTCTTGCATAAGGACACTCTGGCAGTTTTGCACCAGAGCCACTGTGTCTCAGAATGACATCTGCAACACTGTACTTGAAATAAGCACCATTGATAATATTATAGTTTGGGTATGCAAAACAGTTACAATTGTTTTCTTCAATACAATGCATGTTTAAATATGATGTTATTTTCTGCCCTCTACAAGGGCTCTGAAATGTTTGTAACAATTACTTTGTTCTGGACCACAATTCTATGAAAATCCTTGACTTGGAGTACAATACAAGCAAGCATATTATGTTCAAAAGAAGAAAAACAAAGTTATTGATTGAAAGTACCATATTGGTCAATAAGAACTGTCCTCACAACTGAAATGTCCCTCCTTTGAGAAGAATAAAGGTTCTCTTCTTGTATACTACTAAATAAAGCACAATGACTTCTCTATACTCACAATAATATATCCTTTCTTGGCCTATGCTGCAGAAAGATGTAACATATCTGCATCAGTGGCTTGAGGTGTTCGTGGCGTCTTTCGAGCGGCTCATAGATGTTGCGTCGTTGGAGCCTCGGAGGTGAGTTTTTTTCCACAGAAATCTCGTTCCGGTCCATTCTCCAACACCATATGCTTACGTTGTTTCCTCCCACACTCGGTCGGCCGCAGGGTGGAGGAGAGCAGCTCGGAGGTGCCCCTGCTCCCCAGAGAGGTCCTGGTCCTCCTCAGCAAGCAGCTATGGCACAGCACCTTGCAGCTCACCAACACGGCCGAGCAAAACAGCAGCACCCCGCACCCGCTGCTCCTCATCAAGTTCTTCATCATCGTGTGCAGGTGATAATAGAATAATATGGCCCACTTCTATTACAGAAATGGGGTGGAATTTTAAGGTTGTCAGAATTTTATCAGGGTCTTGAAAAGTCTTAAAGGGGTTTAACCAACGAAGTCAAACATGTCCTCAACACCGGTGTTCTGTCGGTTTGTGCCGCTCAACAAGTTGTGCTGCCTCAGCTGTTTATGATGTAATGCAAACCTGCGCATACGCATCTCACGGCAGCCGAAGCAAACCAAGATGGCAGACATACATTCCGTGAACTTTTTCAAAAAGTTCAACATTTCAAAAACATTACATTGTGGAGCCGTCTCAGCTTATTCGAACCATTGGTCCATGAGGGGAAGATGGCCAATGTCATATGATCATATAAAACAAGTGAATCTTTAAACAGTGATGTCATGTTCCTGTGTTGTCTTTTTAGTAGAATTATTACCTCTAAAATAGTTTTGGCAATTACTCTTGTGAGACAATTCAAGACATACAATACCTTCTTCCTTCCTTGTGATATAAGTGGGGAATGACATACTTAGATTTTTTTCATATTTCATCCATATATGTTGCTTAAGATATTACTTAACTTTCTAAAACATGAAATGCCAAATTTTTTGAAGGTTTGGACCATGTGATACTTGTTTCCTCTTGTCATTTAGACACATGTTTGAGCAATTCATATTTGCTTATGTCTAAGAGGCCATTGCTACTTGATGGTTTTTATTTCTTTGTCAGAGGAGAAATAATCAGCTGCTCGCTAACCTGATCGGCAGAGCGGGTCAATATCAGAAGAAATCTGACCACATTTCTGTTGATGTTGCATAAAGGGACAGAGCTATTAAATATACCTGTCATATAAGTGTCATAGATTATGACTTTATATCATATAGAAGAACGTTATATCTTCTCATCAATCATTCAAAAGAAGTAGACTATGACAGAACGAGACACAAAAATCATGTTTGTTCAAAGCCTTGAAAACGACATGTCTTTTCTTTCTGTAGGAATATGGAGAACATTGACCCGGAGAAGACCCCTGGTTTTGTTTTTGAAACCATCAAGCTTTTGGATTTCTGTTTGCACCAGGTACTGTGTAACTAGTGGAGTTTTTAAGTGTTATTCAAACAGCGCTCTCTCTTTATTTATGGTTGGACTTGGCTGCTCTGCACATCCACTCTATCATCTGAACAAGGCAGATTTAATGCCCTGGTGCTGCTGAAGAAATCTCAGAGAATTTATCCTGTTTATAATATATAGTGCATATAATCTGCCTGCAGAGTTAACAGAACAAGTTTAGAGTGAAAAGTGCAAAGGGCGTGTAGCTGAACCTCTGCTCTATGAGGAGGAAAGCTCTTAATTGTTGAATTTAAGAATTACAGAACACAAAGAAGCAAAAATATCACAGTTGACATAATTTTATTTGTGTCAGTGCAAAACATGCCAGAAAGAGAGTAAAAAATTGCTTCATTAAAGTAAACATAGCTTGATTTTTGTACATTTGGTCTGTCTTATTATTAGATTTGCCAATTCAAAGTTTAGTGGAATGAAAACTAGTTAATTTGAGCCTTTAATACATTAAAATTTGCAGAATTGGTAAAAAAAAATTCAGGGCTCTTGTAATCAGCTATAAACAGTTCTTCCACTCATGGTGAGAGATAGGGTGAAGTCAAGGATGGTCAACTTTTGTACTTTTCAAAGCAGTTTGTGTTTGTGAGCCTAAAATCAGCAGAGTGGTGTAAACGTTTGATCTCGGTCAGTTTATTAGTTTCTGTTGAAATCATTATAGTTTAAAAAGTGTAAACCTCCAACCACTACCAGTTTTTGTGTTACCATTCATCTGCTGTACTATGGAACTTTTCATTCTGCCAGGGTATGTTTTTTATACATAAACTTTTTAAAATACTAAATAGTGATGCAGATAATGACACAATTAATATTATTACAATATTAATTAAATTAAATTAAATAAAGCGCAGGTGAGTGCACTTCATCCTCATCTGATGGAGTTGAAGTTGTCTGAAAAAAAAAAATCTTTCTCACTACATTTCCGCCATATATTGAATTTAGTCAACAATTCATGTGTGTCTGAGCTTTGCAACTCGGTACAGGCTGTTATATTGTTAGAGCTGAAGTTGGCTGAATGATATTGTGAACCTGTGTATAAGATCTCAATAGTATTTTTTGGTTAGCAAGGCAGAGGGTGGGAGGAAACATGATGCAAAGAGCCACATAAAATGTGCAAGTCACCTTCTAGATATCTACCGTATTTTGCGAATTATAAGTCGCTCCGGAGTTGCGCCAGCCAAAAATACATTATAAAGAAGGAAAAAAACATATATAAGTCCTACTAGAGTATAAGTCGTATATTTTGTGGAGAAATATAATTGATAAAATCCTACAAGGAAAACGATACCCAAGGTTTAATTTTGTGCCCATATTATGTTTTATATCTTTTGAGTGTGACATCTGGTACTGTATTGGTTGCACTTGTGCAGCTACTAATACTTGATGGAGTCTAAACAATAAGTCCATAAACTTTGCTCTGACAACACTACCACAATAAATATACACATATTAGCTACATTATATAAGACGTAGGGTCCAAAGAACTAGAAAAACTTAGCGGCTTATAGTCTAGAAGTTACAATATATCTTTTTCAATATGGTACCTATACCTGTAATAGAATTGTCAGATGACTTATTTAATCCCTCGCTTATCACTTCTTATCAAATGTGCTCTGATGACTAAGAAATCCTCAGAGTTTGTTTGTAGGTGAATCAGCTAGTGTAAACCCCCTCCCCTGAACGTGTTTTTGTCCTTGCTCAGATAAAGAAAGAGGAGGACGAGCTGGACTCTCTGCCTCTGGTGGTTCAACACGGGCTGGTGCTGTGTGAGAGCCTGTATGACCCTTACCAGACGTGGAGGAGACGCCTGTCCGGGTGAGTCCTGCTTTACTGTCCCACAACAGAGATAAACACAGAGTCCCAGTACAGGCTTGAGGCTTTGTATCTGAACTCTGAACATTCAAGATTTGAGATTCAAGATTGTTTATTTTTGTCTCCTTTAGGAGAGATTTGGTTTGGACAGATGGGTCTGCTACATTTCAATACTAAAATGCATACACACAAAGACATCAACACACATGCTACACGGTTCACACACACATCATCTCCTCATGTCCTTTTTTTTCTGACCAATCACAGCTGCTGATAAGAGCAGCGGTAGAGCAGAGCCAGAGCGGCAAGGAAAACAGCTGAGTTTGTGGCAGTAAAGCGTAGATTTAAAGAAAACCGAAGGATTTAAGAAGAAAAAAGTTCAGGATGACAAGGGACACTAAAATCCCCACAAAATCCGACCTTTATGAAAGCTGTAGGTTCTCTGTCAGCTGAGGTTGAGCTTTTTTAGTTTACATTGAGTTCTATGGGACGTTTTTCTGGGTAGCCCACGTGAATTTAGTCTGCAGTACCACGGACGCCCCTTGTGCTCATGGGTGGGACAGCAATAAGCTAGTTATACCCTATCCAGTTATTATTATAGATCCATGGAAACCACTCCCCCTATCCTCGCCTCGCCTCTCCACCAAATCAAACATCCAGCATGTTCTTTTCTTTGTCACAACAAGGAGAGTGGGTGGCAAACATGAAATTGGCATTTAAGGTTTTAGAAAATCCGATAACTCAGGTACGCGCACTTGCGAGAAACAGGAAGAAGGTGAAGGGGGGTAATCTCATCCCATTGGTTCGTTGGGGATGAACGAATCCCATTGGTTTATATTTATTGGTCCGCTCCAAAATATTTTTTATCAATTTTTGAAGACTATAGGCATCTGGTCAATTCCATTACTATTTGAAAACACAAGATAACTTGACTACTTTTAGGGTTTATGGACTTTTTCGCACATCCATCCATCCATCCATCCATTTTCTACCCTTTAATCCATTTCTGGGTCAGGGGGGTGGCAGTCAGAGATGCCACCCAAGTCTCATAGCACCGGTCCCTCACTGACCCTCTGCAGGTGGTGAGTCCACAGGAGGACGGCTGCTCTCTGAGTGTGAGCATAGCCTTGATCTTTCAGTGGGGGCTTTGGGCAAAGTGGGGTTAAGTGTCTTGCCCAAGGACACAACGACAGCAGTCATCATTGGGAGTCGGTGGAGAAGGTGCAGAGGTGGGAATTGAACCCACAACCTTCTGGGCTTAAGGCCAATGCTCTACCAACTGAGCTACTGTCGCCCCTTTTTTTTTTTCGCACAATATTTAAAAAATTGCGTCTGGAATAAAAACCTGACTGAATCTTTAACACACTTTTTGAACAAAACTCTCTGGTCTTATTTGATGAGTCCGTATCACCAGAAAGATTGACAATTGGGAGGACTATTAGTCTTGATGGTCCAACCGGAAGTAGAAAATCCTCCTATATATCTTTAAGATTAAACAGATTAAAAAATACATAGAATGTGATATAAGTTTTGGAAGTTTTGGAAACAGCACAATATATCTTGTTTGGCTGTTAATTAAAAAAAAAACTATAATTTAATTTTACATTCAAATGAGGAAAAATGCTGTGCTTTCAATAACCACACCATCTCTGTATTGTATTTAATGCACTTTTTTTTCTTCCATTTTTGTCATTCATTGCCAAGTCCAATAATTTAAGTCTTTGCAATTGTTTGTCCAACTATCATTTTAATTTCAATACGATCAATATAGCAGCTCTACTTTGATTGGACCGTCCTTCCAAACAGACCGACCCCAGACCCTTCTGAATATATGTATGTATAACCAAATTAGGAAAAGTGTAGCTCATCAGGCAAATGCAGTGTCCAGGTTAAACAATGGCTTTACTTGCAGGGAAAAAAAAGTTTTATTTTTGCTGATCAAATAAATAGTTGAAGTTGTTACTGTATAAAGCAAATATTTCCAACCTTGTCGAAAGTCTGTTTTCATGTAAGCATTTCACGAGTATTGACAAAAGCTGTGTGTTTCAGGGAGGAAGTGAGCTCGATGGAGAGGAACAAGTACAAGTTCTCTGCATTGTCTTTACCAGAGGAGCTGCCAGCACTGTTCCACGGTGAGGCAGACATATTTTTGTTAAACACTTTTTTTCAACTCTGCAATAGTAAGTAATGAAAAATGATGTATGGTATTTTATTATCAATACCATTAGAGTGGACATCTGACGATATAGATCAATTATTGTCTGCTGGGCCACATTGGGATATCATAATTTTGTGGAGGGCCGGACCCTTTTTCACACATTTACCAAAACATATTCGCTATTATCTGTGAAAGCTACTTCAGTTATAGAATTATTTATTTGATAAACAAAATTACTTGAAGGTGTTTGTTCATTGTCATTTTTTGTATCTGTGGTTTTTGTTTTGTTTTTTATCCAAATTATATTTTTTTTTCATAGATAATGGGGTTTGATAATTGTTTTTGGTTTTGCTTGTATTCAACCAAAACTGGACAAATGTATTTTAGACTGATTTTGTTTTGCGTTCATTGTTAGTTGATGTATACAGGTGGATGTAATTTCCTGCTTAGCATTGCTGCCTGTCGCACCTCCTCCGGTGCCCATGGGTCAGCTGCAGGGTCAGCTGCAGGGTCATCAGCCAGGAACCACCAATCACCAACGTTTCGCCCCTTTAATCCTGGAACGTCTCATGGTGGCGGAGCAGTGACAAGGACGTCTCCTTGTCACTCCCTGCAGCTGGAGAATGTTATCCCCCGCAGCTGTCATTGAGGTTAGCTATACTTTCCCCAACTCCTATCCTTCCTCCTCAACCAGAGCCAGAAGCTGCCCTTTTCCGCCTCCTCCGAAAGCTCTCTTGTGGCCCTGCGCAGCTTTCCCCCCGTGACTCCTGCATCCCTCAAGAGCCGTATCATTGACAGCCCCACGAAGCCTCGGCAGCCAACTTCAACAGGGTAGATGGCGGCCTTCCATCCAGCCTCCCGGCACTCTGCAGCCAGCTCGGAATACTTGGCCTTCTTGCGCTCGTAGGCAGCCTCGATCTCCCCTTCTGATGGAACTGGTGAGTTCAATGAGATGCACCACTTTTGCCTCTGAAGACCAAACCACAATGTCAGGGCGGAGAGATGTGATGGTGATCTCCGTGGGGAATTGGAGCTGTTTGTTAAGGTCAACCCTCATGTCCCACTCCTGGTTGGGGGCAAAGGGCCGCGATGTCTCTTTTGGCCTGGTGTAACTTTGCCCATCCCCTTCCCTGACAAAGTTGGTGTGGCTCTTTGCTGGTGGTAGCTGTTTGTTACCCTGTCTGCACCTTTCCAGGACCTCGGCGAGCTTCCTGAGGACCTGGTCATGGCGCCACCTGTAGCGTCCCTGGGAGAGCGCAATCTTGCAGCCTGACAAGATGTGTTGAAGGCTTGCGTTGGGAGCGTTACAGAGTGAGCAGCATTCCTCATTGCCAAACCATTGGTGCAGGTTACGAGGACAGGGAAGCGGTCATAGGTTGAACGGATAAGGAAGCTGAGCCTCGCCTGCGGGATCTTCCACAGGTCAGACCAACTGATATTGCGGTCGACAACTCCCTCCCAAGTTGTCCATCTTCCTTGCCGGCCCTGTGAGACGGCCTTGATCTTATAGCGCTCTTCCTCCATCCTCGTCACTTCTGCCACCACCATCTCCTTCTTCTCCTTGCGAGTGGCCTTTGACCAGAACCGTGGTGCCTCTCCCCACCCTAGACCTGCTCTTCCTGCCTGGACTCTGCCCACGATCTCTCGATGCTGCAACCTGCTAACCGCATGGCCCACTTCTGCTTCTGCGTTCCACTTTCGGCCAGTGGGAACCTTGGCTTTTGCATTCCTTACAGACTCGTCGGTGGACTGACTCAGCTCGAGAACCAGCCTGGCCTTCTCTTGCATGTAGCCCACACTTAGGGACTGCAGTGGCAGTTGCAGCGCGTTCCTCCCAAAGAGGCCAGAGTCAGAGAGGCACCGTGGTAGCCCCAACCACTTTCTGATGGAGGCGTTGGCTTTTCCATCCATCTTCCTCACGGTGGATGAGGGGATCTCACTCATCTTCAGGGGCCACATCAGTCTCCTATAGAGTGTGAATTGGTAGCACCAAACCTTGTATTTCCCAGGGAGCTCGCTTTGGTCGATCCTTGCCAGGCCGTCTGAAAGCTGTTTCATGACGGTCCTCCCCATCTGTTTATCAGAGAGCTCTGCAGAATACTCCCTCCCCAAACTTCTGATAGGTTGTTCAGACAGAAGAGGGATTCTCTCTCCCCCGGCGACAAAGGTGGTGCTGTTGTTTATGACTCCCCTTCTGAGTGACAAACTACGGGATTTGGCGGGCTTGACCTTCATCCTGGCCCATGACATCAACTCGTCAAACCTTTTTAGCAGCCTAGATGTACATGCTGCTGTTTGGAGGAGACTAGTGACATCGTCCATGTAGCTTCTCAGTGGGGGAAGCCTCTGGCCAGATGAAAGTTTGATCCCTCCCACCATCTGCCTTGCCCCTATGAGAATGATCTCAAAGGCTGCGACAAACAGAATTGGTGAAATGGCACATCCCATAGCAATTCCCACCTGCAGTTGTTGCCACCCAGTAGTGAAGTCCTGGAGGGCGAGACACATCCGCAGGTCACTGAAGTACAGTGCTACCAAGTTCCTGATGCAGAGGGGCATATGGAAGAAATCCAGAGCGTAGCTGATCAGCTGATGTGGGACTGATCCATACGCGTTGGCGAGGTCGAGCCAGACGATGTGCAGGTCGGTCTTCTCCCTCTTGGCTCTCTGGATTTGGTTCCAGATCATTGACGAGTGCTCAATGCACCCTGGGAACCCTGGAACTCCTGCTTTCTGACAGTTGGTATCAATATAGCCATTCTTTAGCAGAAATTCGGTCATCCTTCCGGCCAGTACAGAGAAGAAGATTTCTTCTCTGTACTCTTAAAGCTCTATAAATAGCTTTAAGAGTAGGCCGTGGCAGCATATAACAAACCCTCATTGAGTATTGTCTCCCATTCCTTTAAATAGGCAAACAGATCACCGGCTGTCGGGTGTACAGTATGAAGTTAACAGCTGGAAAGGGTCTGTGGGCTGTGAATCGTGCGCTTGTGGCCCCCAGCTCGCAGTTTGCGATAGTTTGGTATAGACAGAGGACATAGCATATATATTTTTCGGAACCCCTTTAAAAAAAAAAGATCACTCTTAATTATAAATGAATAATTTCTGCGGTATTTTTGGTCATGTTAATCATACTATTGCAATTTCACACCAACCAATCCATTTTCCCAGATTACCCAGCTTTAGTCCATACCCTGAATATGCTAATCTTATCACATTTACTGCAAATAACAATGTAATACTAGCTAATAATCAGTTCCAAGAGTCAAATGGGGCCAAATATTTCTAATTACATCAACCCATTTGATACGTGAGCAGCACTAATCCATAAGCTCCAAATGAGAAGTCTGTGTTTGCAGAAAATGTGAGAGCGATTAAACTTTAACCCTTAATAGAATGTGTTAATTAGAAAATGCAAGTGACTAATCATGCTACGCCTGTCCAATTACTAAGACTTAGGATTTTGTGTGACGCAGACCAGCGCTTGATACTAATGTTTTGAATGTTTGTGCACAGAGAACCTGCAGAACAGCAAAGAGATCCCACAGTTCCTCATTCTGCGATTGGTTCATCTCCAGGGAGCTGTCATCAGCGGAGGAAAGGTACGGTTTTGTCAATAATTAAATAAAGTGACAGCATACAAGCAGAACAAAATTTGTAAGCTTGCAATGATAAACTAAAACAATGCCATCAGGATAATGACAGAAAGAAAAAAGACAAGAAAGGGGTTTTGGTTACATTCTGTTTATCAGGACACGTTATTAAATGAAATATTAACATACAGTAAAATAGAATACTTTTTTCCATATGCCTCATAGATCTTTTCTTTGTTGGCAACCTTTTGCCTTTAATTGGTCTGATATTGCTCATTATCTGTAAAGTTTTAGACAAAAGGAAAACATTTTATTTATTAAAGATGGCGCCATGGCAAGAGCTCTGGTGTGTGTCGTTGGTGCACACCGGGGTAGTCTTGCACAGTTTTTCCTATGTGGTTTTATTGCAAATGGCAAATAAATGAATCTGATCTGAATCTGATCTGATTAAGTACATATTCCAAATTCCAAAATATAGTCATTCTATGAATATAATTTTTTGTATTGATAATTGTAGAATGGAAATGTCATACCATCCCATCCCTTGGAAAAAGTCTACATTGTCTTGTTTTACTTTGAACATACATTTAACATACAGTACATATATATACAAAAAAAAAAAACGCACCAGTATGCAAAAGATATCATGATATAACTTTTACAAGACTGTCTCTGTGGACAAAAATAGTAGTATCTCAGTAAATAAAAATGCAATGTCACTTGAAATATGTTTGGTTCATTGTCAAGTCTTACTTGAATCCAATTATAGTAAAATCAAGAAAATAATTACTTTGTTCACACTATTTTTTTGTTGTGACTTTCTTCAACAAAAATGTTCTTAACATTTTTGAACAATACTTTAATTACTCTTTAAATAACATGAAATATTTGTACATTGCAGAAGAACGCCCTCCTGACCATCACCCCTAACGCCGTGGAGGACCTGTTCTCTGTTCTAAGAGACTGGTGCTGCCGGAGCCCAGGCGAGGGCAGAGATGGGGCCTTACCACGGCTGACACTGCAGACCCTGACCTCCATGATCCACCTGCTCCACGCCAGCAGCCCCTCGGAGCGCCTGGTGGACATACGGACCGTGCTCCACAGCTACTTCCACCTGCTCAACTGGAACCGGCCCCTCTGCACTGACCAACAGGACCGCGAGAGCTGGGAGGAGAGCCTGGTGTCGCTGCAGAGCCAGATGCTGAGTATGTCCTTGTATCTCACATCTCTATAATCCCAGTCTGCATTCTCCCTACAATAATGTTGCATAGTGGACTTATTTCTTTAGGCTCTTAATATTTTAAAGTGTAGTTATGGTTTTTACATTTCAGATTATTTTTGAAAATATTTAACAGTGTAAACCTCAAACATGGTAAGAATGCTTTTATAATTATCATCTCGACCTTTATTAAGGACTCTTATGCAAGTACAGGATCCATAGCTAAGAATAATGAATCTCAACAGCAATCATTCTTTGCCAGTCTTTGGTCACAGAAGACATACAGCTTAGTGTTACACACTTACCGTTCACAGAGGGCGAAACAGAGGGCGAACAGTGGGGGGCGAAAGCTCCGTGCGGGAAGGGCAAGCAGAGAGCGCGAGCTCATCGTTCTGATTCAAAAGTTTCTCAAAGTCAGTTAGTGCAGCTTTAAATATACTGGTACTGTTAAAACTCAAGAGGCATACACTTTTGACTGAGTAGATTGATGAACAGATTCCGTTTTATTAATGTGTCTTTCAGCTGCTATTCCTGAGATCCTGCAGTGCTCCGACAGACCCGTTCTGCAGGCTGTCTTCTTAAACAACAATTGCTTTGAACATATCCTCAGGCTGATTCAGAACAGCAAGGTCAGAGCCCTGTCCATCGTAAGGCTTATTTTTGTCCTGTTTGCTGCTTTTTCTGACAATCAACCACATCTTTCCATATTGTTGACATACTGTAGTTTTGATGATAAAGTGAAGCCCACTGCCTCCTGGGAGCACCGCCTGTCTAACTGTGTGTCTGTTTGTGCTTGCTGGTGTTCGCATACATGTGGCCTGCAGTTGTTTCAAAGTAGACGATTGGAGCAGAAGGTTGAGTGTGACATCACTACACGTTTGCTCACAGAGGTCGAAGTGGACAAGGTACTGAAGGCCTGTGTCAAACTGGTCTGTGAGCAGGAAATTCAGCCTCTTGTTTTGATAAAACTTCAAGCAGGAGTCTCTTCTATCAGGCGGTAGCATCGCCACATTATACTTTGAGTATCATTGGTTTGAATAGTCATAAAAAATAGTGTTTTCTCCTCAGGGTATAAATGTGCACTTTTTGTTAGAGAATTGTTGCGTGACAATCTATTTTTAATAATAAAAACACACCTTCATATCTATTTACATAACATATCGGTGTATTCTCAACCGCCATTATAATTATCATTTAGCTTTAAAAGGGCGTAGACTAACAACATATCTGACTAATGAGCTGTGTTAAATACTAGAGTCACATTAACATAATGGTGACATTCATTGTCCTACTAAGAAAAATGATAAATTCTTATGAGAATTTATCATTGCAGTAATGCAGTAATGCAGTTATATCTGATTACATTATATCTCTATAGAAGTGCATGTCAAGGCAAAAAATACTGTACATGAAAATATGCGATTAACTCAAATTGTATCTTACGTCTCCCGATGTCTGGCTGAATTTCCTGTTGACAGTGTTGGGGAAAGTGTTGCTGTGCATGCGATGGTGGTTGGCAAAGTGTGTTCACATTTCTGCTGCGTTCATGGGACTAGGGGTGCTCAGAGAAGTTTTTGTGTTTTTTTTTGTTTTTGGGTGACTTAATTTTGTTCTATTTTTGGTACAGCTGTAGGTTTTTACATGGCTGCACCAATCTCTAATCAACAATGATTTTAATTGTGTGGCAATCCTTAAGCCTCTTTTGTGTTCACAGTTGTGGTGTGGGAAAAGCCACTGCACATTGTTGTATATTTCACTTGTTCTGCACAGGAACAAGCCCAGTGCCATGACGTAATGCCATTGTTATATTTGCATTCTCATTTTAATGTAGGTTTTGGAAAAAGCATCTGACAGTATTACCGTGCATGCCTTAGAAGTCCTCACTGCAATAATGAGCAACTCACCCTCTGCAAAGGTAAGGTTAGAACGTGTATTTTTAGTAGTTGTAAATGTAATTAGTTGATTGCATGTTGATGCATGCAAAGCCATTATCACTGTCTCCTTAGAAAACCATTTTCCTCATTTTGTCAATTAGAAACCTCATTGTTTTAGCTTCCAGCTGATGGAAGTGTGCCAGCCACAGCTCCCTCTCCCTATGGGATTGTTTCTCTAACCAGTTCCTGTCCTGTTCCCACAGGAGGTGTTCAAGGAAAGGATTGGTTACTCCCAGCTGTTTGATGTGCTAAAAAGTCAAGGCCCGCCCACCAAGCGCCTGCTGCAAGAGCTCATGAACATGGTAGATTGATTATTGACCCCTGTTTCAGAGGGTTTGGTCTAATTATTACATTCAAATTACACTGGAGTCTTATACTAAAACTTTTGCATGTTTTCCAGGCTGTGGAAGGCGAGCATACCCATGCCCATTATTTAGGCATTGGCAACGACCAGCCTCTGCTGCTGCTACTGCAGTGGCTCCCGGAGCTGTCAGCACAGAGGGACCTACAGCTGCTCGTGGCCCAGTGGCTGGCCACTGTGTGCGGAGGCTCGCTGCCTTGCAGGACTGTGGCCGTGGAGTCCGGCATGGTGGGGGCTCTGCTACAGGTCTTGTCTCAGCCTCAAAATCTGGACAGACAGTGTGCAGATGCACTGTTAGGCCTCCTACAGGACCTGGGCTCTCTGTGTTTAAGACCAGAGGAGCTGAAGGGGCTGCTCAGGATGCTCCGCGTAGACCAGGACAGTGGTGCGGCGGGTGGGCGGGCTCATCCGTACTGCACGCGCATCATCAGAGTGCTGTCTGCGATGGCTGCCAGAGAAGGCAAAGCCCACGCCCTTCAGTACTTTGACCTTTCGCCTCCTATGGCAGGCATCATGGTGCCCGCCGTCCAGCGTTGGCCAGGAAATAGCTTTGCTTTTCATGCTTGGCTTTGTCTTAATATGGAGTTTCAACGCAGTCCCTCTGAGCAGTCAAACTACCGTAACTCCTACCCTACCTCTGGTACTCAACCACAGCATGACATTGGCAAAGGACCCCGTAGGAAACAGCTCTATAGGTATGACGACGAAGTGAGCATAGTGCTTTGTTTGTGCTGGCAATTCAACATGTTTTTCTCTAAAGCTTATTCACAGCAAGTGGCACTGGACTGGAGGCCTTTTTCACCCTGGAAGGAGTGCTGGTGGTGGCTGTGTGCACTAAGAAAGAGTATATGGCCGTTGCTTTGCCTGAGTATCCTCTGACAGACTCATGCTGGGTGAGTCTTCCTCTGACCCTCGTTTTACTCAACTGAATTGTTTTATTTGTCTATTCAGCTAGTGTCACAGCAGCATATCTATATGCAGTGGGACAAAAAAGTATTTAGTCAGCCACCACTTGTGCAAGTTCTCCCACTTGAAAAATGAGTGAGGCCTGTACTTTTCATCATAGGCAGTGTTGTGCCAGTTCACAGCTTTTCTGAACTAGTTCAAGTTCAGTTCATACATGCTCAAAGTGAACAGTTCACGTTCAAAGTTCACAATTTTAATTCTGAACTAGTTCAAAGTTCAGTTCATTTTACTATTTTTTGTGAAATAGTCAAATAAATACTTTTTTTTCACACTACGAGCTATATATATATATATATATATATCTCCTATATATATATATATAGGAGGTATATATATATATATATGTCCTGTACACCCACAGGAGGAGAGCCTTATGACTACAAAACAGACAAGATTTACATGGTTTTTCAATGGGAGCAAAACGGAGTTGCTCCATCTCTGCTCATAAACTACAGACAGTAATGCGCTGCAGTGCGTGTGTCTATACTTTATGTCAAATATAAACGGTGTAAACTTTGTCGCTAACTCACCCTGTGTTTTCATCTCGACTCGGGCGCATGTGAAAAGCACCAGCTCACAGCGCCGCACCGCAACACAGAGTCGGGGTGCGTTCACAGACGGTGGAAACCGTAGGATTTTTTTGATTTTGGCGGAAAAACTGCGAGAATACAGGAGGGAGGAACTTTCTCTCGTTGCATTTCAAAAGAGAAAACAGATTCCAACGTTCATAGTGATGTCTGCCGTTCATGACACATAAAATGAACTAATTCACGTTCAAGTTCTTTTTTAAAAAATTTGTTGCGTTCAGTTCAACGTTCACAAAAAAATGAGCGTGTTCAATGAACGCGTTCTTTTGAACTCGTTCACGCACAACACTGATCATAGGTATACCTCAACTATGAGAGACAGAATGAGAAAAGAATCCAGAAAATCACATTGTCTGATTTTTAAAGAATGTATTTACAAACATTGAAAAATAAGTATTTGGTCACCTACAAACAAGCAAGGTTCCTGGCTCTCAGAGTGTTACTCCTTCTTTAAGATGCTTCTCTGTCCTCCACCTGTTACCTGTATTAATGGCACCTGTTTGAAATCGTTACCAGTATGAAAGACACCATGTCTACAACCTCAAACACTCACACTCCAAACTTCATTATGGCCAAGACCAAAAGAACTGTCGAAGGACACCAGAAACAAAATTGTAGACCTTCACCAGGCTGGGAAGACTGAAACTGCAATAGGTAAGCAGTTTAGTGTGAACAAATCAACTGTGGGAGCAATTATTAGAAAATGGAAGACAAACAAGACCACTGATAATCTCCCTCAATCTGGGTCTCCTTGCAAGCATGACAATGATCCCAAACACACCGCCCAGGCAACTAAGGAGTGGTTTTGTGAGAAGCATTTCTAGGTCCTGTAGTGGCCTAGCCAGTCTCCAGATCTCAACCCCATAGAAAATCTTTAGAGGGTGTTGAAAGTCTGTGTTGCCCAGCGACAGCCCCAAAATATCATTGCTCTAGAGGAGATCTGCATGGAGGAATGGACCAAAACAGTGTGTGAAAACCTTGTGAAGACTTACAGAAAACATTTGAGCTCTGTCATGGGCAACAAAGGGTATATAACAAAGTATTGAGATGAACTTTTTATTGACCAAATACTTATACTGGATAATTTTCCACCATAATTTGCAAAAAAAATCTTTAAAAATCAAAATGTTATTTCCTGGATTTCTTTTCTTCTCATTATGTCTCTCATAGTTGAGGTATACCTATAATGGAAATTACAGGCCTCCTTCATCTTTTTTGGGAAAACTTGCACAATCGGTTGCTGAATACTTTTTTGCCCCACTGTATATACAGTATATATTGTTTTATATATATCTATGTATATGTATTACAGTCAACTTAACTCTAAACACTATTTATTCTACTGTGTCTGCTTTTTAAAATCAGCATTCAGTCGCTATTGTCCATTTATCCGGTCGGCGTCCATTTGGCCAGAATTTGGTCAAAATCTACATTGATGGGGAACTGCGTAAAACCGCACAGCTCAGGTTTCCATCTTTCGGCGAGGTACGTACAAGCCTTTTGTTTGTTTTTGCTGCTGAAACACATTGCATTCTTCCTCTGTCCCGCTCTGCATCCTTGTTTCTTCTTTCAGCCTTTTACATCCTGCTGCATCGGGTCTGCAGGCCATCGGACCACTACCACTGCCACCTCTCCCACTCTGGCCCCGTCCTCCCCTCCTCCCGCAGACTTCGCCTTCCCCACACACGGACCGGCCCTCATCAGGTCTCAGTCTTTCCCCGCTTCCTTCGCCGGGGGTCGTTGGGGGGGAGTTGGGGAGTCTGCGGTCCACACGATCACTGCCGGGCTCCAGGACACTGAGTGGGGGACGCCAACCTCCCTGGACGGACTCTTGGGCACCGCGTTTATCTGTCATGAAGAGCTCCAGCCAGCGCAGACCAAAGCACTGCACTCCGCCGGTGGGAGCGATGCCAGAAATTTGAGTTACATGTTGCATTTTACATGACTGACCTCTTTGTGTGCTGCACAACTTAGGCCCAAATCACGTGTCCTTATTCAAAGCAGAAGGGGAGATATCTGAGCTCAACGGCAAACTTCTACTGTACTATACTCCACAGGTGAGGATTGTGTACTATGAACACTTAGGACCACATAGAATACTGGTTATATAAATAATCGATCCTGTTTTTATTCCCTTTTATCCCTTTTTATTCTGCTGTAATGTGCGCAATGATGACACTGAAATATCTCCTCCATAGGACGAATAAAGGTCTCTCTTATCTTATCTTGTCACCATAGAAAATACTTCCCTTTCACTATCATCTAAATATTTGGCCTTCCAAGTACCACCACATACAAACTAACTTGGTCTTAAATATGACTACAACAGTTCTATAGTAGATCTAAAATGTTACCATAGTAATGTGGAAGGGCGATAGTGGCTCAGTTGGTAGAGCATTGGCCTTTGAGCCTGAAGGTTGTGGGTTCAAGCCCACCATAAGACCTACTTCACGACTCCCACTGATGACTGCTGTCGTTGTGTCCTTGGGCAAGACACTTAACCCCACTTTGCCCGAAGCCCCAGCTGAAAGATCTCAGCTCCTGTGGACTCACCACCTGCAGGAGGATCTGTGAGGGAGTGGTGCTGTGTGTACTGGGTGCAGCTCTGACTGCCACCCCCTGACCCAGAAATGCATTAAGGGGAAGAAAATGGATGGAGGGATGTCATTGAAAGAACAGAAGGACAAAAAACTTGAAATAACATCAATCAATCAATCAATCTTTATTTATAGGGCGCTTTTCCTGCACAGGGCAACACAAAGCGCCTCACAGTCCACACCACACAATGCACAAATCATCACCATTAAAATACAATTAAAAACACATATGTAATTAAAAAGCATTAAAATCACATAAGTAATTTAAAAACATAAGAATCACACAAGTAATTAAAAACAATAAAATAGTTAAAAACACAAAAAGTTACAACAATAAATAACAAGGTGTGTTAAAACGATAAAATTCTCTAGTTGTATGCACAGGAAAAAAGAAAAGTCTTTAACATGGATTTGAACATTGACAGAGAGGCAGCCAGTCTCACATCCTCAGGAAGACTGTTCCAGACTTTAGCTGCATAACCTAACCTAAATAATCAAACTTCTGCGTACGTTTACCACAACTATTGCATTTTCTTCCTTAATGTAGTTATAAGAAAATCACCCTATTTTTGTATATATGTTATGTATGGTCTTATACAGTTACATACATTCGACAAAAATAATGTTCACCTCCGTCATAGCACCTATTATTTTAAACCTTTAATGGCACAGTCAACTCTATGAATTGAATAAAATCTGAATTAAATCATGGTTTTCTCCTAATACTCTGACATACAGTATAACAATAATTAGTAATGTGATACTATTTTTGCTAAGGTAAACACATGACATGTAAATAGGTCTTTTTACTTTTTTGTTTTATTCTACAGAAAACATCCAAGTTCAAATTCATAATTTCAGTCCTGGTCTGGGTGTGCCAGAGAACACCAACAGGATAGGGAGTGGACACAAATAATGACAGAGATGTTAGCCATAGTCATAAACCAGTATAAAATGTTGACTGTCTGCCTCAGTTAGAAAAGTTTAGTAAGTGAAAATCATTTTATTGGGTTATACAGAAGGTTTTCTCAAGACTTAAACCGTTATCTTTTTTCCGCAGGCCTTCAAAGGTCAGATATGTCTAGATTTGGCTCCTAATCACCAGTACGATGGCAGGCTGACAGGTCACCGCGTTGTCAACTGGGACATCAAGGTCATTTGTGTTTCTGCTTTTTAAACTCACTTATTTTTCAACATCAGAAAACATGTGTGATGTTTTCTATTTTAGGATGTTGTGAATGTGGTCGGAGGCATCGGCGTGGTGTTGCCTTTGCTGGAGCAGGTGTGTGAAGCAGAGCAGGTTTATAACGGAGGCCAGGAGACTTCAGACCTTCTTGGACCAGAACTTACCTCTGCCAAGGGGCCCTCTGGGATGTTGCTGCCACTCAAGAAGTCCTCCGGTGCGTTCAGATTATTCTCAGGCAGTTTAAATCAAATAACATTTATTTATAAAGCATGTTAAAAAAAACAGTCAAAATATAAAATGTATCCCAAAATAAATACAAATGCAAAAAGATACACATTTGGGCTAGCACTTCTCAGCAATGAGGTTGTGGGTTTGAAACCTGGTCAGCACAGGGCATTTCTGCATATTCTCTCAGTGTCTGCATAGTGTCCTCTGGGTGCTTTCCCCTTTCACTAAAAACGTATGTAGTTCCTTAATAGCTCCTGTAAAATCGCTCCCCAACCCCGCCTGGGACCAGGACTCCCTTGGAACAGAGATTCTGAAATCTCAGAGGGATTGGTTGAATAAAGGTTGATAAATAAAATATAAGATAAATGTCATGATAAAATGCCAAATGCCTGTGAGAAATGCTTCATCTCAAGTTTTATCATCATCCAAAGTCTTTGTTTGGTTCCTTGTCATTTTATATCTTTTATGTAGACACATACGTATTGTATTGAAGTGTGGGGGAATACTTACCAGAATACAATTAATCCTCTGATGATAATACAGAAAAGAGCTGAGCGGATAATTCACAAGGTTGGTTTTCTAGAACTCTCATAACCTATTTAAGCCGTCAAAATTTCTTAAATTTCATGATCTGGTGGCTGAGTGGATAGCACTCTCGCTTCTAAGCAAGAAGGTCATGGGTTCGAGCCCAACAGGATCAGGGTCAGGGAACAGGGTGAGTGGAGTTTGCATGTTCTCCCTGTGTCTGTGTAGGTTTCTTCCGGTTTCCCATACCACTAAAAAACATGCACAATAGGTATGAATGTAAATGAGGGAGTGAATGGATGGTGTTGATTGGAGGCTGTTCTGTCATCAGTGGGATTGGCGTCTTGGAACAAACTATCGTTTGAATATTGTAAAACGCTTTGTGTGGCTTTGGTCTGTAAAATTCCCTATGTAAATAAACATTACTTACTTTCTTACTTACATCAATAGTTTTATATAAAGTATTCAACTTGAGAGGCTCAAATAACTTTTAAGCGCTTTCGTGTGTCTGTATGCAGAGTAAAACTCTGGAACAAACTGGACTCAAAACTCAAGCAATGCCAAAATATGAATCGAGTGAAACCATTATATAAACATCAAACCGGGTCAAAATATAAAGATGAAGATTTATTTATATTGCTCTTGTACTGTAATGATTAACATGCTCAATGCTTTTTTCCATTCTTCTCAATTTACCATTGTTGGTATGTTGTCCATTTACTATTGTTAGTGTTGTGTCCATTTACCATCGTACAGTAGGTATAGTATCCATTTACCATTGCTGGTATTGCTCATTCCTAATATTTTTGGTATAAATTGTTGTGACAATGTATTAATCATTTGTTACCTGTGGTAAAGCCACCATTAAGTAACACCGTAAAATCCTTGTATAAAAAAGCTGTGAAGCTTAACACATCAATCACTGATCGGGAAATTGAGGTGGGACTAAATAGGGTATCATCTTGCCACTCCCTTTCAGACAGAATTAAGTATTGTGTCTACATTAAACAAATAATAATTAAAAAAACCCAATATATATATATATATATATATATATATATATATATATATATATATATATATATATATATATATATATGTATATATCAAGCATATGTGATATTGTGGCTTTTATGTTTTCTTGTACTAATTAATAAAATCTTTGATTTTTTTTTTTTACTCCCTACTTCAGAGGGACGTCTTGAGAGGAACAGTGTCGCTGCGTTCTTGTTGATGGTGAAAAACCTAATTCGTCATCACCCTGTCAATCAGGACTGTCTGCTGCAGTGTCATGGGCCCAGCATCATTGGAGCCATGCTCAGCAAAGTGAGTTTAACCCAGAGGAGGCTCTCATTATTTATTTTGTGAGTCTTTATTTTGACACACAATAACTTATTTATTGTTTATGCTATTAACATTTCAATACCAAATTATTAAAATGCCAACGCCAATTTTCCTATTGTTTCCTATAGTGTTGAAAGTCGTCCAGAACCTCACTCCCATCTTTGTGTGGAATGATAGACAAATAGCCACAACAATTGTAAAGCGCTTTGTGACTCTGGCCTGTGAAAGTCGCTATATAAATAAAGACGACTTACTTACTTATAGATAGTCAAGCCGGATTGCCATGAGTATCTATCTGTGCTGACAAAAATCATGAAAAGTTTGACTGTGTAATTATTCATAAAGAGATATTCCTCTTTAACTAAACAGTCTCCAAGTCTCTATTCAGTTTAGTTTTGAGTTCATCTTCTAAAAATATTTGTATTATAATTTTACTAAGAAACTAATTTGCTACGGGTGATATGTCAAGGAAAGAAGTAGTTATTCAGTTGCTCTTTTACTGCAGACATCAACGGTATAAATGCATGACACCAATGAATGGTTTTGCAAAGCAAATGTGGCCTTCTATTCACTGGTCTCGAAAAAAACACAGTCCATAGCAACATATGTTGCTCACTGAACTGAGTGCTCTTCATCAGTGTCTAAGTGTTTCTAATAATAGTGGCTTGGTCAAGCCTCGTTCACATATCTGCATTATACTCTGTTACACCCACACTAATTTGTTTCTCTTAGGTCCCAGGAAACATGATGGACATGAATGTCTTAATGGCATGTCAGCTGCTGCTGGAGCAGGTCTTCTCTGAGGGCAACAGCGCATTACTGCAGCAGCTCTACCACCACCTCCTCTTTGACTTCCGGATCTGGAACAAAAGCCACTTTGCTGTTAGTCTTGGTGAGGCACTTTGTTTACTTTAAATACATAAAGTGAGCATTTAGCAACATTAAATTATGTTGCTAATTACTCATTTTATGTCTGCAGCTCAGGTACAGTATTTGTCATCCGTGATAAACAAAGGAAAACAGCGGTTGAAGAGGAAGTATGGGGTACAGTATATCCTGGACACCATTCGGACCCACTATAGGTCAGATTAAAACATATTTGAGATCTTTTAAAATTAGTCTGCAGATGCAGGACCCCACAGTGAATGTGTGTGCGTGTGTTTGTAGTGTGGAGAAAGATGGCAGTCCTCTGTCGGATGAGAAACAAACCATACAAACCTCTCTGTTCGCGCTGCTCAAAGACTTCCTCAAGTCTCCGACACAACCGGAGCTCCAGAGCTTTCTCTCATTCATACTGACTGTTGGAGAGGAACGGCAGGTCGGCTATTATTACACATCTGTATTTTAAGATAAGCTTTGATTAATATATAGCCTTATCATTCAAACTTTTCTCCGGATATTTCTTCAATACTTCACCCCAAGAAACCTTTTCAAACTGTGCATGTCTTCCGATCAGGTGGTTCGGGCATTGGACGTGCTGTATGATTTGTTGAGAAGCACTCCTCCACGTGAGCAAGTCCAGGCCTTTCTGCTGGAGTGGGGAGTGGAGCAGCTGTACAGCCTGCTTCTCACGCCCAACTTTGGAGACGAACCTAAAGAACGAGTCTTTAGGGTACCAATGCTTTTTACTGATAATGGTTAAAGTATGTACAACAAAATACTCATCCTTATTTTGTTTAATTTTTTTTAAGGTTTTATACAAAATTCTCAAAAGTGAACGCATTTCTGAGCGCAATAAACTCAAGGTTAAACTGAGAGATTTTGGATATGTTGGGCTGGTTTATTGCCTTGAAGATTGTCCTGTTTCCATGACTTCAGTGAGATGTCTGTACGAGCAGGTCCTCGCTACAGGTGAAACTATCTTCGCAGAACACTGGCTTCAGAATATTGTATCCACTGAGCTTTATATTTATTTATCTGTCATGTCTATATTGTTCTTTTATATCAGATGCCACTCCTAACTTTAGAGACCTCCTGGCTGTGGTCTGTCTTTCGCATCGTGCAGAACTTACTGTGAGGTTAGATGTTTGTAGAAAGGTAAGTCTCACAAACTGTTTGGACATATAACTGCATTTTACTGATTTTTACTGTTTTCCCCCTACATTTACACACTCAAAGGGCTTTTTCAATCATGTATATTGTCCTGTAGTCAAGTCAAGTCACTTTTGTTTTGCTAACTTCTTTGCTTTGAGAAAAAAAACTAAAAAATCACTTAGAGCTGACTCAAGCAGTAGTCTGAGCTGAGCCTGCTGGGAATTTGATATGACCAAGTTTCTGCTGATGTAGCGTGAAGTGGCGGTCGGACTAGATATGACGTCATGAGGCTCATTCCCACCTACTTTTCACCCCACAACCCACAAGCTGGTGTACCAGAACAACTGGCATTTAACCCACCTGACGACCTCGTCTTTTTTTAGTGTGAACACTGCGACCACATATTGACATTATTTAATAAAACCAAAACTGATAAACTGTTTTATAGCCCATTACTTACATGTGGGTCAGATAAGGTTATAAAACTACACAAGTCACACAAGGCAAAAATCTAAGTAAAAGTTATTAATATAGCTATGAATTAAAATATATAAATACATTATATATACAAAAAAAAAAATCAATACAGTATGAAGACGCCTGTAGATACTCACCTTAATAGATGTCAGATTTTTTTAATTTCCCTGTTCATGTGTAATCCTTTTGGCATTTGCTCTTTCACAAAATCCAGTAGTAAAATATCCTTCCTTGTTCAAAACCTCTTTATCAGTAATGTTTATGGTTTTGTTCCAGCTCTTCCACCTCATCCATTCCAACGTGGACTACGTGAAGCAGCTCTCCAAGCAGCCGGGCTGGCAGGACGTTTTGACCAAACTTTATGTGAAAGAATCGTACGAATCGCGCGCGGCCAGCATCGCTAACTCCAGCTCGCAAAACTCATTTGAGCGCACGTACCGTCCCCCTCTGAGCAAAGAAAAGTCCCTGGTCATCGAGGACCCAGACCTGTTTCTGAGCTACCGCACTTCCCAGGACGTGGACGATGAGGAAGAGGAGGAGGAAGCACATCGAGACCTTTCTGAAGGATGTTCAGATTTGTCTCAGTCGCCTTCAAGTGGTGAAGGAGGGCGACTTAAAAACTTTGCTGGATCTCTTCACTTTAAATCCTTTGATTCTGTGGATCAGGAAAGTCACTCTTCTTCTCAGTCAAATGCAGTTGATATAACATCAGCCCGTCCTGATGAAGAGGGGAAAGATTACCATCCCCTCTCTCCGTTTGGGACATCACCATTTGACATAGACCTGGGGACCATGGGGGACCCGGGCACTCCCACTGGGACGCCCTCCCCTCTGGAACAGAACAAGCCCTTTCCCCCTCTCAGACCACGGAAGAGCTCCAGTCTGTCCAACATCCTGGACGACACCAGCTACAACATCGAGCACACGGGAGACACCATCTCCAACACGTCCAACCCACAGGTGCAGACAACACTAAGAAAGTTTGGATTATATTCTATTTAGACCGACCAATTTGGGTTTTGTGTGGCTCAGTTTGACTAGCTGAGAGGCTTATTTTAAAGGCTGGAAACAGCTAGGGCATTTTTCAAGCTTATTTTATAATTATTTTCTTGATATCAATGGGTGAATGTTAATTTTAAAGAAATTGAGGAGAAGTAAACATGAACGGCCAAGTTGATAATCAAGTTTATTTATGAAGCACAATTGATTCAGTGCAATCCAAAGTGCTTCACAAAGATGTAAAATCCTACATATTTACAAACATTATACAACATAAGAGGAAAAACAACCATTACATTTAAAAGAACAACACTCAATGTAGAATGTAAAATGAAAACTCAATATTTAAAACTCAGACACACAGCTAAATATAACAGTTTTCAGCCTCGACAATGACAGAGATGTACATATTTAGGAAGACTAAAGATGTTTATTGAATTTAGGTATGAATATTCTTTTTTTGGTAGATTTTTCTGAAGCTTTAAAATGAGCTACAACATGCCATGGAAACATTTATATTTCAAAGTCGGAAAATATTGGTTCGATATACTGTATATCGGTCAATCTCTAATGAATATTTACAGTTCTTCAGCAGTGCCCTTGACAACGAGCAGACAGATAAAGGTCCTCTATAGGGCTTGTTTCCATTTCTTGTATTACAGTTAAAAGTATATTCAATTATAACTTAGAAAAGACTTAGTGCTATGAGCAACATCAATTATATTTATCTGGAGGAACATCCATCATCTTCTTGTCTCATAAAAATAGTTTTGCCTCTTCGGGAATGTTCCATAGTCTGATATAAATGTACTCAAGTCAAGTACAGGGGATTTTATTGCCAAAAATACTGCTTGTTTCCCAGGGGAATGAATGTTATATACTGTACTATGTCCAAAAAGAACTGTTTCTCGGTTTCTCCATAAAGAAAAGTATTTTTAGTGTCAAGAAGAACAAGCTGTAATAACAGTAGAACAGCCGTTGTAAGAAGGTCCCTTTGTTCTTACAGCGGCTGGTGCTAGAAGAAAGTTATTACATCTTATGAAGTGCGCAGTGGGCTTTAGTGGTTTGCTCTGTTGCATTTACAGCAGACACCAGAAGAAGAGCTGTGTAATCTTCTGACCAACATCGTGTTTTCGGTGTTGTGGAGCGGCAGCGGGGCTGAGGTGAATGAGGACGTGGTGTGGAGAGAGAGAGGACAGGTTTTCTCAGTTCTCACTAAACTGGGCTCCTCCTGCCAGCTCGTCCGGCCTCCCGATGACATCAAACGCAGGTGAGTGATGACGAACAACAATACCAACAGAACCAAATAAAAACTGGTTTGTAGCACGTGTCGTGTACACATACAATACACAATGTGGCTGAAATAGAACCAAATTGCTGATTTGAGAATATGAAATACAGTCCTATTTATAAGGACAAACAGAAAAGAGTTCTTGAGCCTTACAGATTCATACACTGTGACTGTAAACATAAACTTACAGATATACTTTGGTGCATTGACTCCAACGCACAGGGACTGGCCTCCTGCTGATGCCCAGATTAAACATGGGGAGGCAGCGTTTCAGATTTTTGCAGCAAAAATTCTTCATGGAATTGGGACAGGCTTCTACTCTGACTATGTTCAAATTGAGGTTAAAACAATTCTGCTTAGCTGTGCATACTACTCACAGCACTCACATGTGTAAATATTTACCTATTTACAGTATTTAGAGTGATGATAGTAATCACATTCTCATTATAAAAACATGTTCTTTGTTTTTTATGTGCAAATAAAATACCCCTATGCCTTCCTTTTATAGTTTCATAGTTATCTTCCAATAACATAATTAGTTAATTTCAAACCATTTGCAGCAGTTAAACTTGATCCACTTTCTACACATTCCTTTATGAATTTTAAACCAAAATGAGTGTAGAAGCGCTTTTTACAACTTTTAAGAAACCACCCTTTTGGTTTATTGGACAAAAGTAAGTGAGATGATCAAATTAAATACGCAGGACATTTTTAAATAACTCTATTTAACTTCATGAGCTGATTTGCACTGGGGAAAAACATATGTTGCGAACAGAGACGACTAAAATGTATTGTTTATTAGAAACTGTTTTTCTTTCAGTCTTTTGGAGATGATGCTGGAGTCTTCCTTGTCGGATCTGAGGGAGGCCCAGGGGGTGTCTTTGCCGTTCTGTCCCAGCCTCCTGCGACTGCTCCGACTGCTCCAAGATTTTTTGTTTTCTGAGGGCACCGACAACTGCATGCTGTGGAGTGAGAAGGTATTTTTATACCGAGTTTCATTAGACGTCACACTATTCAGGAATTGGCTCATGGTGTGTGTTTTATTAAAGCTAAGGAAACAAACTTTTGTTTCATAAATATTACATGTTGTTTGTCCCAACAGAAAAGCTATGAACAAATCAAAACAAAACATGTTGTCTTTGTCTTATTAGAAAACATGTTATTTTTTGCACTCTTCGTAGAGAGATCTTAGTGAGTCACTATTTTACTAGTGATGGAACTGTTTTCCAGGAACTAGTCACATGGGGTTTAGGTACCCCAGCTTTATAGGAAACATATCGTGCAAAAGGCATTTTTTTTGGTTACAACATCATCATAAATGCACGATTTCAGGAATTTTAAGTCATAACCAGAACGATTTTGGAAATCCTCTCCAATTTATTATTATTTTAGTCAAGAGCATTTCTGCTGTCAAATTGGATATAAATGCATGCTTACATTACTCATGTGAGTCTGTTTTAAATGGTTTTTATTGGGGTTGTTGTTCCCTCAGCTACCAGAAGAGGGACACTGCTTCAGGGTCTTTGTATTTTGTATTAGAATTTTGCGTATCACATCTTTTCTATAAACATACGTTATTTCATCCTCCGTGGCTGCAGCGTTCCGACCCAGGGCAGCTCCGGCTGCTTTGTAATGACAGCAGCTTTGACAACAACGTAGCGAGCACCTTAACATGGTCATAATGTTCCCAGGACCATAGACGCACAGGACAATTCTCTGCTTGTTGTGTGCGTGTCTTTGCATAACCTGTGCACGCAATAAATACACCGCTGCAAGAAACAGAGCTGGATTATAGAAGCCTCAGGAAGTGTCCGAGTCTCCCCCGTGTCTCCTCCTGAAGCGCAAATAAACTCCCTAAATTAAAGCTTGGGTGCCTACATTTTCCCTTGCATTAAAAGTTCATGTTTGTTTTGCCAAAAAGTGAAATTTTGTGAACAAATCAAACAGATTTAATGACAGCCAATGGCTGACATTATGCATTTCCGACTTTTTTAAATGTCCCATTCTCATCCCTATAACAAACAATAATTTTGATCTGTGGTCATCTCCCTCACTCTAGTGACATGCTTATTACTCTCTTGCAATGTAGACCAGTGGTTCCCAAAGTGGGAGTCCTGACCCCTACTGAAAAAAATATTAATGATAACAAAGAAAAGTGGAACAAATAGTCTGAGTCTAAGAGTCTATATTAAATTGGTAATTTTGTCCCAGACATCAAGAGATGACAGCGTAAATCAAAATCAAGTTACATAGCTTACATCACACGCATCGACAAAATGTCTAATGGCAAAAGCTAAAAATTTTTGGAGGCTACATATAAATAATACCTCGAACACACCAAACAATTTTTTGGTCCCAGTCCAGCCCTGATTGGAATCAATACATGAAAATTGTTGATGGAAAGCTAAGGCCCTCGATCTTACTGGTGAGACTTATTCCAAGGGGAGGAACTGTTTTAAGTATATTTATTACAAGCATAGATGATGCAATATGATACAACAGGGTTGTATGGTCTAAAAAGTCCTTTCTTTTCAAAATGAATTGCAATTTAAGTAGTAGACGTCACCTTTAACTGCCCACAAATAAGCTCATTTGTCAACTCCACTTGTTGAAATTGAAAAAATGTTTACCCTCAATTATCCCTGAAGACAAAGCAGCCGGGTGTGGCTTGTGTCAGTTACTCCCTGTGTATAGGCTCAGGGTGGAGAGCTCTGACCACTGGTAGCACAAAGTACACGTTTAAGTGCACATACTTAAAGCATTTGGTTATTGTTAAAACCATGAGGTGTGGAACAGGCTTACCGTGGATGACTGCTTTACTGACGGTTGCATTGGCTATTGTTGCAGATCTTCGAAGGGGTGGTGAACTTGTTGGACAGGTTGCAGGCTTGGCACAGTACGCCCGGCACGCCAGGAAACACGGAGCTCAAGGAGATGGCCCAGATCGGTCTCCGCATCATCACTGGTTACATCCAACAGCAGAATACTCAGGTCAGAAGCACCAGCTCCACGGTAGAATCAAAACATTTTTGTTCAAAGATGTTGGGATCAAGACAGACCACCTCTTAACAACATAGCAACTATGTGTCATTTACACGTTCAAATTTGTTTTTGTAGTGATTAACTCCCTTCTCTGACCATGGCCACCTAGCCCCATCCCACTGTAATCACTGTTCTGGTTCTGTGATAATCAATCAATCCATTCAGATTTTCAAAACCTGTACACAAGATGTGTTTGGACCAAAAACATAGTAGTAGTATAACACACACACACACGCAAAGAAAAGATGCAGGCCCTAACACTGTCCGACCCTACACCTCTCCCCATCACTCTCTTTCCACCTCATACTGAAGAGTATGAGGTGGAAATGGTATTCTGCGGGATTTCTTATTACCGGGAACTGAATATTTAATAATGAGCCACAGATTTCATAGATGAATATACTGTATTTATAGGAAGTGTGGTATGTCCCCTTTATAGACAAATGGCATGGAGAAATCACATGCCAAATTCCATGGGGAAATAGCTAAAACCGTACTGTGGAGCATTCTATATATAAAGCATTGCAATATATTTGTTAAATATAATATTTTGGAATATTTTAGCCTAGGGAACAATACTTCCATGGAGGAGACACTGTCACTGTATGATTCATGTTTGTGGAGGTGCAAGCCCATTGTTAGGGCATATACAATTTTATGTGACGTAAATAAAAACCCACAATATTTATAATACTAAATGTATAATAATATTTATCAATATGAAGACACATTTGGTTCTGAACTTTTTTGGCACCTAGACGTATCCTTACCTACAGTTTGCTGCATCTAGAACCATTTATAAAAACACTAACATTTATGAACTCAAAAGACTAGACCAGGGGACCTCAAGAGCATTTTCTCTCGACTTTCGTGATTTTGTTGTTGTACATAATTACAAGTATGTACATTTTTCACCAAAAACGATTTTGTAAGTGCCAAAATGTGGCGAGCGCTCAGCACATAAATCAAGCCAGGAAAAACCACTGTAACTATGACAACGGTTAGCATGGATGGCAGCAAGAATGTTAACAGTTGTCATAGGGATGGTTGCCATGGCAATCACTATGGCAACTGTTACTAACACAACTGTTACCATGGCTGCCATTGGTATGGCAATAGTCACCATAATAACCGTTGCCATTGCTATAGACACTGTTGCAATAAGTATGGCAACTGCTGCCATGACAACTATCACTAATGGAACAATCACCATCACAACTGTTAACCATGACAACATACAAACAATCGAGTGAATCTTGTTTTAATGCAAAATTCTTGCGGCTACTTTTTTGGAAGTTTGTTTCCAGTTGCCATAGTGATGGTTGTCAGGGTAGTTGCCATAGAAGTTTCCATAGCAACGGATGCCAAGGTAACAGTTGCCATTGCAATGGTCACCAGTGCAACAGTTGCTATGGCAACCACTATGGCAAGTTACCATAAAAACCATCACTATGGCAACTGTTGCTATGACAATCACCATGGCAACCATTACTATGGGAATAATCACCATTGCAACTGTTACCATAAAAACAGCCAGAAAACCTTTGCAACCGTTGCTGTAGCAATCACTATGGCAACTGTTACCATGGCATCCATCAATCAACTGTTCCCATGACAACTGACAGACAATCTGGTGAATCTGGTTTTGGTGCGGTTGCTATGGTAAAGGTTGCCATAGTGATGGTTGCTAAAATTATAATCAATGACTCGGAAACCATCAAACAGCACAGAAGAGTCTTAGTTTCAACAGCATCTAGTTACCTGTGTGAATTTTAACGACACAAATGTGAGACATACCAGTTGGTAATTTTTAGCAATTGGTAATCAGCGCATGTGCTCATGTGCCTTTTGGAGCCGGGAGCCTCCCCCACTGGTAAATACTGGTAATATTTTTATTAGTGATGTGCGAAATGAATCAAGGCTTCAAAGCATGTGTCGAGTAAACTGTGGCTTGGAGAGTGGTTTGGTGATGTCAGCGATTGTGTGTGTTGCCACAGATGAAGTGTTGGAACCATAACGCAGGAGAAATATTTTAAAACAAATTTACCTCCTCATTGCAGCCACTGAAAATAAAATCTGTACATCACTGATTTTCATATGCTCAATAACATGGTCAAAAGACTGTTCCTCCTCACAAATAAAGCTGACATTGAAAAATTGCGAGATTTTGCGAGATTTCCACCCGCGGATACAAACAAACCACACGTGCCACTTGTATGGTGCTGAGATCGCCGACTTCTTCCTCCTTAAAGAACTTTCCTGTGTTATTTTGGACACACTTCGTCTCTGGGACAGAAAAACTGAGTGAGCGGTCGGAATTAGCTGTGAACTGACCATGTGCTGACGTTTATATGACGGGGAGATGAGAAAGGTGCAGGGCCGTGTTCAAACTTATTGTTTTTTAATCCACTATCATGCATCAGAAAGACAATATAGAAACACTATTCCCATGCAAATACATTGATGTCCCTTACAGCTAGCTTTGCTGCGTTGGTTATGAGCCAATGTTTATGAATGATCAGTTTTCTATCTGTACATTTTGTATCTGTACATTAGCTCCATCTGTACATTAGCTCCATCTCCACTTCACACAGCAGCTTCACATTGGGCCTTTTTTCTTTTTGCTGTGCTGTCATAAATAACATGATGTAGTTGGGTTACCTATTCATTTACTACTAACTAATATTATGATTGTCCGTTTTCTGTTTATATTTGAACATTTGTTAAATGTTTTTTAATATGTGCTAATATGTTCCTCCTTTATCTCTCAAATAAATAAATAGATGTCTCCTGTGTGACAACAATAAAGTTAATCTTATCTTAAAATACAAGCCACAATGAAAGGCTCGGCAGCGCACTACAGGTTAGCATTAGCTACAAGTTAGCTTGAATACATATTCCAGTTAACCATCTGTAAAATCAGACAAAAGGTTTTATCACAACTGCATAGCTTTTTACACAGCTTCAGTTGGTCTTTGGGAAACCTAAAAAATGAGCATGCTTCATGTAAACTTTGATGATAACAGCCGAATACAAAGCAGAGCATTTTGCACCATTCATTTAAACAGCCTCTTCGAACAGCTGACGATTTGTTTGTATCCGAGCAATGAACCGGAAGTGATTCTGGGACGAGACTTTCCAGCCCCTGCTGCACTAATTAACTTCCTTGAATAGGCACAGGTGTGTATTCAGCAGTAGTGACACCTAGAGGCAGGAGGTATAATTTGGCCTCTACAACTGGAATATATTATCATCACATTTCTTGATTCTCATCTAAAGCATTGATACACACAGTTATAAAACACTTTCCTTATACAGTAATGCACAGGCCACTTGTAGCAGCTGGATAAAACTACAGAGCTGTGCATATTTATTCAAGTTGATAAGAGCGTTGGGATAAAAGTGCTTCTGAAATACCAGGCCTTGTATGGATTTCTGTTCAAAGGCATTTCAGTCATTCCTCTGAGGGAGTGTTCATAAAGAAGGGCAACTCCTCGCTGGCCCACGCGGCTGCTGCTGTCACTGGTGGATTGTGGGATTGTAATCACACAGCCACAATTGTTCTCTCAGCAGCCGAGCAGAAATAAGTGAAGCATGTAATGAGATGAGAGAAAGCAGAAAAGAAAATGTTTGGATCCATAGTTTTTTGCACATTTTTGTGAAACTAGCTGGTAAAACCTTAGCTCTGCAATTCCTAAAATGGGCCTTACACTGCAATTATTATTATTAAATATGAGGTAATAATTGCTTGAATTTAGTGGTTTTTAGTTTTTACATTCTGACTGTCTTTTAACAAGATTTGCCAATGGGACAAGTCATCTAAACTTATTTCAAGTTTTTTTCATCTGTTTCTCATTCCAAGGCAGGTTTTTATTGTATCTTAAACAATAAATTAATAAAAAGTAAATACATTTGCTTGTCCCATTGGCAACTTTTGTTTTAAGGCAGTGAAAATGTGCATGCATTAAGATACATTTTGCCAAACAATTTTTGACTTATTTTTCATCACTTTTTTCAGCGTATGTAATATGTTCGGCAACCGAACATATTACATACGCTGAATGAATGAATGAATAAATGAATGTCTTTTCTTTTATTATACAGCTATTTGCCAGTTGTGGCACAGCAGTTGCCACAATGCAAAGAGTGGCTTACATCAAAAGTGATTTGTGTCCACATCCCAGTGATTTAGCCTCAGACGGGATGCTCATGAAATATCTATTAAACATAAATTAGACATTTGTCCCATATTTACTGTACGGCACACATTTACGTAGTGTACTGTCTTCAATGCTGACTTAAAAAGGATTTCACCTGTAATCTATGAAATGTCTTTGGGAATCTGATTCTACTCATACATTCCCCATTCCCATTTTTTTTTCATACCATTTAAGAGATCAATGAGGAAATGTCCGTGTGCAAGTTACAGAACAGTTGTAAAGAGGGGCCCACAACACAAGATAAGATATTAGGCAGACCTGTAAAGAAGCCGTGCCAGCAACATTTCAAAGAAAGTAAATTTATAAGCCGCAGATTTTCATGTTGTAATGTAGCAGAAAGCCGACATGATTTAATGATACAGTGTTTAACAGGGCGCGACAGTAGCTCAGTTGGTAGAGCATTGGCCTTAAGGCCAGAAGGTCGTGGGTTCAATTCCCACCTCTACACCTTCTCCACCGACTCCCACTGATGACTGCTGTTGTTGTGTCCTTGGGCAAGACACTTAACCCCACTTTGCCCAAAGCCCCCGCTGGAAGATCTCAGCTCCTGTGGACTCACCACCTGCAGAGGATCAGTGAGGGGCTGGTGCTATGAGACTTGGGTGGCATCTCTGATTGCCACCCCCCTGACCCAGAAATGGATTAAAGGGTAGAAAATGGATGGATGGATGGATGGGTGTTTAACAGGTTAATTGTTAGCTTCCATGCCGGTACTCATAAGTCAAAATAATAAGTCCATAAACTCTGCTCTGACAACTCTACCACAATCAGAATACACATAATTGCTGCATCGCCATAAAAGCCTCTTGGGGCAAAGAAAATCAAATAGCAGCTTATAGCCTGGAAATGTCAGTAAGTAAATATAAAGTTTAGCACAACTGCCTTTACCAAATTGAGCAGGAGTCTGTGAATTACAATATTCACTACTTCTGACATCCTTTCACGTCTGCTCTGTAATTCTTCTCCAGATTGTCCATTTTAATCTTTCTTTTTGTCTCCTTGGTGTAGGTGTGTGTGATGGCCTACGTGAAGCTGCACAGCCTGCTTCAAACCGTCATGTGCCTGAGCTGGGAGGAGGTCTGCTTCCTCCTGGGGCAGCTGGGCACCCCCCTGTGGCCTGGAGGACTGAAGGACGGGGAGAACGGAGGCTGTGGTGACATCTTCTCTCAGCTGGTGCCCATCGTGCGCACACTGCTGGACCAACACGCTGACCCGGTCACCATACAGAGGCTGCTGCCAAACCTCCCAGTCACCAACGGAAGCACCACGTTTGCCCAGGACCTGAAGGCCTACTGCCACACGGTGGAGTGGCAGGGCTTTTATCAGCAACAGGTTTGTGAAGGAATTATTTACTATGATCACTTTTTATTAAATTTTGGTTTCTGTATCAAACTGTTGTGTTGAAGAAGGAGCTGAGTTCAAAGCCAAAACCCTTGAAGAAGATGACAAAGTCTGGGATCGTGTCATAAATTCCGACAGAAGACATGTTTTATTGTCGATGGTAGAGACAGCACGAACAAAGCAAACAACAGAATGCAAGTGTATTATACAGAGCGGAGGCATGGAGACGTCCAATCAGCAGCTTCCACGGTGCCATGTAGCTTGGCCTTCAGATAGACAAAACAAGGGAAAAGTACTGGCTTCTGCACATTGATAGAATGATTTGTTTAACTTTAACAAAAGTTGCTTCAAAGTGTTATGAAATCTCACACCCTTACAGATGATCATGAGATTTGGGTTATGACCAAAAGGACAAGATTGCAGATGAAAGCGGTCAAAATGAGTGTCCTCCAAGTGGCTGTGTGCTCCCTTAGAGATAGGGGGATCAGTCACACGGGAGGAGCTCGGAGTAGAGTTGCTGCTGAGGTGGCTTGGGCTCCATGGGGAGATGTTCCGGGCATGTTTCACTGGAGCAGGACCAAAATGCTGGATGCATGGATGGATGGATGTATTTTGTATTTATCAGCCATGAACTATATACTAACTTTTTGTATTCATCTTCCTGGTATATTTGAGTTTTTTTTACTGATTTCTGTCAGACCTACTCATAAATGGTATCAATCTCTGCATAGAGGGATATTAAATTTCAAATACTGCCCTGACTTTGTAGGTAAATATAAAGATGGGCAGATGTGGAGGATTGTGTGATAGTGGAATCACCAAATGTCAGGTTTGGCCAATTCCCATCCCAACGGAGATAAAGAGATCCTTTATTCTTCCTACAGTGGACGAAATGTCAGTGTTGCATAACCAGTTACAGACCAGTAGGAATTTGGAGCACACAGCACAAAATAAGTGAACAAGTCGTAATGCAAGAAGTTAATATTAAAGCTGCACTAACTGACTTTGGGATTTTGAAGCCGCGGACTCGCTGGCCTCGCTCTTTCTGCTCCCCTCCCCGCACCCACGAAGCTATCGCCCCCCACACACACCCACTGTTGGGACGGAGTTAGCGTCTCCCAATATGGATAATACATGGACATGGATTTGCACGTGGATGGCGTGACCATAAAACGATAGAACCGGGAAGCGCGGAGGAACGGGGCTTTCTTTTGGATGGCTGTTTCGCTGTGTAAGCAGTAACCGTGACGAAGACGAGGAAGCTTCAGGTTAGCTCCTCGGCTTGTTGTGCTAACTCAGCCGTCTATGCTAACAGACCTGTAGATTTCTCACGAAAGTGGGGGCTAGTGGTGCGCTGTGATTGGTCACAATCCGCGACCCGAAACACATTCTCTTCCTTGTTTCATCAAAACTCGATCTAAAATATAATGTCACGCCAGCACAAATCTGCGCTACTTTTTCTTCAAAATGATGTATATCCCAATGCACTACATGGACATGGATAGCATTTTCGTAATGAATACAAAAATAAAGTCAGTTAGTGCAGCTTTAAATAGACATGATATAAATTGCACAAGTTGACTGAAACATTGGAATCTCAAGCGTTATAGTTAACATTATGGGATGCTAAACTGTTGAATTACTGTCCTGTTCTGTCATCTTGATTTAAATAATGATGATAAGATGAGCCAAGCCCCCGGGCAAAAGAGACCCAAAAAATATACCACAGAAAACTGCATCATAATAATAATAATAATAATAGATTTTATTTATAATGCACTTTACATTTCAGGGAAACCTCAGAGTGCTACAAAAACAGGGAACATCCCCAAGATACACAACATAAAAACAATACATCAAATATAACATCAGGAAAAAATAAAATAAAATAAAACATAATTACTGTACATATCTAGAAGGCCTGTTTGAATAGGAATGTCTTTAGGCCTTTCTTAAAAGCCTCCGCACTTTGTGGGGCCCTGAGGGTTTCTGGGAGGGCATTCCAGAGCCGGGGGGCTACTGCCTGAAAGGCCCTATCTCCCATGGTGGAGAGTTTGGTCCTGGGTTGGTGCAGGCAGTGGGAGGAGGTGGTTGAACGGAGACTTCGAGAGGCGGTGTGTGGTGTTAGGAGTTCACTGAGGTAGGCAGGGGCAGTTCCGTGTGTGCATTGATATGTGAGGAGGCAGAGTTTGTACTGTATTCTGTGTTTGATGGGCAGCCAGTGGAGTGATTTGAGGACGGGTGAGATGTGGTCATATTTGCGCCTCCTCGTCAGGACCCGGGCAGCACAGTTCTGGATGTACTGGAGTTTTTGCAGACCCTTTGCAGAGGTCCCGACGAGGAGGGCATTGCAGTAATCCAACCTGGAGGAGACAAAGGCATGGATCAGCTTCTCAGCGTCCGGTTGTGAGAGGGAGGAGCGGAGTCTGGCAATCATAAAACATGATTCTTTTAAAACATGTCCAAAGATTTATAGTATTATAAAGTACAATGGTACTATGAATACCTTAATGGCACGACATGTTTAAGAGCCTATAATAAACAGACTCCTTCCCTTCGTGCCTGAGAAGGTTTTAATCACCGCTCCGTGTGACAGTTCAGGTCAATCAATCAGATTTGTTTTGGCTGATTTCATAAACGCATAATAACATAAGAGCATAGCTTTGGCATCCACTGCAATTTCAATACCACATGGCAGATCAAGGTGACACTGGAAGCATGCATAGTGTATATACTTGTATTTCAGTGTTGTGGACTGCGTTTAAAGAGGTCTAATCTTGTTCCAGGTGCAGCCGACCAAAGAGCAGTACGAGCTGGACACTTTTGGCCGGTGCCACGACATCATGTCCAACTTTTGGAACTCGTGTTTCGACGACCTCATGAGCACAGCCTTCAGACGAGACAAGGACCGGTCCGACAGCAAGGCCAAGTTTCAAGTAATGCGAAATTTCATACCACAATAGGCCTTTATATTTACTATAGAGATTTACTATTCAATGATTGATGGCTGGGACAATATATTTTGGAGAGGGACAGTTTCTGTCGAATAGTTGTTAGTCTTTTCAAACAACAATCAAACAACTTTTAATTATATAGCACAGATCATACAGAATGGAACCCAAAAAAAAAATATTCACATTTATTGCAACATTCCTATTTTAAAGTACCACCAGGACTGTATTTTAAAACACTTGGAGAATAAAAAATTGTAAAGTACATTTTTAGATTTAGTTCATGTTTTAACTTTTTTTTCACCATCCATGTGTATTCCTTGCTTTATTGCCTCAATTATACAATGAGTTGTGCAAATATTTAATAGCATATATCTTTACAGTGAAGTTGCATGGCGCCGTAAAGATGGCGCCGTGGCAAGAGCTCTGGTGTGTGTCGTCTGGTGCACACTGGGGTAGTCTTGCACAGTTTTTCCTATGTGGTTTTACTGCAAATGGCAAATAAATGAATCTGAATCTGAATCTGAATCTGATTGAACAAGAAGAAGAACATTCTAACATTAACAGACATTATTGTATTTAAACTACTCCTGTTGAACTCCTGTTGTATACTATTGTCCCTCTTTCTTTCTAATACGTCTTGTATATCTTTTGACACCAGGAAGCCATCATAGATCCTTTTGTGAGGAAAGTGAAGAGTGAAAACGTTCGGTACCACAGCATCCAAAAGCAGCACTCCAGCCAGCAGGGGGTGGTGTGGCAGCACTGGAAATCCCTGCGCAGACTCTTCTCCAGTGAGAGAGGAGCCTGGGCCCACAAGTACATATTTATTTATTCATTTATTCATCTTTAACAATATGAACAGTATCTCACGGTTTATACTTAAAGGCCCCATACTGTTCTCTGCTTTAAACATTACTACAGTGCTATTTGGCCTTCATACACATGCCCAAAGTAGTTAATTGATTCCCTCAACCTTTAGTTAGAGAACAATCTTTCTCTTTCATTCTCGAGAGGAGGTGCTCAGCAGTGATTGATGGGGGAGAAATAAAAAAAGACACACCCACATACGTGCCTGAATCAGGGTCGAGTCCCAAGTCACTTTAACAAGGACTGTTCCAGAACTACAGTTACCTTGAAAATGGACTTACTCAAAAGCTGATCTTGTAACCTGGTGTTATTCTCACAATAAAAGATGCTAACGAGGAGCATAGATCTGTCAGTACAATGCAACTAACTTGCTGTGTATTACTGTTAACTAAATAATTAGGGTCCGAATCTGGATCGAGGACATAGGGCTGTAGAGCAGAGATCCACTCGTTTAATTGAGATGACGTCGCCTCTATGCAAGAAATGGCTAGAATTTAAAGTTTTGACTGTTGTAAGAGCATAATATGTGACCTTTGATGAGTATTTTCTTTTCCTTAATTTCCCCTAGTGAATCTAAATTATTCTAGTAATCATCTACTGTATAAAACTATGCATACCATATTTAATGCTTAATGTCGATGAAAAACCATAAATTTTCTTGTATCTACAGAGTCCAACCAGCGGTGAAATGGAAGTTGTCCAATGCAGAGACCTACTCAAAGATGCGGCTTAAACTGGTGCCCAATTACAACGCTGACGATCACAGTGAAGCCAGTGCGCTCAGGGACAATATGGGTCAGTACTTTAGACTTTTATAGAAATGTTGAACAGTATACAGTATATACAAAGATATGTTGGTTTTGATGAATTTTAGGAGCTGAAAGCCCTCGTAGTACTGACCCTCTCCCGTTGGCGGTGGCAAAAGAAGCAAAAGTGAGCGACATGGAGGATGACCAGCTTGGAGAAGATGACCTTATAATTTCAGATAAGAAGTTAGTACTGATGGTTAAATTTTTACACACGTCATGACTTTATTTTTATGTACATGAAGTTTTAAAGGTAATCCAAGCGATCACATTTACGTGCAAGGAAAAAATATCTGGTTTTGCATTCATTCAATGTGATAAAGGCACTTCTACTTATTATTCCATAACTAAGCTTTGGTCCTTGTTTACTTTGTGGTTCTTGCGCTAACTACCTCTGTTAGCGCAAGAATCTCTATGTCATATCTGCTCCTTGTGCCAACCTAAAGATCACATTAAATTGTATCAAATTTCCAAACAACATAGAATAGAATCAAATACCTGAACTAAATGCAAATGAGAATCTGGCAATATCCATAGCCTCTGTTGACTACGCTCTCTACCAAAGTTGACAGAGCTTGAGGTGTTTTACATTGGGCCCATATTTAGACAATTTAGTTTATCACATCGTTCCTGTAGATAGTTGATACTAGCAAACATATATCAAACAATTTTTCTCATTCCAACATTGCATACATAATTAAACTGTAAAATGTGCTTACCAGTCTAGTTTCATGTTTGATTGAGTGTATGTTTATGTGTCTGCAGAGGGGAAGGAGAGGACGAGAGCCAGAAGGAAAAGCTGGTTTTATCAGAGGACTGTGAACTCATCACCATTGTAGCGGTGGTCCCAGGTCGATTGGTGGTCACAACGCACCACATTTATTTTTATGACGGAAGTGGCGACAAAGAGGAGACAGAGGAGGGTGAGAATGCATCAAAAACATTACTCATGTTTAGAAGTTGTATTATTTGTTTATTGGAAATGAGATTAAACCACTTTTAAACTAAATATTTTCCATATCTCCCACCTATAAACATGCCATGTAGAGCTTTTTTACTCAAACAGCAATTATAAATGCAAAATATAGAATATATAGAAGCAGCAAATGCGAGAAACATCTCTGGAGGTAGCAGCGAAGATGTGAAAGACAGGAGAGTGGCCTTGTGGAAAACACATTTTTACTGGACTTTGCAGTAAAAAATGCCTTTGGAAAAGCTTAGTAAAATCAAATAAATGGTCAAAACTTGCCAATATCATCTTTCAAAAACTTACATTAAAGTCATACGTCTGCACCCACTGTATGTGGCTAGTTTTAAGTCTTGTGTTTTGTTCAAAATACATGCATGCATTTTTAGCACAAATTCAATCCCTCCACAAAAACAACTCAACAATAATAAAATTGCGGAATATTTTTAGATTAAGATTAAGATTGTTAGATTAAGAAATCCTTTATTTAAGGTCCTGGGTTCGAATCTTGGAGTGGAGTTTGCATGTTCTCCCCTGCGTAGGTTTCCTCCGGGTACTCCGGTTTCCTCCGGGTACTCCGGTTTCCTCTGGGTACTCGGGTTTCCTCCGGGTACTCCTGTTCCCCCTACCACTAAAAATATGTACAATAGGTCTGGCATGCGCCTCCTGTTCGGCGACCCTGCTCCCATCTCTGTGTGGAGTGAGAGGACAAATGCCCAAAAAAATAACCATTGTAAACCGCTTTGTGACTCTGGTCTGTGAAAGGCGGTATATAAATAAAGATTACTTACTTACTTACTTATTTGTCAAAGCAAGTAGCAAATCTATCATCTCCAACTTTAACATATCAAGCTATAAAGTTATAGAGATCATACATTCATGTTCCTTACTAAAGACTCTTTTTGAACAGGAATTGGCTTTGACTTCAAGAGGTCTCTGACGCATCTGCGAGAAGTGCATCTGCGGCGATACAACCTGAGACGGTCTGCGCTGGAGCTGTTTTTCATTGACCAGTCGCATTATTTCATCAATTTCAGAAAAAAAGTAAAGCCATTAAACGTGCCTTTGTTGTTGCACTATTCAAAATGTGTAAAAACACTTTTCCGACAGTTGATTTGCATCCTCTCTTTAGGTGAGGAACAAAGTCTACTCCAGGATCTTGGGTTTGAGGCCACAGAACCTCTTCTACTTTGGTTCCCGTTCACCGCAGGAGCTGCTGAAGGCGTCTGGTCTCACACAGGTGCTTGTTCATCTATTTTTAATATTTGCATTACTTTCATAGTGTTTACTTTTTTCACTGAATGTGTGTGTCTACAGAAATGGGTGTGCAGAGAAATCTCCAATTTTGAATATCTGATGCAGCTGAACACCATCGCAGGAAGGACGTACAATGACCTGTCCCAGTATCCTGTTGTATGTATTGTTTTGTCTAAATTATTAGGTTATTTGTGATTATTTAAGACATATAATTGTTATAAGAGCATAAAATAATAATAGGGGAACATTTTGGATGCGAAATCCAGTTATTTCCATTGGATCTCAAAGAGGTCTGTTTTATGTATGTTTATATTGCGTTAATTTGATACATAATTAATTCATAATTTCATAACTTTGTTAAAAATGACAAAGAATTATGTTAGCGCTTTAATTTATTGCCTATTTGAGTGTATTTTCTTATCTAAATCTCTTATCTTTAATAACACTAACCCTTTATATTTCTTCATTCATTTGTTTTATGTACTTCACAAAATTAGATTTGAAAGAAAAAACTAAAAATATTCAAATATTTAAACTTTTTCTGATGGAAAATATTATTTCAAGACAGTCAAGTTGAATACTGCCTGTGTGATGAATTGTTCAATTATGTGAAAGTAGTTTTTCTCATTATACTAGTAACAGTTAAACTTGTTGCGTCCTTAATAAGCGCCCTGTTGAAACCTCTTCTTTCTGTTGTGTGTGTTTGTAGTTCCCCTGGATCTTGTGCGACTACACGTCTCCAATACTAGACCTGGACGACCCGGCTGTCTTCAGAGACCTGTCTAAACCCATCGGTGTAGTGAACCCACGTCACGCACAAGATGTCAGGGAAAAGTAAGTTATACCTCACTCTCATTATCCTTTTCAAACACAGCTTGTGTGTTCTAACAGATAACACATTATCCCACATCTTAACTTTATGTAGGTCCATGAACTTTTAAAGCTGGGGCCCCTCACTTTTTTGTTTCACATAAAATACTTTTGTTTGTCCCAACAGAAAGAATCACAAAAATCTGACCACCACATCGTTGTATGGTCTCTTTAGCATACTTGTAAGAAAGAGCCCTGTGAGTCACTATTTGGCGCTGATTGGCTGAGTCAGGGTGGTTCTCTCTTTAGTTACCTTCTCTCTCTCAAAGATCAGCGAACAACGGATTTAAATTGCTCTTATTCAGCTGAGATTTCAATAGTTTGAATCGTTGGAAGTCACAGCCTCAATTAAGCCAGAAAATCATTTTGTCAACATCACTTCCACCAATATAAACATGTTAGCAGAACAGAGAGCATTAGGAATCTGAGGGAAAACTCTGCGTTAGACTAATCATTGGCAAAATAAGTGAATAGACCGATATAAAAGCATAGTCATGGGTGAATTGAAAGAACTTACAACTAGGTATCCTGGTCTTTTGCATCAGTTGTGGCACCAGCACAATAGACACACTTTATGAACACAAATAGTTTAACTAAGGGATGATTTTTGTATCTTTACACTTATACCTTTCAATGTATTGTGTATTGTGCAGGTATGAGAGTTTTGAAGACACCACTGGGACTGTGGACAAGTTCCACTACGGCACACATTATTCAAACGCTGCTGGAGTCATGCACTACATGATCAGGACGGAGCCCTTCACCACGCTGCACATCCAGCTGCAGAGCGGAAAGTAAGGCCAGCTTCATCGCTCATCTTTAACTTCTGCTTTTGGCAGGTTACGCTATATTTCTCTCAAATTTCAGAGATCATGAGGCACTGAGCCTCATGATCTCTGCGGTGACTTTGCTTCTCACTCGGCTGTACCACACTCACAAACACAATGCACTCGTCCATGTGCGACGGAATATTATGTGAGTCTTTGTGACATCAACTGCAGTGAACACACGTCTGTGCTGCTCAGGAAAGCCTCTATACTGTGATTAACTAATAAGTAAACTGGGACGCTTGTCTGTTTTACCAATGCAAAGTAATTAAATCATTATTTTCATGACACATTAAATTGAATTATTAGGAATTTACACATTCTAAGAAGACAACACCTTTATTTGTTCACATTTTCTGTCAAAAATATGTGTTTCTTACATTGCACATTGTGAATGGAATGTGATTAGGAGTAGAATATTTTTTATAAATTATTCTGAATTTTTATATTTCTAAAAAAAGCCGGAGTAAAACATTTAAAGAAGAAACAAAGTTTTGTGTATTGATGTATGAGGTCAGGACAAAGTCATGAGTTGTAGAAATGTCCTCTCAGGTCAAACACACGTGTCTGTGCTGCAGGTTCGACTGTGCTGACCGACAGTTCCACTCGGTGGCAGCAGCGTGGCAAACCCGCATGGAGAGTCCAGTGGACGTCAAAGAGCTCATCCCAGAGTTCTTCTACTTCCCAGAGTTTCTGCAAAATATGAACGGTAAAAAGAAGACTTATTATAGTAACTTACTTGTTCAATTAATTAATCATGATGCCAACTATGGATTATTTTTCTTAACTTCAGAAGAAACTTGATAGTCATTTAAGACAATACATCTGTCATTGAGTCAAGTCAACTTTCTTACCACAACTAATTACTAAACAATTATTCAAGCTAACGAGTCAAAACCATGGAAATTGAGGACTCCTGACTTAAGGTGATTTTAGATCATCCATAAGTAATGCATGTGTGGTGTGAGCATAGACTCAACAGACAAACATATGATCACAATCCCAAAGTGCATGTAAAAAGAAGTGTCTGAATGTGTTGTAGTTTTTGACTTGGGGAAGTTACAAATGTCCCAAGAGCCTGTGAACGACGTGTTGCTGCCGCGCTGGGCCTCGTCCAGAGAGGACTTCATCGCCAAACACCGGAAAGCTCTGGTTAGCGACATAAGAATGCACTGTTCATGTAGTAGTTGTATTGTTGCATTTAACAATGCAATACATTCTTTCTCCACCAGGAGTCTGAATATGTGTCCAGTCACCTGCACAAGTGGATTGACCTGATCTTTGGGTACAAGCAGAGAGGAGAGGAGGCAGTGGAAGCTCTCAATGTCTTCTATTACTGCACATATGAGGGTAAGAACTGTGCCAAATCATTCCAGAGGAACTAACTGCCACGTGGTGAAAACAAAAGAGGACTCGGTATGCAGGAATGTCAAATAATAAAATTATTTAATTCAAAAACAAGGTGAAAAACTCACTCAAAAAACTCAAAACGGAAATGGAGGATTTTGAGCAAAAACACAGAGACGAAGACATTGACAATGGACCAGCAACAAATGGGGAAGAGCACAGGTACATGTAGACACAAAGAGACACAGGTACTTGTAGACACAGAGAGACACAGGTACATGTAGACACAGAGAGACACAGGTACATGTAGACACAGAGAGACACAGGTACATGTAGACACAGAGAGACACAGGTACATGTAGACACAGAGAGACACAGGTACATGTAGACACAAAGAGACACAGGTACATGTAGACACAGAGAGACACAGGTACATGTAGACACAAAGAGACACAGGTACATGTAGACACAGAGAGACACAGGTACATGTAGACACAGAGAGACACAGGTACATGTAGACACAGAGAGACACAGGTACATGTAGAGGACACAGGTACATGTAGACACAGAGGGACACAGGTACATGTAGACACAGAGGGACACAGGTACATGTAGACACAGAGAGACACAGGTACATGTAGACACAGAGAGACACAGGTACATGTAGACACAGAGAGACACAGGTACATGTAGACACAAAGAGACACAGGTACATGTAGACACAGAGAGACACAGGTACATGTAGACACAGAGAGACACAGGTACATGTAGACACAAAGAGACACAGGTACATGTAGACACAAAGAGACACAGGTACATGTAGACACAAAGAGACACAGGTACATGTAGACACAGAGAGACACAGGTACATGTAGACACAAAGAGACACAGGTACATGTAGACACAAAGAGACACAGGTACATGTAGACACAAAGAGACACAGGTACATGTAGACACAGAACTAAGTATGTTAAAATTTCACATTTTAAATTGCAATTATTGTGAGCAAAAATACTAGGATTTAACAAATATTCAAAATTGTTCAGAATCTTTAGAGCAGCAAAAATTTCCTTTGTCTTACATGTGAAAATTCCTCTACCAAGTTCATCATACATGCTTGAAGATGGTATAATGCTGTCTGGACCATAATAATCCAAAATAACATTTGCCTATGGGGCAAGTAAATAAGAAACCTATTGTTAACTTTTGCAAACTACTGTGAGTCACTACTTGATGCTTTGGGCTGAGAGCTGATTGGCTGAGTGAGGGTGGTCCCATCTTTTTCACTTTTCTGTTTGATGAATCTGATATAAAGTGTGATAATGTGACTGACGCCAAAATATTTAAAATTTATTTAAAAAACGGTTTGAAAGTGTGATACCCCAGCTTTAAAATATGTTAAAGGAAACCAGTCCGGAAAACGTGGTCACATCAGAGACCTGCTCAGACCTGTGATCAAGTTGGTATTTAGAGGAGATGGACAAAAGCTGTGAAAGTTCATTGTGCATTTCAAAAAAATCTTGTCATTTACACAGATCACTCTTTCATTTCCAGGGGCAGTTGATTTGGATGCTATCGCCAATGAAACTGAGCGTAAGGCTTTGGAAGGAATAATCAGCAACTTTGGACAAACTCCTTGTCAGCTTCTCAAAGTAAAGTGTTCCCAAATGTACCATTGAACTTGACGTCACGTATTTGAGATTTCAGAGCTAATGTGGTTGTGTTCGCAGGAGCCACATCCTCCCAGGATCTCTGCAGAGAACGCAGCCCGGCGGCAGGCCCGTCTGGAAACTCTGCCTCTGAACATCTTTGACCACCTGGATAAACTCAGGCCCTTTAAGGAGGTGACATCATATATTTTGAGGAGATATGAAGTTCATGCATATTATGTTAATTATCTGAATTTCATTGAATTCATTATTTTATTTAAAATCACCACAAAGGATATTCATAGAAACAAAAAAACAGGGATCTGTTTGAGAACCCTTTGGAGCACAAACAAATGGCTGGACTTTTGTGAAGTTGGAGCTCTGTAGTTTTGGCCTCTGATGAGAATCTCTCATTTCTGTGCACAATTGTATGTTTTGTTTGTGAGTTTGGAGTTCCAACTGGTCCTGATTCATCCCACAATGTTTTGACTTGAAATAAGGGACTTACATATTTATTTTTGCTTGTCATATTTATCAATCGGTTGGCACAAAAATATAAAGTGTAATGATAATAATGATAATTAAAATCCAGACATTGTTTAAGATGTTAAACAATTGAAGTATCATATATAACATATGCCCCAAGAGAAAGAGTAACAAATCAGACCACAAAATGCTGTCTTATTGCCAGGTAATCAATCCAAAAAACAATCAATCTTTATTTTTACAGTGCTTCTCCTACACAAGTGATTCACAGCACATCACATGGGGCTTATTAGATATGGTGTCTTTTGATCACATGTAAGAAAAAGACCTCTGAATCTTAGGTTGAGAACTTTTATGACAAAAATCATGTGAAAACTAGTGATATAACCGATGGGGTTTGAGAGCGGTTTTATTACATACTTTCATGTTTCCGGTTTGAAAGCCTAGCAAATCAAAGAGAGTGTAGCTATAGAATACAAAGAAAATGGCAATGAACTTAAAATCAATAGAAATTGCAATACCTAAATTAAAATAAGGACCACACAACTCACACAGTGTACAAAGCCAGAGCATCAAAGTTGGTCTTAAGATGCAAAAGCAATTATTCTATTGCTGAAAACTATCATTTATCAAGAAATCACTCCTATAACTTCAATCGAGCTGCAAACCATGATACAATTAATTTTTCTGTCCAAATACCTTATTATCTTTGATTTGCATGTTTCAGGTGGTGAGCGATGGCCACGCCTTGGTCCATGCAGTCGTACCAAAGAATCAAAACCACTCATCCCTCATCCACGGTCCAGACACACTGGTGAGGCCACGCACAAGAACGAACAAATCATAAAGCACTTACTTATTGTAACATATCTGGATGATTCTAAGTGACGACTGTGATGTGATTTTTCCAGGTGACCGTGAGCTCCAATGGTTTGATCGGGACTCATAACTGGCTTCCATTTGACAAAAACATCGTCAATTATTTTACATTCACTACGGACCCCACCTTCAATAATCCCAAGTGAGTGAAAATTTTGTATGTGGTGAATTCTGTGTTTTGGCTTCTCAATGATGAAAAAATGCCACGAATATTTCAGTTTTCATCTCACGAACACAAAAGCGTGTACAAGAGGGCTTAAAAACTGCAGCCATTCTAGCATATGACAATTTAAAGGCCTACATTTTATTTCTGCGTTTGCATTTTTAATTTTTAGTTTTTCTCAATCAGACTAAATCAACATTCGTTCAGTCCACATCTCTTTTCGAAATGTTTTGACTTTAAAAAGTCAATAATGAATATTGGCTCACCTACAACTATATCTCAAACTTGTACTGATACACGTACACGTACTTGTAATAAAATGTTCAAATAAACTGGTTAAATTAAAGACAGGAGACTTACTGTATTTGAAAAATTGAGCTCTTAATCATGGAGTTGTTTTTAGATCCATCCACACTAATATCAGGAACTTCTAGCACAAACATGTTACTCTGCCTCTTCTGTCTAAAATCTCCTCAATAGTATGACTCTTTACAAAATAAAAGTTTTGCCTCTAACTCAGTTTTGTCCATTTCTGGTCAAGTAGGAAACACCCCCATCTAGTGTCCATGTATTCCTACATTTGTATGCATACCCATAGCCACTAGATGGGGATGCTATGTTTTTTCTTGCACAGAACTTATTTGAAGACAGTTAATGTGTTTAAACAGACAGAAAACATGAAAAAAACCTTTGTTTTTTTAATCTATTGAGTAAATTGACAATGGCATTGTGTCACAGCAGAAGACATGTTATTGTTTGTAAAGAAGACAGGACCAGCGTGCTTGACAGTCAGCACATTCTGTCTATAACAAGATTTACCAGTGAGACAATGCCATTTAGTCTAAATTCAAGAACTGTTGCTGTATTGTCTTATTCTGAGGGAAACATTTCTTGTATTTTGTTAAAACAGGATAATTTAGCTTTTCCCATTGCCAAATTATGTTGCAGTCAAAATGGGCTCAAATTATGACATAACAGATCAGAGACTAAGACATGATCCGTTCACTTTAAGAAATGTTTGACCTCAAACAATAAACTACTTTGCACTAATAACCAGAACCCCGTGTGTGGTGTGTTACCCAGGATGCAGCGGTTCCTGTCGGGGCCCTTTGCTCCTGGTGTGGACATAACCAGACAGGTGCTGGTGGTGTCCAACGACGGCCGTCTGCTGATTAGCGGGGGACACTGGGACTGCAGCCTCCGCGTCACTCTGCTGGGGAAGGGCAAGCTGGTGGGACGCATCTGTCGCCACATCGGTGAGATCACATTACAGCCTGTGTTTACTTGTCAGCGTTCTTTTTATTTTCTATTTTTTTACATAAGAAATAAACTAGGAGAGTAAAACTGAAGTTAAGTAAAAGGGCCCTTGTTCAGAGGTTTTCTCCTGCCTGCCAATAATTGAAACAAAATCTCCCGGCCGCTTTTTCCCCACTGTCATGAGAACCAACCTTCTACACTCACCACATTTTCTGGGAGAAGGTCTTCCCTCTGCTCTGCTGGGAACACAGCAACACAGAGGTTAGAGCTGTTGCCTCACTGAAGGTTCTGGGTTCAGCTCTCAAACGGCATGGATCATGTCTGAGTGGAGTTTGCTTTTTTAGTTACAGTACAACAGTCTAATTTTTGTCTCAAATATCTATTGTATCAAGTTAATTGTAAACAGTAATAAAACTAAGCACAGTTATTGTAATTAGTAATATATTAAGTAATTTTTATGTTATTTTTATGTCAAACTCATTTTTGGCAGGGGCCAAATTTAAAAACACAGGATCTGGTTGGGGCCAGAAGTATAACATTGGTTTTCCATTAGTTTATCATTATTTTTTATGGACAAATTAACTCTAATTTACATGAGTTTGGATATTATTTTCTAATATGTTTGGATTCAATCACAACTGGGCCAAATATCAAGAATGAGATGTTTTGGAAGACTGATAGTTAGGTATAAAAATAATTAGATAATTGGCCTACATTAGCTTCTAATGGAGTATAATAATGGAGTATGCCATAGTAGCCTGTGTCTATCAACGCTTACTGTAATAATAATAATAAATCATTTTCAGGGGCCACTAAAAATAGTCTTGTGGGCCGGTTTTGGCCCATGGGCCTGGGTTTGACACGCCTGATCTAGACTTTGTAAATATGCTATACTGAGCAATACCAATATATTAGTATTTATTGTATACATATGTTCCTCCCGCAGATGTAGTCACCTGCCTGGCTCTGGACCTCTGTGGAATCTACCTCATCTCTGGCTCCAGGGACACGTCCTGCATCGTGTGGCAGGTGCAGCAGCAGGTGTGTTTGGACACTGGGGTTTAAGGACTTCAAAACCACAGCTGTTGTTCTGGTCTGGAGTCCCCTGAGCTCTGTCTGACACTCATGTGCCCCCAATACATTACTCTGGTTTGTCCCACAGGGGGGCTTCTCCGCGGGCCTCTCCCCTCAGCCGGTGCAGGTTCTCTGTGGACATGACCAAGAGGTGACCTGCGTCGCCATCAGCACTGAACTCGACATGGCAGTTTCTGGCTCAAAGGTCCGACACTACACCAGTACTAACTCTTACAGAAGCAAAAGTCACTAGTTAGGAATAGGTCTGGGAGGATAACCGGCCAATTATGTAGCTAACATATTAAAGTTCTACATTATCAACACTGGGAATATGGGATTTGACTGACTGCAGCTCTTTTATTTCACTGAGTTGGTGGAAAAAAACAGCTCTCCTAGCTGGCTCATATTGGTCCAATAATAAATAATCTCAATGCATTCATGCAAATCCTCTTCTCACTTTTACTGCCCTCAAGTCTCTGTACAGTGAAGGAGGGCAGAACTTAAAAAGAAACTAGCACATTCAATCCTTAGTTGTTTTTAGTCAACTCCACAAATCTGTTTTACTGTGGTAGTTTTGATTAAGATTTTCAGAGTAAGAAATCATCCCATTCGTCATTAAAACAAGTGAGTGCGTTTACGAAGCATTAGAACATGGAAAACTGCAATCTTTTTCAATGGGTTTATCAAATTAAAAAACAATTGTAAAAACATTACTTCCAAAGCATTACTTTTTACTGCATATTTTGACAGTATAATCCAGATTCTATCGTGATTTCAGTTCCCTAAAGTAGTTTGTTAGTTGTTCCATGCTCAAAAACCCCCATTCTCACCACACATTGTCCTCTGAAGGCCGACACAAAACTTGGCCTTGATCTAATAAACTTGACTGTTTAATATGGAGCAGCAATAGGAAACCTAATGGAACAGATGTTGTCCGAGCAAAAAGCAGAAAAATGTCCAACACAAGTTTCCAATAAAACAAAGAATTCTTGAGGTCAAGAACAATGGCATTTATTTCTTCCATACTTCTATTATATGAACACATTTTACAACGCTCTCGACAAAGGCATTTCAGACCCTGTCCTTAGTGAATAAGGAAATGAGCTGTTACTTCTATTATTACAAGATGTTTACTGGTTTATTGTTAACAATCGCTTCGCCAAAAAAGAATCAACAAATAATAACAATCGGTTAAACAGCACTCATCAAGTTTATACCAATGATTTAATTTGCCAGTTTTTTTGTGAGGGAATAAAATAATGGGAAAATTGTTTTGTATTCCATGTTGGCCTGTAAAACAACCAGAGGGCGTTGGGCCTGATCTGTGGGAAAATTGATTCATAAAACGTGGAGTTGGAGCCCTGAGACCGTAGAAGGGCTTGAGGACTGCTAACATTTATAACAGAAATAAATAAAATAATAACAGAATAATATTAAGGCACATTTTGTTGGATGCCAGGTTGTTGTATAAAAAAGTGAGGTCATATTAATCCTGCTGCTTTGGCGCCTAAAGGTTTAGATTCCAGGCCCAGAAGTCCTTGGCCACAATCCATTCTTACTATCATAAATATGTATTCGTTATGAATAGATTTGGATCTTACACTTTAATATCTTTTAAATGTTATTGTTGATTGTCTGACAGCAGCTTGCACACTTAGACGCTCAAACTGTCTCTCTCTGCTTCAGGACGGGACCGTGATCGTGCACAGCATCCGCAGGGGTCAGTTCCTCCGGAGCCTGCGTCCCCCCGGTGACAGCCACAGTCCAGCCCACATCGCTGAGCTGCAGGTCGGGATGGAGGGCCACATCGTGGTGCAGACGGCAGTGGAGGAGTGCTCCTACAGGAAGGTACAGCGGCTCAACATCATCTGCATAGAATGAAGATCCAGTCATGTACAAACTGCAGTGATGAGCTTTGTCCTCAGCAACAGCATGTGGTTTGGGGTTCAGGCTTTAAAGGGAAACCTTCACATGGTTTAGTGTAAAATGGTTTCACCTCCATGTAAATAGAAACCGTTGTTTTTGACACATCCCAGTGCACCCAGGACCACAGGGAATCACATTATAGTGAACTATGGCAAGCTTACCATCCACATGGAGCAGTCTAAACTTATTGAAACATCATTTTTACAAAGACATCTTTGTTCTTTCCTTCTTCTTTTTTTTACTAAAGGAAACATTGATGATAAGCGCTTCTTACATACACAGCTCATTACTGGTGTCCCTCGTGTGACTTGTGTGTAGTTTTATAACCTTCTTCACCTGAAAACCGAAAATTGAATTACCGCTATATGTGTGTTTCCACTGAACACACCTCAGCAAAAAGACTTGGTGGCAGAAACAGGTTAAATGTTGAGCCGTTTTGACACGCCAGCCCATGTTGCTCAGTGTGACGGGAGCCCTGGGGGTTTTGGTCAACATTCCTGTGACTTTGCTTTGTGTGATTGTGACTATAGTCGAGGCCATACAAGTTATATTTGTGCTTCTTAACTGATGCTGACGTTAAATAGAATGTAGAACAAAAATGATTGATAAAACACATTACACTCATTCTTCGGCAAACAGCTCCAGCTCCATCCAGCCGTCTGTTTCGTTTTAAAGTCATCTTTTCAGCCTGGGCTCTTTTAACTATAAAAGTGTGATGAATGTGTGCTTCTCTTTGTCCAGGGTAAATACTCGGTTCATGTTTACTCGGTCAATGGATGTTTGTTGGCCTCACTGCCGCTGGAGGAGCAGGTCTCAGCTCTGCACCTCATGAACGAACACGTCCTCCTGGGCACGGTCAAGGGAAGCCTCCACATCATGCATCTGCACAGGTGACTACAAATGTCTTTTACACTGACCATCTATGATACTGTGGCTCATTTTTATATGTTTAGCACAAGCTCTGAATCTATGGCATATATTGGTTTTATATTTTAAGTGGAATTACAGAAATAAATGAACTTTTCGCTCTTATGGGTCCACCCTTCTTAGTTACACATCCACACAAACCAGTTTGTCAGAGGCAAATATACCGTACAAATGAAAATTAGAACTATAAAGCTAAATCGCTACAACCCAATTGTATTGCACCTGGTGTCTCAAGATGGTATTCCATTAGAGTTTAACAATTGAATAGACAAACAAATTGTACAGACATTGTAGACAACCAGCTTTACTGTAAGTACAGATGTCAACTTTTTGTTGTGGTTGATCAAAGCCGTAAAAGTAGAGACTGATTGTGACAGTTTGGCCCCCAGGATACAACATTACAAACATTATAGTCATCACTTTCCACTTCTGTCACTGTATAATATCATACCTATTTATACATAAGATTTTATATGCATACCTTTATATGTATTTTTTAAAAACTTTTTATTATTTGTTTGCATCATATGCCAAATCAAGTTCCTAGTTTGTGTCTTCCTGTTACTTACAATGGCAATAAACACAATTATGATTCTAAAACTCAAAACACCACACACACACACACACACACACACACACACAGACTAGTCACTTATGTAGTGGAGATTTATAGCTTAATGACAACTTTTATTGGATCGCATGATTTGTAAATATATAGTTAGATACATAATATTAAATGATTGAGTTTTTAACCATCACGCCAATACCAAGAACTAGCAAAGAAGAAGAAGCAAAACATGAAATGATGTAGAAAATCCAATACTTTCCTTCTTTCATGTACAAATCTTTTTGCCAATTGTGTGAATGAGTTGCATTCTTTTATACTGATTATGTGTGTGCTGCAGTCTGGAGGCTGCGGTCGTCCCTCTGGCCCTGAAGGTCCCCGTGAGGAGTTTGTCCGTCACCAAAGAGGGCAGTCACATCCTGGTGGGACTGGAGGACGGCAAGCTGATCGTGGTGGGAGCAGGGAAACCAGAGGAGGTGCGTGTGCTTTAGGACTAGGACTGTTTTAGAAACCATGGATTTGAATGGATCGATCAAAATGGATGTTGAATACATGTTGAATGCAGAGGTGGCAAAGGTACTAATGGTAGAAAGAGAGAGAGACTAGTATTTAAATCAACTCTTTTAAAAGTAAAAGTACATCATTCATACAAGTAAATTAATAAAAGTACATTATACTTACAGTATCTTTTGTACTTGTAAGTAAAAAAGTTAATTGCACCATTGTTGAATAATTGACATTGCTAATTGTAAACATTATAACATGACCAGTGAGGATACCACTAATTAATACTGTTTAAGCGGACAATTACAGATTCCCACCATAGAAACACAGACTGAGTACAAACTGGTAACTTTGAGATCGTAGGGGATCGTAGAGGTCGCCTGTGTAGATACACCCAAATAATGTTACGCGCGCAGTCAACGCGTACGCGCTGTTAACGCCTTCTGTGTAAAGTCCCTGAAAGACAGCAGACCAAACTGGCCAGCTTTAATTAGAGGCAGAAAGCACAGGACAAAAATGTCGGCAGAAGGATGTTTGGCCACGAGACTAAACCAACTGTGTCGGTTTGAGTGGGACGCTCTGAAACATTCTATCCTCCAAAGAAATGTTATTGTTTTGACTTGGCATTTTGAGTTGGTATAACGTTTTCATCAAAACCAGAAAGTAACTTGAGCTTTTAGCAATCAATTAAAACAAAACATGAATTTAATAAATGTAAGTGAAAAATGTAAAAAAAAAATCATTAATCAAAAAGGAAATTCTACATTCAAGACACGTATGAGCTAAGGCTGTAACGATTATTTTGATTGGTTATTGATTTGTTTGCTGATTTTTCTAATTGTGATCCGAAACATCAGTAACTATTATGATACACTTTATTATATATTATACTATTATACACTTTTGACCAAAACAAAGCTCAAGTGATGCCCTTGGAGAACAATAGTTATCCACTGGAATAAATGTGCGGCAAAAAACATGAGTTGAAATTATTTAAAGGGTATTTAAACACTTACTGTATTATGAGCACAAGCGATAGCGCCAACGTTGTCAAACAGCTGAAAACGACTCCATAACTGCCACTGAAACACGAATAACTTGTTTTTTGTCTGTTTTTTTTTTTTAACCCTGCAGCGTGGATTAACAAGTGCTTTGTTCTCAGGTTCGCTCGGGACAGCTCTCACGACGCCTTTGGGGCTCATCGCGCCGCATCTCTCAAGTGTCTGCGGGTGAAACCGAATACAATCCCTCCGAAAGCAAGTGAGACCAGCGCAGAAAGGAGACAAAGGGTGTAAACGTTTTTAAAAAGTCAGGATCCCCTCTTTGGACTGTGCACAAGCCAGGGGAGCCGCTGCATACAAACACACTGAGCACTTTTATCAAGATATTTGCAATTGTTTATAACCAGCGTCATTCCAAAGAGAGACTGTTGCTATGGAGTTGCTATGGACAGGGATGGACTTCATGATTTTGGAGCTATGTATTTGCAAATTGTTGTGTTTTGGCCGTCGATGCATTAATGTAAAGAGGATCCACACGCTCCTGGGCTTTGTCTCTCCTACGGCCGATCGTCTGTAGGTGGCACCTTTTTATTCTATATATATATAAACATTACAAAAACATTATTCTCCTGGAAACTTGAAGAAAAGTGGAGTACCGTAGTGTCTGTTTTATCCAATGATGCTGTTATGTACGGAGGCCTGTCACAATAACTATTTTGGAATTAAATGTATTTCTACAAAGACAATATTGAAACTGTTACACTAAAGCAAGATTCTGGGAAAGCATTTAAATCATCTCTTGCCGTAAAAATAGGGATGGGTCGGTAGGTGGTTTTTTTAGCAATATTTGTCTAGCCAACAGAAATTGGGGAATTCTAATTATGAAATAAAATAAGAAAATATATATTCTATTTATTGACAATTATCATCTGGTGTTAAACTATAGAATTTAAATAGAGACAGTTCTTGTTAAAATTAATATCAGCAACTTCAATTTTAATTAATTTTTACCGTATTTTTATCCAAGGGACCATGTTATTATTATTTTCAACAATAATATATTTGAAACAGTTCCTCCCCTTGGCATAGCTACAACTTGTAAGATTTACTGGAGGAGAATAACCAAGCCTATGACAAGGGGCCTTAAGGATTTTGATTACTTTTTTGTCCAATCAGGAGGCTGCGAGGGTTAGTATGGGCGGGTCTAATGAGTGTTTCTTCAAAAATTTTCCCTTTCTCTTCTCAGTTGAAAAAGTAACTCATATTCACTCAAAAAGAACTGGTCAAATTTCATCTATAAGATCGGTTTGAATAACATATATCAGTACCTATAGATCGCCCATCCTGAATCAAAAGGCTTGAGTTGAAGCAAATAAACAGAATAAGAAACTAGTAACAAAAGTGATTTATTCAACCTGCTGTACCTCAAATGTTGTGCAAAGAAAATCGTCCCCAAAAACGCAAAATATGAAATCCCAATTTACATAACATTTTTTTTCAATAATATTTTTTTTTAGCTGTGGCTCATGTGCCTGCATATGTGTCCTTTAACAAAGTCTAAATTTTAATAAATACAGAAATAATAATTAGTCTATTTAGTATTTATTGTGACAGGCCTGGTGTTTAGAAATGTTGAACTGTTACAAAATATGCAGAAGTTGCTTTGAAGATGTATTTTCGATAACACACGTCTGACGGGGAAGTTTTTGCTCCTGTGCTCCAATGTTCCACTTTAGGGCAATAGATTTATCCTAATAGTGGAATCAAGGGTGACCAGGCTAAGTTACTGATCAGATCTACGGGTTTTTCAGCCACAAAAGCAGCTGTAAAAAAGTCTACAGATGAACTGAATGTTGTGGGATATAAAAACCTAATTAATGATATTTCTCCATGGAGACGGATGCAGGCGGCAAACCCTTCACCAGAAAAGTGAGTGCACCTTTAAGGCTCTGTAATGTGAATGATTGTGTTGCTATGGTAACTTCTTAATCATGATTGTGGAGATCTTCTGTTGCCTTCCAGACGCAAAAGCCCTTATGTGTAACGTTGCTTCTGTTTTACTCTTTTACAATCTTTGAATATTCGGTAAGTGCCTTTCTTCTGTCAAGTTTGAGCCATGTAAAAACACAGTCCAATAAATCACTAAGTGTCTTATTCTGTATTTGCTGATGTCGGTGCTTTGGTCGCAATTCAGGATTTGCCTTTAAAAATCTAAATTAAGTTGAAATTGCAGGGAACAGTCAGTGTGTGCTCAATGTAATAATATTCGAAAATTGAATCCCAAACAATAAACATGTCACTTTATTATCTAATGAAACTAAAATGTGGTCATAAATGTAGACCTTAAAACTGGGGTACCTAACTTTCAAATCTCAAAAAAAATAAATATTATAAAGCTTCTAACTCAATTGTCTGGTTCTATCACAAGCATTCACATTTTTGTCCTCTGTCACATTTTCAGAGAGACAAATTAAAAAGAGGGAATAACCCTTGTTCTCAACCAAAAGAGTCAACTTGTGGCTCACTGGGGCCTTTTCTAATAGGTATGAATGTAAATGAGAGAGTGAATGGATGGTGTTGATTGGGGCTGATGCGCCAGTGTGTTCGGCGTGTGTGGAATGATTGGAACAATATCGGACTCTGAACATTGTAGAGCGCTTTGGGTGACCTTGGTCTGTAAAAAAATGCGCTATATAAATAAACATTACTTACTTACTTACTTTCTCACAAGTTATCTAATTTTGAGTTTTCTTCATGTTACCTTTACACAACTCTTTCTATTTGGACAAACAATTATTTCTGAGGCAATAAAATAGGTACTCCAGTGTTAAGTTTGCCGTTTGAGCCCAACCAAAAATCCTGGTCAGTACTGATGTTACTGGGCTTCCAATCAATCTGCATATAGCGGCTTCAGCTCGAGCTGCAACCCTCCTCCTCCTGCTTCAACACTGGTCTCTATTTGAATTCCCTTCTGCTGAGGTCGACGCGCCATATCCCAACATATTCCATCCATCCATCCATTTTCTACCCTTTAATCCATTTCTGGGTCAGGGGGGTGGCAGTCAGAGATGCCACCCAAGTCTCATAGCACCAGCCCCTCACTGACCCTCTGCAGGTGGTGAGTCCACAGGAGGACGGCTGCTCTCTGAGTGTGAGCATAGCCTTGATCTTTCAGTGGGGGCTTTGGGCAAAGTGGGGTTAAGTGTCTTGCCCAAGGACACAACGACAGCAGTCATCAGCGGGAGTTGGTGGAGAAAGTGTAGAGGTGGGGATTGAACCCACTACCTTCAGGCCTGAAAGCCAATGCTCTACCAACTGAGCTACTTCATCATCAAATATAATACCTCCTCTGTCTCATTTTTTGACCCAATCAACCAATTTAGTTTATGCAACGTTACTCAATAAACATCTTTCTAATACAGTCCAGATCTGAACTGCTTGTACCATGGCAAAGCTCCAGATTCATTTAGCCAAATTCTAGTTATAAAGTTATATTGGATCATATTTGCCGCTTCATCTGAAACGTTCAAATGTAAATGATCCAATAGGCTGTAAAGTTGTGAACAGAACATTAATAGCGGCTCAGCTTTAACTCTGGGCAGTGGTGGAAACATGTGGATCTGCAGCCTGTGAGACATGTGGTGGTGAGCGCTGGAATCCATTTCCTTTTCGCCGCTTTTACTGCGGTTGGAACAAAGTGGATGTTTTGCAACGTCACCACAGACAGAAACAATAGCTGCCATTTTAACATCGCACAAACTTCATGGATTGCCTCATCTGGAGAAAAATAATAAAGAAGTTTATTCAAGAAGTTTGAAGTTCACTTGAGACACATTGTCTGGTTGTGTTTTTTGGGATTGAAAGCAAAATTTCTAGCACGCTCAGACAAAAATGACAATGTTTACAGCGATGTAAGGTTGAGGCCCTGTTTGACTTTTAAACGCACATACATGCCAAATAATTATATACAATTTAATGTTTATGCAATGAATCTTCCACAAGGCACAAACAGTCTGACGCTTATTGCCGCTGGAAATGTACTGCTGTCTGTGTAAGAGCAGGAGAAGGAAAAACAGTGAGATGTCGTAAGACCTTCAATCTCGCTTTGTTTATCAATGCTCAAAAACGTTTACCGAAATGTACAAGAAGTGGCTTTAGATTTAGTGTGGAAAAATAATGAACATGAACAATTATGATGTGTCTAATCCAGGCTCACTCTCTGGAGGTGGACAGTTGGGTCAGTGCGAACGTGACATCACAATCAAATAACCAGAAGAGCGCTCGTACAGTGCAGACTTCTGCCAAGAGGTGTTGTTCTATCCCTTTTGAAAATCCTGTGTGTGTGAATGGCTGGTGATCAGAATGGCACATACTGGTTGCCTCGCTTCTGTCAGTGTGCCCCAGGGCAGCTGCGGCTACAGTAGTAGTTTATCACCACCGTGTATGGAATGAAAGAATAATGACATGTGACTGTCTTTGAGTGTCCATTTTATATATATATATATATATATGCAAAAAAATACACAACCCCCAGATGGAGGTAATAATAACAATATTTCATAACACATTTTAAAGATCACTTCTGTTGACGACTGTATACATGGTATTAGAATATAATAAATAAATGGAAGATGCATTCATTATTCATATTGGCTGTGAAGAGGCAGATTTTTATGCCAGTCTCCCCTCATGGTGGCTCGCCCATGCCCTACACTGTCCCGGGACCACAGTTTGAGAAGCACTTCTGTCCTCCCTGTGCTGGGGGGCTTCCTCTACTGTCGCATGCGTATGTGAAGTAACGTCCACGGCGGAGTTGAAGAGGTCAGACCTGAGACGACTTTGATGTGGTGGTGGGCAGAACATCCTGTGGCCTCATAAACACCTCCGAGCTCAGTCCAGAGGAGGAGGAGGAGGAGGAGGAGGAGGAGGGGATAAAACAGAGACAAGCACGAGCAGAGAAGGAGAACTATGGAGGGAGGGGCCGACACCTCTCCACACGGCTGTGTGACCTCTGCAGACCTGAGGCGATTCTGCTCTGTCACAGTGAAAAAAAGCAACAAAAGCATCTGGCAACAATCCAATCATGTGTAAATAAAGGTCGTTGCTATACCGGACAGACTGCAAACATGTCATACATGAGCACAGTTCAATTCAGACTGTTTTTTTGTTTTTTTTTCAATTTTAGGTCTGTTTGACAAGAGATTTCATTGCTTAGGTTGAAGGGTACGTAACTTTTTGATTTTAATAAATAACACACTTTGTC